CTACTACTACTACTACTACTACTACTACTACTACTACTACTACTACTACTACTACTACTACTACTACTACTACTACTACTACTACTACTACTACTACTACTACTACTACTAATACTACTACTACTACTACTACTACTACTACTACTACTACTACTACTACTACTACTACTACTACTACTACTACTACTACTACTACTACTACTACTACTACTACTACTACTACTACTACTACTACTACTACTACTACTACTACTACTACTACTACTACTACTACTACTACTACTACTACTACTACTACTACTACTACTACTACTACTACTACTACTACTACTACTACTACTACTACTACTACTACTACTACTACTACTACTACTACTACTACTACTACTACTACTACTACTACTACTACTACTACTACTACTACTACTACTACTACTACTACTACTACTACTACTACTACTACTACTACTACTACTACTACTACTACTACTACTACTACTACTACTACTACTACTACTGTCCTCAAAAAAAACACAAAAGATAACATTTATTATATTGGAGGCAAACAACTAAATGATACTTTAGTCAAACACAAAGTAACGAATTCATTATTCAATTTATGAAGAAAATACGAAACAAATGCAAAATACCTTCATTTTTCAGTGAATTCGATTAAATTAATTATTAAATATTAGCATTTTCAAAGATTTCGCTTAGTTAGAGGAAGGATAAAAGAAGGTGATTACATTTTAATAGGTGAATTTATGAGTCGATATATGCTAAACCGTCATTGAAATTCTGGAAGCATTGAACAGCCGTTTCATTGTAGTATGAGACTCCTCAGAAGTACGCATCCACGATCTCGAACGTAGAATTCGGACTCAAACAGAGACGAAATGGCCGTCCAATGCTTTCAGGTTTTCAATGGTAGTGTAGCATAAATCAACTCATGAATTCAGCATATTAAAATTGCTACAATCTCCACAAACCCATCTTGACCATTATCATCATGCGCTTACTAGTGAAATGGATCCAAAATGATTTCCTGTAGTTCTGGCGAGAAGCCATGACTAATGAAATTCAATCTATGTCTGTTAGAGACAGGTATATACCTCAGACGATGAAGGAATGGTTGCGCAGCTATTCATAGATCGATCGAAGTTAGACATCAACACTGTTAGATGCCTCCTCAGTGATCCAGAGGTTAAGCAGTTGAGCACGAGGTCGAATGAGTTCGCATATCGCGTGCGGACTCATGGACGCACATTGCTCAAGAGTCTCATACTAGAATGAAACAGCCGTCCAGTATTTCCAAGTTTTCAATGGTGATCTAACTTACATTGACTCATGATTTCAAAATGATAGATAGTTATTTGTATTAGTTTGTTGTTTGCTATTCAGATTGATCAACATAAGGAAAGAAGAAGAAGATAAAGCGAAGAGAATTCTTCATTCATTGTACATTAATTATCAATTAATTCTGTGTATTATTTGTTTATTCAAATGATTAATTATAGTTAACTGACTTGATAATGTTTATTTAATTTTGATAATGACTCATTTACATATACATTAATTAATGGAAATTGTTATGATTTCTGAATAGAAAATTAGATTTATAAATGGTTGGTGGTTAGCAATGGAATTTAGAACATGCGTTTCATCCTATTTGAGACTAGTTGACTGGGCGTACCTACATTGCGAAGTTGATGTTCAATCCGGGACTCGAACCTAACACTGTTCACTACTAAGTCCTGATAGTCACTTGATTGTGTCATTTTTGCTTATAAAGCTTGTGAATTAAGGCATGATCAAGGCAATATCAATAAGAGATTGATCAATGGGAAGATTCAAGTAAATCATACCTAGTGAAAATTAATTTCGATAAAAATTCATGAATAAGAGTATAAGATAACTAAAGGATCAACAGTTGAAGCTAATTAACTAGCTGATTACACTATGAACCCATTTACTAAGTCATATAAAACATGAATTCATGTAACCTGTTACCACGACTACAAATATTGAATCATTTGATCAATGAGTCAACTAAAATTGTAACCGTAGAATTAACTCAATAATTCGATCCAATCAACACATTTTCATTATACATACAATCACCCATATATAATCATTATTAAAATCAATACAAAATTCAACCGATTACAAGGATATAAGTTTCTATAACAACTACAAGCTTATCACTTATTCACATTCATATCATAAAACATCAAATTTCAACAGAAACTTACAATTTCACTAATATCATAAACGACATTAAACGACATAAACTTTTACCCAAGGTTGAGACACGACCACAGGTGAGGACAACCGAATTTTTATGTAGCACAAAATTACAGAGTTACTTGGCAAAATAGAAAAATCATACTATAATACTTAATTTACAAAATGTTCAGTAATTGCCTTGGACTTCATTTTTCTTGCATTTCCATACTAATTGCTTTCTATTCCCGTTCTTCCTTTCTTGATATTCCTTATCTTCTGTCGCTAGACATTATATTCCTGACTCGTGTCATATACTACTTATATCAATATAAGTAGCACGTACCACGAACATACATATTCATACAAGTGAAACAAAAACTAAAAGTACAATGATGTTATTCTTATACGAATGACTCTATCCGTTAAATAAGTTAACAAAAGACCTTAATCAAGCTAAATGTAAACAAAATCAATTACATATAAGTTGATATACATAGAATTTCAACAGAAATTTACAATTTCACTAATATCATAAACTACATTTAAAGTTTCATTACATTTTACCCAACGTTAAGTAGAACGAAACCTTTGGATCATTGTAAATAAATGATTTCATATCATTTTATTCAAATATCCATTAAACTTCAAAGTAGACGATCAACAACAACCACAACAACGATAACAACAACCACAGCAACGACAACAGCAACAGCAGCAACAACAACAAGAAGAAGAACAACCACAGCAGCGATCATATAACTGGCAATGATAAAACAATTAACTAAATTATCCACTTCACCGAAATCCTACATAAAAATGTGATTCAATTTTCAATGTTACTCTTAATTATGTTTTGTTTAAATGAATTAAAAGCGCTATAATTAAATTTAAATAATTATTGAAAAACACTTATATTCATTCATGTTATATTCTATTTAGATTTGTATAAATAGTTTAGAATGTATGGGGGGTTTTTTCGTTTTTTTTTGGTTTTACATTCGTTTTAAAACGTTCACCTGGAAACGTTTTCTATTTTGTTGGTAAATTTAAATTTTGAGTCCTTATTATCTTTTTTTAGTGTTAAGTTTTGTTGCGATGGAAATTATTTTTCTTTTTCGATCGATTTTCAGTGGATTGTTAATTTTGTTTTGTTTTTGCTAGGGTTGAAGCTAACACGAGTTCACTTCATCGGCGGACGAGAAACAAGACTCGATGACCAAAGACCAGTAAGCTAGCTATTCAATACGTCTCAGCCCCGCTAACTAGAGGGAGAAGTCCAATCTTGCAATGAGGACATATATTCTGCAAACAGCCAGAAACGAGCGATAACAACAAACACAATTCAAAACGTATATATACAGTAGAAAACCGTCCTTGGGGAGAGTTACCAAATAGCATACTAAAAGACGCAACGGACCAATAGTATTTAAGATATTTCCCAGTGGGAAATACGACATGAAGGTGACAAGAGTGCCTTTGGCGCGAAAACAAAGAAATTCAAATTTCCTATATAAAATTACAAAATTAGGTCCTTTCCTAAGTGAGTTCTGGGGAACTAACGTCCCCAACAGTTTTTGTTGTTGTTGTTGCGTTTTCCTCAAATAAAAAATAGAAGATATTTTGAGAATGTAAGATGATTTCTTCAAAATTTGTATTTTACAAAGTAATTTTTAGCTTGATAGTTGAATTTATGAGTTGATTTAGGCTAAAATGTCATTGAAAACCTCAAAGTACTAGATGGCTGTCTCATTCTAGTACGGTACTCCTTAGTAGCGCACATCTACGATCCTGCATGTGGGACTTGGATCCAGGATCTATCAGTCTCGCGTGCGAACGTTTATTCTCTAGACCACTGAGCAGGTATCCAATTGTGTTAAAGTCCTTGATGGTATAGTGTGAATCAACTGATGAATTCAACTATTATATTACGATAATCTCCACAAAACCCCCTTTCTGATAATTTGTAGTTTATTCGGAAAATGTTCGAGACTGTATATTCTTTCAGTCATTCCGTGAATCACCTGAATTTTCGTCTCATATATAAGAATGTGATTGCTCATTAGTTATCGCATTTGACTTTTAACCACTGTGTAGCTTTGGGAAAACTATCAAGTTGCACACATCAAATGTCAAGCGCTTCCCCTAAGTTACTTTTAACTACACAACATCTAACAGATGGAAAGGCGATTTCAAGTCATCTAACCTAATGTCAACACTATATCTTAATGCTAGTCATTTGTTCAACACCAAAGACTTTAAAAACAAAGTAATCATTAGTCTATGATCAGTTATTGTAAATAACTCACTACTTAGTAATAGAAAACTCGAAGAAAGCATAAAATAACTACGAATATAAATGGTTAAATGCTTGCCAACCGGAAAGTTTTATAGTCAGTACTGTTAAGGAACTGACTAATCTTTATGTTGACCAATTATTTTGTATGACATCTTAGACTTGAAACGTTATTATTTCTCAAATATAGGGATTAAAATACACCATTCATTTGAGCCTGTTTTATCAAATATAAATAGCATAGCTCTTCATTAGTTCATAAGAACCATGTCAAGATTTTAAATAATGCTTCTGCGTTAACCGATAAAGAGTTAAGGGCGGACAAACCAAAACGTGGCATCAGTCCTTGAAATCACTAACTTCTGGTCTTAACCATGTTGGTAGATGTAAACAACTTAGTTGGGGTCCGCTTGATTATCGTGACCAATGGTTGGAAACTGTGAGTGACGTGGCTCAGAATCGATCACAATGGCGTAGGTGTGCACACTTTGTCTTCCCTTAAACCGTGAGATAAAATTTACTTTACATCTTCCTTCCTATGAACTAATTCCTTCTCGCTGTATCAAATCCTTGTATGCAATCTTTATCTATATATATTATTGCTATTGAAGTAATTACTTTATGAATTTGGTATTCATCTTATTATGCCAATAAAGTATGGCAACTTGAACCGACGCATCTGTGTGCCTGGTCTTGCATTGTAGCTTACTAACTGACTGAACCCATAAAGAATTTAATTTTCTACTGTTCAATTATCTTAGAAATTAAAAGTGATGTGGTGGGAACAGACAACCTCAATGTGCTTTACTCTGTTACGGTCTAAGTATATATATAAGTTGAGATTATGAATATATGTAGATGAGTAAGCCCGAGGATTCTAGCAAAAGCCTCACATTTCATGGCAAATTTATGTTTTCTGAAAATACAACCTTACTTTATCAATTCAGTTGCCAAAGATCCAAAGTTTAACCAATCTAACCTGGGGGTAATCGTTACCGATTGTCTAAACTAATCATGAATACTGATAGTCTAATAGGAGATATAACTCCGCCTGGAGTCCCTCCGGGGGCTACTGCCGGTCCCAAGCCCGGATAAAGGAGGAGGGTTGGGCATGGGGTTAGCATCCCATCCCGTAGAAAACTAACTCGCTAAAAAACGCTAACCAGAAAAAAAATTATAACGCTAATAGGAGATATCATAATTTAGTTGAAAGGTTTTTGTGGAACGTTAAATCAGTGACAAATGCAATCTATAGACAAATCAATTTCTATGAAACCCATTTGAACTAAGCTACAACAGTCAGCTAACTAAAGAAGTCTTTCAATATGTTCCTGAATTTCTAGTGACAAATAATGATTGGAGTTCGGATGTGTCAGTTTTCACGAATGACGTTAAATACCCATCACACAATATCACAAATTTATTGAAGCTGTAGTTTCATCACTGAAGGCCTATCAAGTGATTCCAATAACTATAAGTTAGCCTCAAGACAATGAGGTCCTGGGTTTTATCCTTAGAACAGTCTTTAGTGTGCACTGCTCAAAAATCTTATTATGAAACTAAACAGTTGATTTGCAGTGATATCCGAAATGGAAGAAATCTATGGGGAACACAATCTACAGATATCAATAAATTTTTTGGCGATTCTCAAATTCCTCCTAGTCGATTAATATTTTTAAGGATATTCAAGTGACAATTGAAAACAAGTGACATCTTTACCTGTTTTCAAATTATTATATATATGGTTATCATTGAAAGGGCTTGCAGAATATGAACCTCATTGGCATATTTAAACACATACCACCTGATTTGTGTATATACTTTACCTGGAGAATGTAGCTATTTCATAAACCCTGTCCATTAACTTCATCCCTAATTCAATTGTGAAATATTACTGGAGTTAGAAAAATCGTCTAAAACACTGATAGTTTAGCAAACCATTATATACTCTTGGTACAGAGGTGTAATTCAGGACAGGCATTTATTATTACATGAGTCTCACCAGCTGGGTGTCAGCGGCCACGTGGATAATGCGTCGGTCATTTGAAAAGGCACTGAGTTCGAGTCCCAGAGTGAAGACCGTCATTGGAATTCAGGCACACCCTGCTGGTGACTCATGTAATAAGATACTCTTCGTACATATAACTTATCTATATTGCTACTCATCATACTGATAATTAGTTAATTTTGTACTTAATAATGAATAACCAAACTTACTAGTTAAAATCAAGAAAATTATATTTTGTAATTCTACTGTATCATGAATTTAATGAAGAATACTGGTGAATGACCTATGCTCTTCCACGAGGAGTGATAGGTGTAAGCAAGTAAATAAGTATTATGAACTGTACTCTAAACGTTTACTATTTTACAAAGTATAAGAATATAGAAAGTAATCAAGCACACAAAATCCAAATGCATAGATTTTCTACTATTATTATTACCGAATTCCAGCAGAGGAAGAAATCAGGAAGAAACGCTGAAAGTAGATTGGGCACACATTGAGGAAAGCACCGAACTGCGTCACAGGGCAAGCCCTCACATGGAATCCTCAACCCCAAAAGTGAAGAGGAAGATCATAGAACACATTATGTCGAGAAATGTTGACAAATATGGAAGAATGAATAACAGTTGAAAAGAAGTAGGAAGGTAGGTCTCAACATCCACAAAGGGAAAGCAAGATCCGCCGATACAACACAGCATGCACCAATCGAACCGCACTTGAAGGAGAAGCTTTGGAAGATGTAAAGTTGTTTACATATCTGGGTAACATCATTGGTGAAAACGGTGGATCTGATACAGACATGAAGGCGTGGATATGAGAGACAAGAGCAGCATATTTACAACTGAGGAATATCTGGAACTCAAGACAATTATCTGTGAACCAACACCGAGGTCAGAATTTTCAATACAAACGTCAACACATTTCTACTTTATGAGGTAGAAACTTGGACAACTACGAAAGCAATAACCCAGAATATACAAGTGTTTGTTTACAGTTGTCTACACAAAATAATTTGGATCCGTCGGCCAATCACTATCAGTAACAACCTACTATGTGAGAGAACAAACCAGATCCAAGTAGAGGAAGAAATTAGGAAGAATTGCTGGAAGTGGACAGGACACACATTAAGGAAAGCATCCACCTTTGTCATAAGAAAGCTCTCACATGAAATCCTCAAAGCTAGGCAAAGGAGGAGAGGAAGACCAAAGATCACAATAAGCCGAAAAATGGTGATAGACATGTGAAGAATGAACAAAAATTGGATAGAACTAGAAAAGAAGGTGGAGACAGAGTTGGTTGGAGAATGATGGTCGGCGGCTTATGCTCGACTGGGAGTAACAGGCATAAGTAAGTAAGTAAGTACATATTATTATTATTATTATTGTTTATTAAAAGATAAACATTACATTAACTCTAATGATTGAAGTAACATAAATGAACTTTTTAATTTTTCTTTGTTTTCTGTTTTTTTTTCTCTTTTTTCTTCAATATATCAATATAAGAAACATAAATGACAAGTAAAATTGATCAATGAATTGTAAACAATAAACAGAATAATATTGACATGAGGAATGAAATTGAAAATCATCGTTTCATTAATAAACAATAAGAATAAGAACAAACAACATTCAACTATATTATGCTATAATGTTAAACATGTTTCTGTAATAAATGACTTCCTTTGATGTCAATACGATTAGTTATATTTGTAACAGTACGATTATTATTATTATTATTGTTATTATGGATAGTAGTATTATTACTATTATTAGCAATATAATCATTTGTATATTCATCAATAGTAACATCATATAGATTATTTACTCTTGATTGATGATATGGACGACGTGAAATTACAGCAGCTACACCTGAACGTCGTTTACTAGCTAATGATGATATAATTCTAGGCTGATTTTTATGTCCTCTTTGTTGTTTCTTTTTAGGACTATTTAGTATTGAAATAATTTCTTCATCCATTACTGTTGTAGAATGAGGAGAAGACGAAGAAGGAGGAGGAGGAGTAAGAGTAGAAATATTAGTAGAATTAAGAGTATTACTATGGTGAATATTTGATTGTATCCATGCTTGTTTATTTTGATGTTGCTGCTGTTGTTGTTGTTGTCCTTGTAAATTTGGATAAAGTTGACTACGCCACCATTTTTTCACATCATCACATGAATCATTTATATGTTTACTTAAATAAATATTATGATGATATTTATAATTAGGATTCATTAATTTACTCTCATTATTGATCATTTCATTTTGTAATGGTAATATGATATCGTGTTGTATAGATGAATTATCATTTGTTTTTATTTGAATTTTATTGTTGTTGCTACCACTACTACCACTACTATTACTATTACTACTAGTACTACTACTACCAGTAACGATATGAGTAGTATAATCACTAGATAGTAAATGATTATCAATATTAGAATGATTCATATGTTTTCTTTTGATTGAATCACCTTTCAAATTATACATTTCCATTGTTTGTGATATAGTTCTATCAAATTTATCATTATTATTATTATTTGTACAACTATAAACTAAACGTTTCTCACCTTGTTCATCTGAATCTTCTACAACATCTGGTAATTTAGATAATTTTTGAATTACACTTTGTCTTGATTTATTATGAGTGGATAAAGATTTAATTGTTGATAATACAGTTGGTTTTGTACGAATAGATTGTGATGAATTTATATTTGGTGATAATGGAAGATGTTGTTGTTGTTGTTGTTGGTGGTGGTGGTGGTGTGTTGTTGTTGTGGTTGTTGTTGTTGTTCCATATCTAATCCCATCACATTTTCAATAATTGTCACTTGATAAGGTTCAATTGATTGTATTGATTTTTGATCATCTATCATTGATTTAGATAATTTTGTATTGATTTTAGTTGGATATAATTTTGTTTTATTCTCATTATTCATTAAACATGTATCAATAAATGTTAGAGTTGTCATTTGATGATTATCATTAATATAATGAATAAGATTATTATTATTATTATTTATTTGATCTATATTGAATTTATTCGAAATCGATTTCGGTTGTAATTGATGTAATTGACTATTCCCATTATCAATAAGATTGGATAATTTCTTTTCTTGTTTCGAATCTAATAATAATAATGGTTGTTGATAATCTGTATCATATTGTTCAATAATCAAACTTTGACCATCATCATCATCATCATGATCAGAAGCAGCAGCAGCAGCAGCATCATCATCATGTTTGCCAATCATATTTGTCTTGAAAGAAGTAGTTGTCAATGTAGTCATCTCATCAGAATCATTTGAATGTTGATGAAGTGAATTATTTTGAATTGTTGAATGGTTAACTATTGTTGGTGTTGTTATCATATTAGAATGAATAGTTGTTAAGGTAGGTATTGATGATAGATTTATTGATTTAGTCATAGGAATAGTATTGATTGTATGATGAATAAAAGTAGTAGTTATAGTGTTTATTGTTAATTTATTAATTTTTAATCGTGGTGCTAATATTTTATTTGCTCTTTCATGACTTGCTTCCATTGGATTTTCCATAGATTTTCCACCATTATCTTTAATGGTTATTATTATCGGTGGTGATGATATTGATGATGATGATGAGGTTGTTGTCGTTGTGGTTGTTATTGTGGTTGTTGATGATGATGATGATTTACTGATGTTTGATGATTGATTTTTAATACGTACACTTTTATTAATTAGAAAATCACTTTTTTTATTTAAATCATCATTATCATCTATGCTTGTGCTTATTTGACGTTCAATATTGGAATGCATCTTAAATTTCAATTGACCATGTTTCTAATTGTTTTGTTTTTTTTCAAACAGAATGAAAATCATATGTATATATATAGAGAGAGATAGTTTACATCAGTAACTTATTTTGGCTTAAAATTTATTGAACACCATGAAGCATTGAACAAATATCTTATCCTGTTTCGGGGATCTTCAGGAATACCTATATAGCTAACCGGCCAACAGTTAAACCATAGACAATCAGGACTTACGACAGTAGATTATCTTTATAATTTTGAGTCAGAAGATAGAGGAGGGGCACCAAGTACATATACGCCACGCAAATGTCATTTGATTTCTCTGAGACCTGTGATATTGCTTGGGTGCCCAGACAGAAGCAAATGGCTTACTTAGGGGGCCACACATGCAGCCTTTGACGTAAAGGTCTGATCTACAAAGCAGTGGAGCAACATCAGAGATGTAGTCCCGTGGTAGCTGCTGACCAAAGACTGGTTCATACGCCATTTGTTCCTTCAGGATACTGGAGCTCATGTGCACCATTGGTTTAGAATCAGGGTTTTCCAACTCCCCTAGGTGAACTCTCTGTGTCCACCAACCCGGATAAAGCGTCGGACATCCACTTTTCGTCCTCTCAATTCCGTAAACAATACCCCTTTCGCGAGAAAGCACTGAGTAGAATTTCCCTGACAGAGGCTATATACGCGTGGCTTTATGAGAGCATTTCGAGAGGGTGAGCGGACTCTCCCCACTCTCGGCCGTACAAGAGCAGGGTCAGGAGATGATGTACCTTGTTTCTATTTTTATCAGTTCGTGTTGTCGCATAACAACGATCGAGTGCTACTATCGATATTCGTCTCACTAACAAATGTATTAATGCATACATTGAAGGACTAGACACTAATAGGATTTCCTCATGTTCCGCTTAAGACCTCTGGTGTTGAATGGATCAGTCGCTTAGTATTAACAAGTACCATTTTCAGACGTCATTATAACTATTGCAGTTCGGGTGGGTAGATAACAGTATAGTAAATCGTCGTTCAAGCAATGTAGCTAAAACACAAGGACACAAATTTGTACTTGATGGATGAGTTACTTTACACTGCATTGTACATCCAAGAATGAACTATTGACTTTACGATCAGATTTAGTGAAAATTCTACTTAATTCTAAGTTATATTAAGTTTAAAATGTATATAACCAGATTTCAACTCAATGAACAACTGTTATTGTGGTAATAGTTTTAAATCACATTCTATATGAAACAGTTGGCATTCATTATTAATAAAGTCCAAACTAAAATTATACGCCTATTCAATGGTTTGAAAGTTAATATTAATTCATGCTGGAAATAATCTTTCACTAAGTCGTGTTACTACGTTTTACCTTGAACAGACAAGATTAATTTGTTAAAACATATATGAACTGGAAAAATACATCATGTTATTTGCTGAGTAAGAAATTGGATGATCAACAGATATGTTAGTAAACTCGTAAAGTTGATGGTTTCAACAGACAAACGGAAATGTGTACGCTATTCGTAGAAATTACTGAATTTTCTAGTTTGAATCATGAACTGAGCTTCGTAAGACAACGATTAGAAATTATGAATTAATAGAGAGCTAAATTGTCCTATTACAGGATTCTTGAACTGTAAGTATCTGTGGTGAGTCGAAAACAGTAATCTACTAACTAAACTGTTAGATGAATGTGAAGTCCTGTATCAAGATGAGAAACCTCCCCAGTGTTTTTTAGTTTTCAAAGGTTGACAACATAAGGTGAGTCGGTATGGTTAATCATGAAAGGAAATTGTGGTTGACATGGATTTTTATCATCTCAGTCATTCGTTAATGTTCATTGAAACATGCTTTCTTTGATATTTTGTTAATATATATTTCCTTATATAATTAAGATCTTAAGGGAAAGTCTATGTGGTTTACAGATAAATTCCATCAAGCTCTGATACTGGTTGATGAAATATTAAGAGTCAAATTGGACTGGATAAGTGTTTAATCATATATAACTATGTAATTAGCCTATTAATGGGGAAACTAATTAACAATATATAGGGATATATGCAAGTGCCACTAAGGTTTCATCCATAAATTTGTTGGTAAATACTGCGGAACATATCAATAACCTAAAGTTAAATCGGAACAAAGAGTTTAAAAAAGGTTTTTATCTTGCATAGCTGGTACATACAGCTAGTGGCTATATTTCCTAATTTCTATGATCATAATGATCCCGGCGCAAGATTTATTCACTTTAGCTATAAGCATAAATGTCTCAGTAAAATACAACATTTAATATTGGTACTAATTGAAAAGAAAATCTTTAGGAAAATGAACAATTACCTGTCTATTTCTAAAAATACATCGTTCAATCCATGCTGCAATAGTCTGTCGAGCCACTTCTTCTTCAATTGCATATTCTAATTCTTCTCGAGCTATAAGTTCTTCTAATTGTAAAGTCTTAGTAATATCAACAGTTCTATAAGCTAAAACCCTTTTAAAAAATATTGAGAGAAAGAGAAAATCACTGTTTCGTTCAATGTTTTAATAAGTAAAAACAAGTTACATTTTTACTGTTTATTGTTTAGATAACTCCAGCTGGAACTCTCGCAAGGTTACTGTCGGTTTTAAGCTCGAGTAAAGGAGGAGAGTTGGGCATGGAGTCAGCAACCCAATCCTCTAGAAAACAACCTTGCTAAAAAACACTGACCATAGTGAATTATTTAACCACTCTGCCTTGGAAGTTAAAGGATCTCCATTTAGAAGAATTATAACGTTTCATGGTGAAGGCCGAGATTCTTCGAAAGGCACGAGGCCGATGCTCCTTTTAACAACCAGAGCAACAATTAATAAAGGTACGTGGAACTTCCGGAGACTGGGAGGACCAGCTAGATAGCAGGCGAAATAATAAAATGCAGCTTGGGGGTTCTAGGAATCACCGAAACCCACTGGACCCAAGCTGGATAGAAAAGATTAGGTTTGAGAGATGTTGTTGTACTCTGGTCATGAAAAAGAAAATCCCTCCAACACACAAAGAGTTGCACTGGCACTATTCAAAGAAGCACAGAAAGCATTCACAGAATGAGAGTCTCATGGATCCAGGATCATTAAAGCATCTTTCAAGACAAAGGAGGGAACTACAATGAATCTTATCCAGTGTAACGCTCCTACTAATGATAGCAACGAAGAAGTTAAAGATCAGCTTTATGAGAGGCTGCAATCGATGGTAGCGAAGTGTTCAGTAAGGGATCTGACCATCCTTATGGGAGACATAAACAACAAGGTCGGAATGGACAGCATTGGGTATGAGGATACCATGGGACGACATGGACTGAGAGAAGGGAACGAGAATGGTTAAAGATTTGCAAATTTGTATGCATTTCACAAAATGGTTATAAGTGGTACAATATTCTCCCACAAACGCATACACAAAGCTACATGGATCTCGACGGATCACATTATACAGAATCAGATCGATCAAATTTGCATCAAACGGTTAACGGAAGACGTGAGAACAAGGGGAGGAGCTAACGTAGCTCCAGATCACCACCCGGTTGATGTGAAGATGGAACTAAAGCTAAAGAAGCAATGGACAACTGGACAAACAGCATCACAAAGGTTCAATACAGCCTTCCCTCGAGATACCGACAAACTCGAAGAATTCAAGATAGCTCTCCACAAAAAGTTTCAGGCCTTACAAAATCCACTCAAGGACGAGGAAACAACCATAGGGAACAACTGTAAAAGGCTCAAAGAAGCACTAATTTCAACGTATCAGGAGGTGCTGGGCTGCAAGATGCATCTTCCTAAGAAATGGATGTCTATCAAAACCATGGACAACAGCCGAACAAGAACAGAGAAAGTGAAGACACAGGCTAAATACATAGAATCCAACAAGTAAGTGAAGAGAAGCATTAGAGCTGACAAACAAAAATACATGGTAGACCTATCAACAACAGAGGGAATGACTGCAAGGGAAGGCAATATAATACAACGAAGAAACTGGCAGAGAAATATAATAAACCAGATAGACACTACTACTACCGAAATTTTCCACTTGATGACAATTTTTAATGACAAATATATACAAACAACGACAAAATAACAAAATTAACGGTCATTCAGTGTTTCCAGGTTATCCATGATGATCTAGTTTCAATTGACTCGTGAACTTAACTATTAAATTAACTTTTGTTAATTTCTTTTTAATTTCATAACTGCATTAACAATTTGTTAGTAATTTCATTACTTAAAATCATGAGTCAATTGAAGCTAGACCACCATGGAAAACCTAGAAGCACTGAACAACCGTTTCGTTCTAGTATGGGACTCCTCAGCAATGCGCATCCACGACCTCGCCTCGTGGGATTCGAACCCAAGACCTACTGGATAGTAGTAAGTTTAGCAAATCAAATATAAATATATACACATACTTAACTACTTAAATGTATTGGATGAACTATGTATTATTTAAATAGGTCAATAAACATTGTGTATTTTCTTATCATACTCAAAAGTTTGTGATTATAATATTAAGTTCATAATGAAGAGTAATTTTGGTTTTGATTAGTCCTTACAAAATAAAAGAAAATGAAAGAAAAAAAACAATAAAAGAAGGAAAGTAAACAAACAGACAAACAAACAAAGTGACCGAAACAAGATTAGGAATATTGTTTCTAAGTTAACTCAATAAAAACTCTTATAACTATGATCAATATAAACATTATTAACAGTATTATTGATTAATATTATTAGTAGTATTATTGTTTATTTCATTTATTACTCTTTAGTTTATTTCGAAGCTTTCTTATATATCTTATATATATACTCAGTTGAGTGAAGTCAGTTTCAATTTACTAAATTTAGTCATCTCTAAGACTATTTACTTTATTTATTCTGTAACATTTCTAACTTTCTTTATGTTTCATTTAAAATTTTAATAGTTATGATCATGAGTCAATTAAAGCTGGACCACTATGGAAAATCTGGAAGTGCTGAACAGCTATTTCGTCCTATTGTGAAACTATTTAACAGTGCACATTCATGACTAGAGCTGGCACTCAAAACTGATAGGTCCTGGGTTCGAATCACACGGGGGAGGGGCGAGATCATGGATGCACATCGCTCACAATGGAATGAAACAACCATTCAATGATTCTAGGTTTTCCATAGTGATCTAACTTAAATTGACTCATAATCTCAATTAAAATCTCCACAAAACCCCTTCTTATTTAAATTTATTAAATTAACTTTGATTATGTTCCTTAATGAATTAATTCTTTACTTATATTAGTATTTTGTGTTCATAATAAATGAAGTATGTGATGAAGTGAATAAATGAATTGTAAGAAAATTTGATTAAGTAGTTTATTTAAGTAGTAGTTATATGCATAAATTTATGCTTTATATTGTAAATAATAATTAGTAGAATATTTTATAAAGATTCACTAAAAAGAGTAGACCAAGAACTATTATAGTTTCGATACTGTGCCATCGATATATACTTTTCTCAATCATTCTATCATTTCCTTTTCTTACACTAAGATATAAAACAAATAGTTGTGTTGATTATCTTTTTCAATCAACTGAAATCTCGTAAATAAAGAAGGTACGAATTGAGCTGAGATCTGATTATTAGATCACATACTTTTGTATTAAATCAATTTCATTTGATACAAAAATGCATGTTAAACATTTTATTTTATTGGTTGAAATCATAAGTCAATTGAAGCTAGACCACCATGGAAAACCTGGAATCACTGGACGGCCGTTTCGTCCTAGTGCGGGACTCCTCAGCAGTGCGCATTCACAATCCGTCTCCGCGAGATTCGAACCCAGGACCTATCAGTCTCGCGCTAGGTGCTTAACCAACTAGACCACCATTTTATATGAAATCATATATAAGCTTTAATGAATAGTCATTTCATTTATTCAGTTTATGTATCTTATTTATTGGGATACATTATCACTTTCTTGGAGTTAAAGTTTTCAATCAACTATATAATTTATTTTGAATATTTATTCAATTATATTAAAGTTTTCGTGATTAGAAAAAGAAAAATCAGTAATAAATATTTTTTTTCAGAAAACCATTTTCGAGAGAGAAAGAGAGAGAGAGAGGGGGGAATAATCGACATTAAAGAAAACAATAACAAATAACTAATTGTCAATAGTTGAAATTGTGAATTAATTGAAGTTAGACCACCATGGGTAACTTGGAAGCATTGGATGGCCGTATCGTTCTAGTGTGGGAATCCTCAGCGGTGTGCCTCAGCAATCCTGCGAACCCCGCGAGGTTCGAACACAGGACCTATCAGTCTCACGTGCGAGCGCTTAACCATTAGACTACTGAGCTGGTCGGCATCCAACGGTGTTAATGTTTAACTTCAACCAGTCTATGAAATCGGACCACGGTAAACCATTGTTTACAGTGAGTTGATATCTGACAACAGATCTAATTGAACTCCACTGATCCAGTGCTTCCAGGTTTTCCATGGTGGTCTATCTTCAATTGACCCATGATTTCATCTACTGAGATTACTAAAATATCTACAAAACCCCATTCTGTAAATAGTTAATTGTCAAAAGTTGAAATCATGAATTCATTGAAGTTAGACCACCATGGAAAACTTGGAAGCATTGGACGGCAGATTCGTTCTGTTATGGTACTCTTCACTAATGTCTTCAGGCTTTATCATGGTGGTCTAGTTTCAATTGATTCATAATCTTAACTATTAAAATTACTATAATATATCTAAAATAAACCTTTTGAAAAGAATAATCGTTAATAGTTTATATATAAATTTAATTAATCTAGAGTCGTAGAATAGACCACCCTATAAATCTAACTGTAAACGATCATAATATACATTTTATTATACAGCTGAATTATACCATTATACATATAGATGTATAAAAGTTTTCATAATCTCAAGTAATGTACTTACATTAAAACATCATGAAAACTAACATCTTTATCACGACCACCACGAAGTGTTTCTACTTCATAACACATTTCTTTAAATAATTGTTGATCTTTCTTTTTAGCTAAATCAAAACCAACTCGTTCACGTGGAATAAGACGTAGTAGAAATCGTACATAATAAGCTTTGACAACACCCTAATTAATAAGAACAAAATGAGAACAAAAAAACCCAGTTATTTCTCTTCTTTAAAACAGAAAAAAAAGGGACACAGAAAATGAGGTAAAAAGAAATGGGAATATAGGAGAACAAAAAGTTATATAATTGAAAGCCACTTAACAAGTAATTTATACATTCATATTAATATAAAGTACTACTTGATAATTAACGAATAGATTGTTTATAAGTGTTTCAGTAGTACTTATCGAAGTTGAGAATTTTTTTCATTAGTTGAAATCATGAGTCAATTAAAGCTAGATACCATGGAAAACTTGGAGGCATTGAATGGCGGTTTCGTCCTATTGTGGGACTCCTCATCAGTGCGCATCAGCGATACCTCCCCCCCCTCCGCGAGATTCGAATACAGGACCTATCAATCTCGCGTGCGAGCGCCTAGCCGTTAGACTACTGAGTTGGTCGGCATCCAACGGTATTAATGTCTAACTCCAACCAATCTACGAAACCGGGCCACCGTAAACCACTGTCTTCAGTCAGTTGATATCTCACAACAGACCTAGTTGAACTCCAATGGTAACGACTTCTCAATAGAACTCCGGCTCAGTGGTCTAGTTGGTTAAGCTCCTGGCTTGAGACTAATAGGTCCTGGGTTCTAATCCCGCGGGGTGTGGGATCGTGGATGCGCACTTCTGAGGAGTCCCATATTAGGACGAGATGGCCGTCCAGTGCCTCCAGGTTTTCCATGGTGGTCTAGCTTTGATTGACTCATGATTTCAACAAGTGGAATTTCTAAAAACCTCCACAAAACCCATTCTGACAATAATATGTAATCTTTAAAAAGTAGGTCATATTGATTAAGTTCCTTACAAACCTACTAATTATTAATATATTCAGCTACATCATTGTATCTTATTCTTTACCCATAATAATATCCGTTACTTTAACCATGTGACTTTTATAAATTGTATCTAATATTAAGTAATATAAATCTAATTAGGAATAATATACACTTGAAAAGTAACTCACTTCATTTTGAACTAAAAATTCATTCGATTAAGTTTTCAGTATAAGTTTATCGTGTTATGATAATCATAGATGATGGTAGGTATGACAAAAGCTTATCGTATAAATATTTAATGACATGGAAACGACTTTTCCGAAAATGAATTGAATCTTATATATTACTGCACGGGATTTTTAGAGATCATTATATTTCATACTTTACATTATGAACTGATCCTATTTAGATAAACATTCAAAATCAAGAAGCACTAAAGATCTGTTAAGTTTTTGTATAAAGTTCTTGAGCAATGAGTACCCAGGAGTAAAGTATGGATTGAATCTAAGACCTTTGAGTCTCGTGATAAACTCTTAAACTTATATTATTGACCTAATATCCAATACTTTATATTTCTAACTTGAATTAATCCCTACTAATTCCATCGTCATGTAATAACTCATATCGAATATGACTAAATCACATTAGTCATCCTACAAAATTCATTACTAGTAAGTATGTAGTGGCACTTGGCCCTAATCACACAGTCCTCAAAGCTGAACACGAGACAATTGGGAAAACAGATATTCAACGTTTAACACGGAGAAAAACCCAAAGATGAGGAAAGTGAATTTAATTAGTTCAAGTCTATCGGATGCCATGGCTTGGCCTGCATATAACTTTTATTCATATTAAATATATTGTTCATCTCTTGCCTAAGTGTGCTCTTCATCATATATTGATCATTGTTACGACATGATGAGTTGGTGTAGATAATAATGTGACTTCCACGTAACATCTTATAGATTAGGCAGTTACATCATGAAAAGTCTACCATTTTAGGATTAAGTTTATTATTAGAGCGGTACTAATATCATAGTAGACCATAATTCTATAAGTACATACTGCTACTCAATATTTAGCATAGACTTTGTTTATAGTTTTGCAATATATTTATATACGATCATCATCATTATTACTAATAATACTACTTAAATAATCTCACTTTTCTATTCACATCAATAATATTCCAAGCTAATTGAAAATTGCGTATATCATTATAACTCATTATAGCATCTTCATCATTTGAATAAAATAAAGAGAAATTCTCCATAATAATTGCTATAAGAGAATAAAAGTAGGAAAGAAAAAACACGACAATGTTCAAAAGAAAACCCGTTTCTTGTAAAAGGGAATTTTATTGTGTAACATTAATGACAAATAATGGATTATTATTATTATTATTATTAAACTTTAAAACTTTAACGAATGCCAGAATGTAAAGTTGTGGAGACTGTAATAATTTTGATAGTTAAATTAATTAGTCGATCTAAGCTAGACCACCATTGAGCACGTGGAAGCATTGATGACTGTTTCGTCTTAATAAAGAACTTCTTAGCAATACTCATCCGCGATCCCACACGAGGGACTCGATTCCCATACTACTACTAGGACAAAATAGCCATCCAATGCTTCCAAGTTTTCAATGGTTTCTAGCTTAGATCGAATCATAGGTTCAACATCTGAAACAAAACTATAAATGAAAAAGTATGATGCTGAAAAGTAATTCAAATATTCTGAGTTGAGTGATAGTTATTATATACCGGACAGAGGATATGCTAAAACCATTTGAACTGCTGTATTTCATTTCTTGGTATTCTTCATACAATGTACACAAAACCCCTTCTGATACTGATCAACATATGCTCACTAGTGAGTGGCTTCAAGAGGCATATCCTGAAGTACTAGTGAGAAGCCGTGGCCAGTGGAGTTCAACCGGGTCTGTTGTGAGATAGTAACTCACTGATGACGATCGTGGATGTGTCGCTCAATTCGGTGGATTAGTTGAAGTTAGACATTAACACCGTTGGACGCCGTCTCAGTGATCTAGGGGTTCAGCGTTCGCACGCGAGACTGATGGGTCGCGGGTTTGAATCTCGTGGGAGGGGGCGGGATCATGGATTCAGAATGCTGAGGAGTTCCACAATAGAACGAAACGGCCACCCGATACTTTCAGGTTTTCTATGGTGACTCATGATCTCAACTGCTGAAATTTCTAAAATCTTCACAAAACCCCCTTCTGGTACTTATTTATAAAAGACATTTAATCTTTAATGAAACAATTAGTTAAAAACTTCGTACTCGGAATTAAACACTCAGTTATTTTGTTTCTGATTTTAGACAGAGCAAACTATTAACTTGTAAACACCTTATAGAGTTCGACTAAGAATGTAGCTCACAAACGGTTATGAAATAGATTTTTACAAGGCTTATAAATATATCTTTCTTTGCAATCGACTTTCAATGCATAATCAAAGTATTTTTAATACAAAAACTTTTCCTTTATTGAGTGAATAGTTTTATTGTTGTGTGTACATGACTTCCACGTAGATTACGCATACACTTGTCAACGAAACGATGATTATATCATACATCTATATAAATATATGTGAACCACTGGAGTAAGTCAGAATGCTCAAGCACCTAAGTAACATAAAAGGTAACTTGACATTAACTGTTAACAAATTAATGACTAATCTAACCAATTTTAAAAAATTAAACTCTTATTTCCCTGTAAATCTATGATGAGCTATTGCAACTAAGATATTTACCTCTTGTTTATTCATAAAGTTTTCGTTCGTAAGAACTTCAACTTTCTTTTCTTTTGTTGGTAATAAGTAACATAAATCGTTTTATATCTGTACAATCTTCACGTGAACACCGCCGATCTTCAACGAACAAGTAAACTGAAAATCTAGCTATTCATTCAATTAGCTTGTATTAAGTAAATATCATGATTTAGATTGTGAAATCTATCTGGGCTCTTCTTTTCAACTTGATCTACGATATAACTATAAGGTTGTGTAGATTGCAGAGTTTTTGATTCAGATCGTGAATCAATCAATGTTAGACCACCATTTAAAACCTAAAAGTACTAGACGGCTTACTGACGGTATTACTGATACACACCGCTGAAGAGTCTCATGCTAGGACGAAACGATTGTCAAGTACTTCTAAGTTTACGATAACTTAATTATGTTATTTCAACAAAATCAATAATGATAAATAGGTGAACTTACCAACAAGTACATTTAACATAACATATGTAATAATAACATAAAATGAACAAAAATATATTAAGGCTGCTCTAAAATTTCCACAATCTGTTTCCCAAAATGTTGCATGCATTCGACAAAATGGTGGTTGTATCATACAATCATGCATAATTTTATTCCAATCTTCACCTAAAAAATATTAAAATTTTATTATTTTATTATTATTAAACATAAGTTAATTAATGAATTACAATAAGAAAAAAATAGGTATCTTATATTGAATATTACTATACATTTTCAGCTTAGTTATTCATTAGTACTGTTGTAGAGTAAACGAAAACACAAAATGTACTTCATTTGCACAATGTTCATTATTTATCTCAGAGTTCAGTGTTCCTGGACTTCCTGTTCTTTGCTCTTTGATCTTCTCAACTTTTTGCTACCAGACATTCTATTCCTGATTAGCGTTATATACTATTTATGTCGAAATAAGTAGCACAACACCATAGTATAATCTAATTAGGTAAATTATATATTTATATTGTTATTTTGGACTCATTCTTTTGTTGAAATTATGAGTCATTTGAAGCTAGACCACCACGGAAAACCTAAAAGTAATGAAAGGCCGTTTCGTCCTAACGTGGTACTCCTCAGCAGTGCGCATCCACGATCCCACCCTCTTTCGCGAGATTCGAGCACATGACCTATCAGTCTCGCGCACGATCGTCTAACCATTAGACCACTGAGCTGATCGGCATCCAACGGTGTTAATGTCTAACTTCAAGTAATTCATGGAATTGCGCCACCATCACCATAGTCTTCAGTGACTTGATATCTCACAACAGAACTGGTTGAAATCCGCTGGTCACGGCTTCTCACTAGAACTCCAGGAAATGCCTCTTGAAGTCAGTCACCAATGACTGATAGGTCCTGGATTCAAATCTCGAGGGGAGGGCGGGATTGTGGATGCGCACTGCTGAGGAGTCCCATACTAGGACAAATCGGCCGTCCAGTGCTTCTAGGTTTTCCATGGTGGTCTAGCTCCAATTGTTTCGTGATTTCAACTACTCAAATTCCTAAAATCTCCACAAAATTTCTTCTGATTCTTTTGTATTGAATTAAATAAAACTGATTCACTGTCTTCCTGACACTGAACTCTTCATTAAAATGACAATATATTTATAGAATCAATCGTGAAATATTAATCAAAAGACTTTCAATAATAAAAGAGAACGACAAGTTTACTGACAGTTCCACACAAATAAAATCATATCTTTTGCATAGACAAGTGGCTGATTAGACTCAGTCGCTCAGTAATATAATCGTTAGAGTTAATAGCGGTAGATATCGGATACGGGTTTCAATATCAACATCAACACTATAATTCAAGTAGATTTAGCTGACTAGTACCAAATAATATGAAATGTATATTAAAGATGTCATTACTAGTCACAATAAACATGTTCTACAAAATTCTATAAAGTTTGATACTTTACAACAATACAAATCCGAGAGGTATTATTCTATAGTAAATTTGAGTCTTATTAGCCATTTTAGAAAGTCAAATACCATTCAACCAACGATTGTTTAAATTTTCCTGCTGAAATCATGTTACAGTTATCTTATTTCAATGTCGACTATTCGACTTCATTACTGTGAATAGATTTTAGCTTTATATTAGAATTCAATAAAAAAATATTGAGGGATAATTGCAATACAGTTCAACGACTCAGTTTACTGTATCAACTTCGAAGCACTTGATTACTTGTCATATGTGGATAAATACAATGGAGTAAATCAGTATAGTTCTATTGAAATGATTAAACTTTTATTCAATGATTTCTAGTTTTATATAATTCTCTAGATTAGAGCAGTTTAACAAAGAAATTTTCATTGAATGAATGAAGTCTTCAGGAAGAAATCAGTTAATTTTTTCTAAAAAAAAATAAACTATTTGAAAACAACTTCAAGATTGGAAGATTCTCTATAAATTGTAAAGATGACTTCACATTTTATTAAAATTATTTAATGAAATCATATTTTGACATGATAAATTAATTAGATTTTAATCAGTGAGGGGCTTTTTGGAGAGATTCACGTGATTCGAACCCAGGACCTATCAGTCTCGCACGCGAATGCTTAAGCTATAAACCACTGATCCGGCATCCATGGGTGTTATTGTCTAACTTCAACCAATTCACGAAATTGCCTCAGCGTCCACCATCATGGACGGGCACTGTTGAGGAATCCCATACTGAGACGAAATGGCCGCTCACTGCTTCTAGGTTTTCCATAGTGGTCTAGCTTCAATTAACTCAGGAACTGAATTATTAAATAACTTAGATTTAATAGAAAAGAAATTAATATTACCTGTCACAATTCTTGTCAATAAAGCAGTTGCTCGAAATGTATTGTGAAAATTTGCATGTCGACCAAGATTATCACCATATTTTACAGATCCAAATAAAATAACACCAGCCAATGCATATACCATCATTAATAAAAACATACTCATAATAATAAATAATGATTTATACATTGACATAACAACAGTTAACATTAACATTTTCAATGTAACCTGTAATAAAGAAATCGAAAAAAAACAAAATAATGCTATAATTATTTATTGAAAACAAATACAAAAATTGCTATACGATCATTGAATAATGTAACTTCATTATTATTATTGTTACTATTTAAACATATAAACATGGGTACAAGAAGGCACCGAATGGATAAGCGCCATATAAACCCTTCGATTTGTGTAAGGGCTGGAATACTGTGAGGGTGTGCAACGAAAACAGGTGGTCTCCTTGAGGGACCACACTCCGAACACCTGGCTTCAAAATATAATCCGCAAGGTAGTGGAGCAAATTTAGGAGTGCAGTCCCATTGTAGCCGGTTACCAATAATACATTCATACACCATCTGTGTACCATTGATTTGGAATCAGAGTTTTCCAACTCCCCTAGGTGGATCTTCCATATCCACCAACCCGGTTAAAGCGTCGGACATTCGCTTTTCGTCCACTCAATTTCACAACCAACACTCCAACTGCGAGAAGGCAGTGAGTAAGACTTACCAGGTCACGTGAAAGCATTTCTACAGAGAGAGTTGACTCTCCCCACTCTTGACTGTACCAGAGCATTTGAGGGCAATTTTATTCTATGGTAAAAACTTGTACCGAAATGTCATCATGATAATTTAACGTTTGATGTCATTACAAATAGAAAGTAGAAAACTATTGTCATCAATAGCAAAACACATAGTTAAAATACATTCTAGGATTGATCTTAAAATAACATTTGGAAGTTTCTATATTTATTATTATTTTTGCATTCTTAAGTTTGAAGAAGTAATGTAACTTTGAATCTACCTTGACAATATTTAATTCATTTATAAACTAACAATCTATTCTTATATTATTTCACTAGTTCCCTCAAGATTACAGGTACACCTTACTGACGAGTGCCAAGTGGCACAAAACCCGGGTCCAAGGTTTCCTGTGGATTAATTCCAACCGCCATCTAATCTCAATATATAGTGCACGCAGTGTCGAGTCACCTAAACTAATGGCCACGTCGCAACATGATCGATAGCATTCGATCTGCACTAAATAAGGACTTGACACGCATGACATTTACCACCACCCAGTGATCAATCAATTGTGAGGGTTTGTTGTTGTTGTTGTTGTTGGTGGTGGTGGTGTTGGTGGTGGTGTTGGTGGTTATAATCAAATCCATCATGAGGATTCTTCAAAATGAAAAAAAAGTTGAATTTTAGGAATCAAAGAAAAGTTGTCGTCTGAATACAAACATTGTTAAACCACGCAAGAGGTTGTTGTTTGTTTATTTGTTTTTGTTTTCTTAATGAATAAATAAAATAAATACTATTGAAATAACTTTGCACGTTATTATTAACTTACATGCCTTCCAGCAATTGTGAAAAATCTAAGCATTAAAACAAACCAACCGAAATTATTGCTTATCATATGTTTTTCCTTTGAAAAAAGAAAGAAGAACAACACAGAAAAGGTTGTGAATAAATAAATAATTGAAAATAACAATGATAAGTGACTATTGGGACTCAGTAACTAATTGGAGAATGTGATAGCGTTTGAAGCGAACGGTACTGGGTTCGAGTTCTGGAGTGAACATCAACTCTGTGATAGGTATGCATCCAGCTGATGAGTTTTAAATAAGATGAAACGCACGTCCTAGGTTCCACGGATAACCAATATCTATCTTTGCATAAAATGATAAGTGTTGTTAGAAAATGTTGTTGTTTATTAAATATAAAACTTACAATGCTACATCTTATGTTTATACAATGGTATATTCAAATATACAGGTTATGCTTAGAAACATTTTGTTCTACAATTAACTTCTAACCAAGTGTTTATATTGATATGCATGAGTTAGTGAATGAAGTATAAAGTCAATATCAAATAAATGATGGCGGATTAATTTAACGATGTATGCCAATTTCTGGAAACGGGGTATAAGTTTTGTAAAAAATATTGGCTGACATTATGAGTTCTAATCCTTGAGATGGTGGAGAAGAACAAGTTATGAAACGCATTTGAAGAATTCGAACACTTCACTTCTATTTGAAGTTTGTGCTGATGATGTCATTCAGAAGAACGATGAAAGCTCCACGACCAAACCATCCAGCTCAGAGAACAAAACTTCATCAAAAGTTCTAATCATTATTAGATGCAAAAACTAGATCTGGTATTATTGAGGTTGATATTTCTTTCTCTGAATGTGAAATTCAAATCTTTTGGGAACGCACATCCATTACGATATAAAACATAAGACCACTGAATTGTAAATATGAAAAATTAGGCATTTTTGACTGATTTGTCAGCAATCAGCAATTAAAATCAAATTTAAATTAGACTACCATGACTACCATTTGTTAAGTAATAAACAACACAATATTATTAACGTACAAATAATCGGACTCATCTGTATCGGTCATATGAATTGTTCACATCTTCACAGTCTTTCAAAGCTGATAAGTACTACTTGCCTATAGTTACTGACTCTTCACACTCGTACGACGTCTTTTTTTAACAGTCTTATATTCACCTAAAAACATTTCGCGCTCTAAAATTTGTCGTATCCAGGTTTATTTGATGATTCTATACACAAAATGTATAACTGAGTAGTTTCAATTATTATAGCTAAGAAGACTCCATGAACATCACTTTATCGTTCATAAAACGCGTCTTAACTTAAGTTGGTTCAACATGAAATCTACGCATTTTTGTATTAAAATTTCCGAATTATGAACTAAGTCTGAATGACTATTTATTCGTAAATCTAGGTCGAGAAAGTTTTGTATGCCAATTTACAAAGCTTCGAAGAAAGTTTAAAATTGAAGGGTGTCACTTTCATCTATTCAAGAGAGTGCAATAAAAAATAAAACAGTAATTTGTTAACAATTTTACAACCTTGATTGCCCCTGAATGTCCTGGTACAACCAAGGGTGGGGAGAGTCAGCTCTATTTCTTGAAATGCTTTCACATGGCGACGCGTATATAGCCTCTGCCAGGGAAGTCCTACTCACTGCTTTCTCGCGAAGGGGTGTTGTTTACGGAATTGAGAGGACAAAAAGTGAATGTCCGACGCTTTAAACCAGTTGGTTGACATGGAGAGTCCAACTAGGGAGTTGAAAAACCCTGATTCCAAACCAATGGTGCACATGGGTTCCAGTATCCTGAAGGAACAAATGATATGTAAATCAATTATTGGTCACTGGCTACCATGGGACTGCATCTCCTTACGTCGCTCTACTACCTTGTGGATTAGACTTATAGGTCAAAGTCTCCGAGCGCGGTTCTTTAATAAAACCATCTGTTTAGGTTTGAGAACTTGGAAAGTATCTCAACCCTCACACATATCAATGATAACTATTACTGACCTTATTGTTATTATACGGCACATATCTATTTGGTGCCCCGATATTTATATATTCAAATAAATAAATATATAAATAAATCATTATAGAATGAATTAACACTTACAGGAATTGGTCGTAATATAAAATGTAAAATAATCCATGTTACACCAAGTACAGCAACAAGCATATCAAAACGATTACGTTTCGATTGCCAATAACCTCCAAATTTTAATGCAATAATTTTTAATAAACATTCAATACAAAAGAATAAGGTAAATATAATACCTAAAGAGACTTGAATTTGATATCTTGGTTTAACCCAACTGGATCTTTCAGTACCCAATTCATTAAACTAATAAAAGGAAATATAATATTGGCAAGGGGGAATAATAAAATTAAAGAGTTTATTGAATTATCCCAAATATAATTTAAAATAGAATAAAATAAATAAATATGTCACGTTTTCGATAGACTAGATTAATTTAAATGAATAAATAGGCAATTTTATGCAATTAGTTTCCTTTATGTAGCCGAACCAGAGCAGAAAAAGACAAGGGACAAGCTGAATACACAGAAGTACACATGCAAATGGAGGAAGAAATCAAGAGGAAGCGTTGGAAGTGGATTGGACACACATTGAGGAAAGCATCCAACTGCGTCACAACATAAGCCCTCACTCGCAATCCTCAAAGCCAAAAGAAAAAAGGAAGACCGAAGAACACATTACGCCGAGAAATGAACAAGAATTGGATGGAACTAGAAAATAAGGCCCAGGATAGAGTGAGTTGGAGAATGCTGGTCGGCGGCCTATGCACCATTGGGACTGACAGGCGTAAGTAAGTAAGTAAGTTCCCTTTATGAATCTAAATAAAGCCAAAACGAATATGGATGAAGAATAATATGAATTCATTATAGTTTTTGGTTTCTCATCAGTTGCTTACAACCAAATATGTATTCAAATATTATATTGAGATAACAAATAGTATGAAATAATTGACATAAGTGAATGTTATAAATTACCTAAATAAACACAGAAATGTTTTATACAGAATCACTTTCACCCAAAGATTCACATGATATTCACTTAATCTGACTTATTTTTTTTGATGGAACTTACTATTCTACCCTGTACCTGTTTACGATTTAGCTCGGTTATTTATGTTTTATTCTAATGAAGTAACTTTCAATGAGACTATAATTTATGGACGTAATAATGGAATTAAAGACAGCACATTTTGGATTTAGACGATAAACTCATTCATCCATTTAGTTACATAGTGTTTTGTTAATTAAGCTGATAAAAACCCTAGATCTAACTCTTAACCCTAACTATCAATCGTTAATCACAATTCTAATCCCTTATTAAGTCCTAGTTAATAAGTGAACATTCTCATGGTTACTTCAGTGTCACTCAAAGGTCATTCATAAATTATAGTCTCATCAATCAATCATTTTGATTCTATAAACTTATGTAATAACTAATCTAATATGAAAGTGACATTTGAATTGCGTATATAAAAGTTTCAATAGTTGATATCATGAGTCAATTGAAGCTAGACCACTATGGGAAACTTGGAAGCAATGGACGGCCATTTCTTCCTAGTATTAGACTCCTCAGTAGTGAGTATCCACGATCCCGCCTCGCGTGATTCGAACCCAAGACCTACTAGTCTCGCACGCAAGCACTTAACGACGACAAAGACCGCAATTAAATATGATGCATTATCAAAGACTTAATTTGGAGAGGAAATTTTTAAATTTTTTTCTTTTTCAAATAATTGAAAATCTGTCAAGTCTGAAAAAGCAAAATATCAGCAATCGATCATAGTCGAAATCATAAAATGAACAACAAGATTATTAATGTACTAGAATAGAAGGTTTGCAAAGATTAGTTGTTTTTGTGAATAGTTTATATTACAAGCTAACTATGGTTAGATAAATACTAAAAATTAGACAACACTGAGTTGTTTTATTACAGTATAGGACTTGTCAATAGTGTACAACAACTACGGAATCACGATTGGATCCGTGAACTTTCGACCTCATGGTAAACAGAACATTTAGATCACGTAGCTGGTATTGAATACTACATTTTCCTAACTTCAATTAATATGAGTGAACTACATTGTTCATAGCTTTTTACTAGATTTTCGGCAACTTTTCTCAATATTAACCATTAGAACAAAGTGAAACACTCATCCAATCCAATCCGGTTTCCAAAATTTTGTCAGTTGAGATCAGTTTCTGATGTAAAGTACTTTCAATGGTTAAGATCAAATTACTGAAATAGTTATTTTAATTGGTATGACTAAAACTTATTGATAATGATTGAGTGATGCTAAACTGATCTTTAGAAGATTTGCCTACTTACTAAGGGTCAAGTGAAAAATCATAATTGAGATTTAGAGTTGGGAGTTAGGAATAAAAGTTTTCACCACCAACTGACATCAGCTAGAGTGCTGAAGTTCTATTTAACTGTATGAATGAACAAATTTTGCACCGATATATTGAAGATGTGGGAAATTTAACTTCATTGATTCGTCTACAAATTATAATCTCAATGTTTAATTGAACTAAAAATAGATCACAATTGATTGATCACTTGGTGGTGGGTGATCAATGTCATGTGTGTCAAGTCCTTCTTAGTGCAGATCGAATACTATCGACTAAGTTACAAACTAAAATTATGTAACAATATTACTTACTGGAAAGAATAACAGAAAACAATTAGCAACAACAAGAGTTGCTGAAGCACGTTTAAATAAAATATGCTGAGTTATATCATAGATGAAACAACGAAATTTTAAACTTTTCTTTTCTAAATTATTCGATTTTGGACTGACTATATTTCTTGTTAGACCAGGTTCTTGATGAAGTTCTATTTTTGAAAAAAGTAGTGTAAAAGCAAGTAAAGAAAAGGTATATAGTAAGTGAAAAACATTTCATACTTCATTTTAGTATTCTAAACACTAAACTTGATTATGAATTGAGATTAATTGAGGGTGTATTAGAAGCATAAAATCAACGGTTTTACGCCGGTTATGTTCTTCTTGACAATGTACACCTATGAAATCATAATGAATAGAGTTCATTTACTATTACTCTTACTGATATCATGGAAATCAAATTTTTTTAAAAAGTAAATGATCCACATTTGGAAGTTTATTTAAATCACTAAACACAAAAATCTTAACTGTCTATTGCTGACACGTTTTCTAAATTTTAACGGAAGCATATTATTTGAAGTCCAAGAATATAAATCCCTGATAACATTGAATGATTATGAAACCACATCATAAATTATATAAAATTAGAAATTATGTCCTGATGAACATTAACTCATTGACTGAATATAATCATGATCCTTAATAGATCTCAAGGCCACATGCTGGATTCAATGTGCAGTTTAATCTATGTATCATTACATAGTCCCCATTTTTCACTGATTTAATCAATTATCGGCAGTGAATGATGTAAGTTATCCTCAAGTCAGAGCAAATAGTAAGGTTTAACTTGTTAATTGACCATTGAGTAGATTATAATATTCCAGTGGGTGGAAAATTAGATACTGGTTGACTAATGTTCCATGTAGATCTCATTATTTTTCGAGTTAACCCAAGTTTTTATAGTACCAGTATGCAATCTAGTGACCACTGGTGAATAAAGAACTTTGCCTGAATGGACTTATTTAAGTAGTTAGTTAATGTATGAAGATGATTGATATTGAGTAGAATATAGAACCCATTCGAATATTTAGGTAGTCAGAGTAAATCAAGTGGTTATATGAATGCTTTTTGAAAATATGATAAATTTGAATTCAGTCTTTAAGAGTTTTGCTGTAAGTAATTGAGAATCATAGAAAATTGAGTATGTTACGCTATATAACCCACCATCATAGGTAAAAGCACAACGCTCCTTATATTCTTATCCTGTTCTTTGCTCAGTTATGAACAATGATGTTCAGAATTATTTTGACAAGATTGTTCAGTAACACATACAATATAATTAACTTAGAATGTCACGTAATAAATTTAAAATAGGGATTTTCGTCACCAATATGTACAATATAGTCAGCAGTTGGAAACCACAATATACTGAATTGCTAGAATTTGTCCATCTGCGGGTATATGTACTCACTTCCGAGAACTTGTACACTGTCAAGGAAAAGCCATCCAGTTCTCCTTGTATTTAAATGGTTAATTGGTTAATATGAAAAAGACTACCTTATTTGTTGAACGTTTCACTCATTTACAAGGTTACAGTTTTAAAACGTTCTCAAAACGTTGTGTTCAATTTTCAGCCATTCATTAACAAGTTCAAATCCTATCCTACCCAATTTGATTTCGTTAATCAGGTGATATCAGTACCTTTTACACTTCATTTATAACTCAGAGATAAGTCCATAAACTTTTATCTGGTAATGAGTTAACATTGATTTGAGTAGCTGATGTAGTTACCTCAGATACTAAAACTCATAATATCTCCATATGATTAATTTTGATCTTGTTATGACATAATCACTGATCCTTTGAAACTTAAAATGTATTTGTGATTGTATAATTAGACTACTAGTAAATATATTTGAAAATATATGAATATATTATAGAAATAGCTTACTTGGACGTGGTGGAATTTGTAAAGGTTGAGTTAATCTTATACGACCTTTTAAATCTAACCATCTACGTTGATCAACAGTAAGTAATGCTGTACCCTATAGAGAATGTTTAGATTAAATGAATATGTTATTTAAAATATCATGAATTAAATTTATTTTAATAATTTGAGAATAATCTGTTATTTCAATAGTTGAAATCATGAGTCAATTGAAGCTAGAGCACTATGGAAAACCATACACCATTGTCCTCAGTGAGCTGATATCTCACAACAGAACTGGTTGAACTCCAGTGGTAACGGGTTCTTATTAAAACTACAGGAAATGCCTCTTGAAGTGAGCAGATGATTATTATTAGAAGAGGTTTTGTGATTTTTTTTTAGGAATTTTGGTAGTTGAATTCATGAGTCAATTGAAGCTAGTCCACCATGGGAAACTTAGAAGCACTGAATGGCCGTTTCGTCCTTATTGGACTCCTCAGCATTGCGCATTCACGATCCCGCCCCCGCTCACTGTGAGGTTCGAACCCAGGACCTATATTTAAGTCAACAGAATCTAAACTGGAACATTATCCATAGTTTTCTATCAATATCAACTACTGTATATACAATTCACTAGTGGGCATAGATACACAACTATAGACACGTACACACATATTTATATACGTGTAGTATTGACAAGTCCAACTGTCATAACAAGTTTAAATTAAAATAATTCCGAATGAAAAATACAATATAAAATACAACAAAAAAAGTGAAATGATTTGAAACTATGATGGTACGGTATAAAAGATTGAAAAAACAAACAAAATTCACTGTCTCTTTTCCCATATGCTTTGATTAGGACTTTTTTAGTCTCAATATATATTGACAATGAACAATTCTGTCTGATCATTATCAATTGTGTATTACTTTTTAATATGAGGAAACAGATGAAGAGAAAAACATTTTTTTTCTTTTTGACAGATTTTTTTTGGAATTTTTATTTTAGAAAAAAAACTGCTTTCAAAAAAAAACAAGCAAACAACATACATTAAAATTATATTTGTAGTTGTTGATTGAGAACAATATGTGAAATTTAACCAAAGATGGATAGTAGCTGGCAGTGGAATCCAGTTTGACGCGCATTTCATCCTGTTTGGGACTCGTCAGCTAGATGTATCTACATCCCATTGTTGATGTTTACTCCGGGATTTGAACCCAGTAACGTTCGTTTCAAATGCCATCCATCGAGTTTTCCACTTAGCTACTGAGTCCTGATAGCCACCTGCTTTGTAGTGGGGTGAAGTTTGATTTCACTTCTTGTTGTTTTACTTATATCTTCCCATTGTTATTTTGGGTTACAATTGATCAGTCTCATGCAGGTACATCCAGATGATGAGTTCCGAATTGGACGAAATGCGCGTCAAACTGGAGTCCACTGCTAGCCACTATCCATTTTCGTTTTTAAAAAAGCTTCTGACTTAAGACTATTTCGAGGCGATCCGTACAGGATGCACATATGCCAATAACAGACAGATCAATCGCAGTCCTAAATAACAATTGGAAGATACAAGTAAAACAATACCAAGTGAATATGTGAAATTATTTGAAATTTTTTAAAAGTTTTGAAGGTAGTTGAAATCCAAAAAATAACTTGCTTTTGATCCAAACAAACATGGTAAAACATATTTTTTTTAAAATCACTGGGTAATTTTTCTTGGTCTTCTACTTAATATTGGTTAAAATTTGGAAAGTCTTCAATGCCAGTCATTATTTTAAGCCCATATATCTTATTCTAGCTTTCGGACAGTCCATTCTATTCATTCTACTTGAGTCCCATTCTGACCTTCTTATTTATTCGCTTATCAATCTTCACTGTTTTTATATCAGCGAGTAGGTGTGTGTACATTTCTTATCCCATTCATTACTCGTCACATGTCTGTAACTTACTTTTGTGTGACTATAAATATTGATCAACGTTTGGTTAAATAGGAGCTTGCTCACCAGCCATCTCCACTCTGCGTCGTTCCTCTTCTCTCTATTCCATTTGCTTTATGTACAAAATATATGTATTCAAAAGTCCATTCACGCTATTCAACTTATTTAATTACGTTATTGACTAACGCGATTTAAGTCGATGATTATATACGAGGATAGGCGATAACACACATTCATAAGATCTAATAGGAGTCAAATCTCGGGCCACTAAAGTGGAGAGCTTTTTCGAAAACATCGTCCGATCTAAATGAGGACAAAATTACGGGCCTCCACAAAAAGTCATCCTGAAGTCCTAACAATGTTACTAGTGAAACCAGTGGGATTGATGAGTTCAAAACCTTAATGGAATCAACAGTTGCTAACGGATGATATGTCAAACTAAGACATAACAGCTGTTCACTTCATCACTGCTTTTTAATGAGTGTTTGGATAGAGTCAATAACAGCACATAATTTGTTTGAAAGATTGATATACTTTATTATTTATTGTCTTCTTCTGACATTATTGGTTCATGATTTCAGGTACAATAAGTTTAAAATGTACAAATTCACATGGGTTAAATAAATAAATAGAATCAAATATCAGTGAAACAGTTAAATAACTAGAATATCAGTTGTTCCATGACTTTTAGGAAACAAATCCTTTAGGTTGTTGCCATATGAACAAACAGAATAATGCAGAAATCATGTCACACTGTTATCACTTTTTATCAACAATAACATTATTTAAAGATAGATGAGTACATAGGTTGATAGTATCCGGAAATATTGCTGGAAGCTGAAAACACTGAACCTCATTACCGCATTGTTTAATGAATCATTCTGAAAATGAGACATTCACACGCTGTTAACAAGATTACAATATTTTCCAGCATAGGGTTGTGGATATTGTTGAATTGGATTAAAATTACACTGAAAATTGTCATGTGCTCTCTAGTGAGTAACTTCGAGAGGAAGTTGTGACTAGTGGAGTTCAACGGTGTTGAGTGTGAGGAAATTACCCACCGTCGACAATAGAAAATGGTCACGCTATGTCGTGGATAGTCTAAAGTTAGACGTTAACACTATTGAATGCCAACTCAGTGGTCTAGGGGTTGATCGTTTGCACGCGAGACCGACGGTTTTAGGTCCGATATCCCAGTGCTGGGTCATGGATGTTAACTGATTTGGAGTTTTGTAATAAGACAAAACTCCCGTTCAGTGCCTTTAAGCTATCAATGTCGTCTAACTTAGATCTATTCAAGATTCCAACGAGACTGGAATATTGACTGAAATTATGATTCGTTTGATTCATGGACTAATTCGGTATTGTGGTTGTGTCTTTCCATCAATAACCCCCTCCCATAGTTTTCATGGTTTCTTGAGCTAACATCACTTAATGTAAGATTTTTCGTGATGATTATTTTTGTTCTTATATCAATACTGGTCTAATTTGACCTTTTTCGTACAAATGGTCTTAAAACGTTACCTGTCATATTACTGTTCAAAACCCATCAACCTACTGTAATACAGCTCTGACGAACTTCCTCTTCCCATTATACTATCCAAATTCATTTGGGGGACTGTCTTAAAAATATGCTTATTAATGTGTTTAGATAACTATATCTAAGACTGAAATAATTTTTATAAATAAGTGACCAAGTTTAAAAATAGTTATTTGCATTAATTGTAGAGATTAGATTGTGATTTTTATTTCAGACTTAGATCTTCTTTAAGACTGTATACTATACAAACCGAAGACAAGAGATAGGTAATTTAATCAACTTTATAAGTCTGACCAAGGATGAAGTCCGATTTCACGCTTTCAGTTGGTTATAAAAACAATGGCTTCTTGAACCACAAAGAATATAAAAGGATTAGAAACTTTTTGATAGAATTTTGTGTAGTTAAATAGATGTTTGAAAAAGCGTTACAACCCAGCTTTTGATATTTAACTGCTGAGCTAGATACGAATGTTCAGTTGGTCAGTTTCCATCGTGACACAAACTAACCTCAGCTGATGAATCACTGACAACCAAGTAGCAATGAACTGCTCCTTCATCCCTAGTAAAGGATTTTCAAGTGATGCGTATCAATAGCTGCTTCTCAAATGAAATATATTGTCTTTAGGTAGGGAGTTCAATCATGTCAGGAATGAGATAGATATCACCGATGGATATTGATAATAGCCGAGCTAAATAACAAATCGAGTGAAATTGGATGCATAACCTATAAGATAACAACTCTGCAATAAAAGAGTGAAACGTTCTCTGTAGCACCTGAGAGTTCTGCGTTTGATTACCAGTCATTTCGTTTAATACCACTCAAGACTTTCATACTGATGCGAAACACTTGAATCGTTTTTGCACACTATGTTGCCGAAGGTTTTCTTCGAAAGGAAAATTATATATTTATTCGGAAGAAGTTTTGAAGTTCTGTGGAATTGTACTTTTCATGGAACCTCTTTATAATATTTCCTCAATCTTGACTGACTTATCAGCCGTAAATTTTCCTTGATAAATACACTATTAGGGAATGAAAGAAATTTTAACGTCATACTATCAATTTTATCCGGTTCTTCGGTGAATAGAATAAAGTCAGGCTTAGTTGGTAAAATAATGACAAATAACTGGATGATATAAGCTGAAATTACTTAATATATATCTTATGCATTGTCTGATTGATTATGTTACATAATGGTGTTGACGTTAAATGATATTGTTTCCGTTAACGTTGTGTTAATTAGTAATAGTAACCATGCCTTAAATTGTTTGTATTTTAGATAACACTAAAAAAGTTACTTTGTCTGCTGTTTCGATTTGGAACATGTTTATGTTTCCTGTTTGGTCTGGAAACAAATTTTTTTTTCTATGAAATATTCTGTCAGCTGGTTAAAAACATTAATCTATGACCTATACATAAGTCTTCTCACTTGTGAAATTAATATTGTACACATTTAAGTCGGTCACTGAACAAAACCATTTTTGATGTCTAACTGTGGTTTTGATTATGTGGTATATAAGGGAGGAGGTACACTGGAAATACTTCATATCCTGAAAACAGTTTATTTCCATGGTAATATACTACAACAAAATAGCAGAAAGGAATGTTTACCTTATTTTCACTGTAGTTTGCAATAACCACCCCAACGAATAATGTTAAACCAATAAGACATCCAATAAAAACGAATAAGTGTATATAAATAACATGTCGCTGTAGAAAAAAGGGAGGAGAGAATAAAAGTAGAAATCTTATTCAAATAGCTTAAACTAAATTAACAGTTCAGTTCGATATTTATATTAAAAGTCATTGAATGCTAGAGAATACTGTACAACTATTTGACTGAGCTTTAATATTTGTTACCAGTGCAAAACCATAACACTAGGCATAGTGACAAGTGGTGACAATTAAATTATAGTGTGAGATAGTTAAAGATTAGTAACAATCAATCATTAATCTGTTGTTATTCTAGAGACGTTCTTTATATTACATAGTTTCATCATTAAATTGTGAATATCTTTCTAGACAATATTATCAGTGTTCACTTCAAAGAAAAATGAGCTAATCGAATTTCTCTACAAATGGATGATATTTTGACCTAATGATCAGGTATTCAAATGTTTGTTATCTAGATTTATGTAGTTATTGTTTGTATATTTATTTCCATTGTCTTCTACCTTGACCTGATCTCTCACCTTGATAGCATTGTAAACGACTAAAGTTGGAAAATGTAGACTATCGAATTCACAAATCATATACTGAAAGAACTTGGGCTTATTATGAGATTTGAAAATAGTGGTTTCAATTGTATGAATGATTGAATACTGCTAATAATTTTCAAACTAGGACAAAATGATAGTCAATACTTTATAAATAGTTGGGATCATGAGTCAATTGAAGCTAAACAACCATAGAAAACCGAGAAGTACTGGAGAGCCGTTTCATCCTATTGTGGAGCTCCTCAGCAGTGCGCATCCACGATCCCGCCCCCCGCGAGATTCCAACCTAGGGCCTATCAGTCTAGCGCGCGAGCACTTAACCACTAGACCACTGAACCGGTACATGAACATGAAAATAGTGGGTTCTGGGTTCGAATCCCGCATGGCAGGGTAGTGCATGCGCGCTGATGAGGAGTCCCACAATAGGACGAGAAGGCCGTCCAGTGCTCTGTGGTGATCTAGCTTCAATTGACTCATGATTCCAACTATTGAAATTATGAAATCTCCACAAAATCCCTTCTGATATTACTACTTATGATTCTCAATACTTTTCTTGGCTCTATTCATGCATATTAATAATTAGTTTCAAATTGAATTCATCTAAACAAATCATCTAATTAGACAATCACAATGTAATTAGTGAATAGAAGAATTCAATTTAATTGAAAGTATGCAAATTCTATTCAATTAATTATATGCATGCAATCAACAGAAAAGAATGAAATTGTCAAAAATAACAAATTAGAAAGTAAAGATGATCAAATTTCGAATTAAACTGGAATTATATTATCATATACATAAATACAGCGAACGGAAACGTGATGGAGACAACCAACTTACCACCATCATACATATGAAAACCATGCATTAAATACATCATTTTTATATTTCCCATCAATTGTATTTTACAAACTTCATCATTTCTTCATTTTCTATTGTTAGTACAAGTAATCTTTGTTAACATTTCTATTCTTTTCAATCTTCTACCGCCGGGCATCCCCCTTTCGATTGGTGTTACATACTACTTATATCTTTCAATATAAGTAGCAAACATTACAATATATCATTAATAAATAAACAAGTTATTTCTTTTTGTAGGCATCAATTATATTCACGTTAAATAACTGGTTTTATGTACTACATTACTTGACTTAGCAATGAAAAATATTGAAATGGTTGAGAAGATTTGTAGCTCAGGTGTATGATTTTGATAGAGTTATGTTCTTTGAGCTGGATGGTTTGGTTGTAGAGTTTTCATTGTTCTCTGAACAACATCTGCCTGAAGTTTGTGCTGAAAAGTATTATTTAATATATATGTGATTTAATTTTATTAGTTGAGATCATGAGTTCACCATGGAAAACCTGGAAGCACTGGACAGCCGTTTCTTTCTGCTGTAGGACTCCTCCATAGTGCGCATCCACGACGGCGCCTAGCGAGGTTCCAATCCAGGACTTATCAGTCTCGTGAGCGAATGTTTAACCTCTAGACCACTGAGCTGGTCGGCACTCCACGGTGTTAGTGTCTAACTTCGATAATTCACAAAATTGAGCGACACATCCATCATTGTCATCAGTGAGTTATTATCTCACAACAGACCCGATTGAACTCCATTGGTCATTTATTTGCATATTTTACAATTACACTATACATTGTGATTTCTTACTGTGGATTCAATATAGAGTTATTTAGTCAGTTATAATCAAATTAATATCTGGTTTAAATACTTCTCAACATAATGAGATAAAATGGACAAGATGAATAGGGAATCGGTCTAAATAACGGTGGAGTCAATAAAAAGAATAAACACAAGAGCAAAGAAAATGTGTATTGAAAAGTCAATTTTTTCTTCTTCTAAACAAATTAACTTTGGTAATAACTTAGTTGGAGCAAAACGGGATTTAAATTCTTCATTCTACATTGCAAATAATCACTTAAAGAATTAAAATGAGAAAAACATTTCAGCAGATGGTGATACATATCCCACTTGGATATAAGAACATTGCATTAAATAAGATTAAATGCTTTGCAAACGAATTATCATTTTGATTGAAGTGAATTATAAGTAAAGAATTCAGAACTTTCTCAGCAACCGATGCATACGAACTTGTAGTTTTACACTGAATAATAATTAAAGCCGTTGAATACTGGAGCTATGAAACTATTCAATTAATATCCAGTGTTTAGTGACTACGAAGATTCCTTGTATGTTAACTGTGATACGGAATGTAATAATAAACCACAGATAGATGAAATCACTAGTTACGATAATTGCGCAAACTACAGCCAATTACTCTACATTTGACAGTACCAGTTAGTTCGTCACTCAATAACTTCGTAAACGGATGTCATGACTTTGGTCTTCACTTAGTTTTTTCTTACAATATAATCATACACCAGCAAACATAGTAGGTCGAGGTGAGAGATGGTTAGAATAAATGTAAATATATTCTGACTATCTCAGTCGATTAAGATTCACAACCTAATTAACTGATTCGCCATATTTTTCTAGAACCCTAATTCTAAACTGAGTAGTTTCAAAACAATTAAGGAATACTTCAAATGGCTTTCCAATATTTAACGATGAATTATAACGGTTGGAATTAATGTGTTTGATTGAATTACATCATGAAAAATTATGCAAAAACTATCGAGGTACGATTGCTGAAACTGTAGATCAAATAAAAAAGGCTGTTGTGTTTTTATCACTTTAAAACATCTGCAACACTCAGAAAAGGTTCTATAGTGTAAACATTAATTGTGCATTGTACGATAAGACTAAACAAATTAGATCTGTACGTCTACAGAATAATTTGAACGCATTTATTTCGAATACTTTAGATAGTATTAACAACATACTATTGTGTCCTCTTTATTCATATGAAGCTAAAGAAGACTAGATCATTTCGGTTTATCATTCATTGTTACAAAGATTGATGTATTGAACAGCATAATTTGAATAGATTGTATAATCTAATTAATAAGTTCTAATGTTTCGAAAAACTTTTTTCTCTTTCCATAATAAATTCAAGTCATGGCGTTCGCTTTCACGTGAGACTGAAAGCCCTGGGTTCGGATCCAGCAAGCAGGATCGTGGGTGCGTACTGTTGAGGAGTCCCATAATAGAACGAAACAGTCATCCAATGCATTCAGGTTTTCAATGATAGTCTAACATCAATCGGTTCATGATCCCAATTAAAAACTTAATAATCGTCACAACCCCTACACTGATAAAGTCATAGACTTGAATGTCCACAAATTAAGACATTACATACATATTTTTCAAATGGTTTTTCGGAGAATCATTCACTCAAAAAAAATCTATACAGGTCTTTAAAAGAAAAAAAGAAAGAAGAAAACTATGGTACATAGATACAATTTAATCACTTACTGGACCAATACGTTCTTTAATGACATCACGTATTTCAACCCAACCTTCAAGTGATAACACTTCAAATAATGCTAATATTGCATTACCAATATTATCAAAATTGAAATTTCTTGGATTAGCCCATACTCTTGGTACAAGTATTTTAATTGATTCACCTTTAACACTTTTCAATTTGGTTGAAGCTAATTCACGCATAAATCGTCCAACACATTTTTCCTAAACATATGTGTATATATATAAAAATGAATAAATAATAATACTTTCTCAAAGATAAGTAAAGTATATGACTTATAATTCTAGATGTAATAAACTTGGGCTAGACCCTTTATAGAGGAGGAGACTCAAACTAAATCTTATCTTTTTCTTCAAACTACTTCATAAACTATCGTTTACATCCGATCACGCGATTCAATATGCAGAAACCTCTCATTATGACATCCGTAATTCCTTGTCACTAGTGAAACAAACTCATTCTAAATCATCTCTTTATATGAATTACTTCACCTGTAAATTTTCTCGACTCTGGAATAACCTACCACAATCTATCCGCACGATAAAATCACTCCCATTATTTGTTCGCTGCATCGATGCATACTACTCCTCTGAAAATGCAATGGAATGGTCTAGCGCCTTCAAGTGTATATTATTCCACAAGTGATATTTTAGGAACCTTAAATGTTTAGCCATCTTTATTAGTGAATTCCCTTAGTAAAACAACCCACTTGCTGTCAATATGTTAACACCGCCCCTAGTAATTTTAACTAATTTGAATAACATGAACAGTATATCACTGTGTCACATGACACATGCATTTTGGTAGACCTGATTCATATATTTTGGTAATTACTGCTTTGTTGTTTCGTGCTCTCTGTTTTCGTTTTAATTTCTCTAGTTGTAGATAATTATCATTAAATTCGTTCTGGCACACGAAATGACCCTAATTACAGCGTTCATAAACCAACAGGCTGTCCATTTAAGAAAAACTAAAAGTTCCCGGCTGATGCATTTGAACGCTGTAATACATGTACTACCTAAACAATTACTGAACTAGTATACTTAAAACTTTCTTTTATCACATGTTTGTTCTGCACGTCTAATGTTATTATTTATATCAAATTGATCATGCCTGTAAACTGGTGTGAATTCTGTAATTATTATTTTTCAAATATAAAATTATTACTATTATTATATTTCTTTTCTCTGATGTTAAATACATATTTTAAAATTAGATATAAGTTCATAAGATTGTAGACTATTATTCTAAGACAATAAAGATTTTATAAGTAAAGATGGATAGTGGCTAGCAGTGGAATCCAGTTTAACGCGCGTTTTGTCCTATTTGAGACTCGTCAGCGGATGTACCTGCAGTTCAGAGTTGATGTTCACTCTGGGACTCCATCTTTGCTTATAATGTTGTAAATTAAGGTGACATCTAGGCAATACGTACATTATGCACATATGCCAAAAAGAGACTGATCAATTTCAGTCCTAAATATCAATGGGATGATTCAAGTAAAGTAATACCAAGTGAATAGAGATTTTGTTCTTTAGGTTATTGAGATTAGAAGAATCACGATATGATATATCATACAATTAAGTTGTTAATAAAATACTGTTATGAGCTTTCTAGCTGAAATGAACATTTATCTAGTACTTGTATATTCACTATGGTTATTTCAATTCCATCAACAAATCTGACATCGATATTTAAACAAAATCTTTGAATATTGCTTCTCTTTACTTCTTCTGAAATGAAGATTTAGCTTTTTTATTCAAAATATTCTTTCAAATTAAATATTCAAACCAATAAAGTCACATAAGAATAGATAATCAGGATTGAATTGATACAATCTAAACATATCTCTTTTATAATGTATATAGAATAATCAGCAATTTATATTTTCCCTTTCATTTGACTAGTCGATCAAATAACTCATTTTTATCATCATGAGGATGAATCATAAAGTTGACATTGATTTATCATTTTGTGAAATGTTCACAATCCTATGAAGTCAACAATAATAGCTCTTTGCAAATAACTGGATATAATGTACGTAACACTCAACTGAGTCACAAGGAAAGCCGTCGCATGAAACACTCAAGGCCAAAGGAAAAGAGGAAGACGAAAGAACACATTAGACCGGAAAATGGAGAGAGACATGCGAAAAATGAATAAAAATGGTATAGAACTAGAAAAGAAGGCTTACAACAGAATGGGTTGGAGAATGCTGGTCAGCGGCCTATGCTCCATTGAGAGTAATAGGAGTAGGTAAGTAAGTAATATACATAAATTATTTCTTCTAAAAGATAAAGCGTCACAAAATTTCATGTTGATTATGCAGGAAAAATTCTAGTAGAGCAGTCAAAAAAATAATCTATAATAGCATAGAGAGTTTATGGATATAATTGCATTTTCGTATTTTACATTACGGAGAGACTTTGATTCGATAATCATAGAAAACTGGGATTCACTGGACGATTTTATCTTTCTGGTATGACATTTTACAAAATGTTCATCAGCGATTGCAGTAGAAAAATTTGAGCTCGTACCATATGAACTAAAGCTCCTAGTTTAATGTACAGAGACCTAATTATGGTAAAGCAATTAACTGTCTCAGTGTACTTGTAAAATATGAAAACAATGCAGTAAATAAACTATTTGATCGGGTTCTTTGAATTATCTCCAACAAACTCCATCGTTTTTCTATTTCTGTTGCGATTTTGATCGGCTTTTCCTCTCCTATCGGTAAGAATTCTCAGTCAGTCAGTCAGTAACAACATAGAACTTCGTACATACGTACATCAGTTCGAGTTGCTACACCACATTAGCACAAAGATGCAGTGGTCGATTCAAATCCCGTAGTGGTAGAGGTAATAAGAGTATAAGCAGTAATCGGAAGATTAGGGTTTGGAGATGTTATTTAAAGAGTATAATACAGTGAAATAAATTTAGGAAGAGAAAAAAGAGACAAGGAGGAATAAGGAGATCAAAATTTGGGAGAACACAAAGAGTGTATGCACCTGAGCCATTGCAAACGATTTTGAGCCATGTCATTCAGGGTCTCTAACCATCGGTTGCTATCATCTCGCGGTCCCCAACCAGGTTGTCTACACCTACCAACATGGCTCAGCCCACTTGTCAGTGACCTCATGGACTTGTGCCATGTTTTGGTCTGGCCGCTCCTAGCTTTCTTCCATCCTACTCCTATACCACTGAACATCGCACGTCGAGGCAGTCGGTCGTTGGGCATACGTAACACATGTCCCAGCCATGTCAACTGATGAAGTTTCACCACTTCATCAACTAATTTGCTATCCTTACCTAGTACGCGTTTCCCAACAACTGAATTACTTACTCGGTAGTCCCAGGATATAAGAATTCTACTTCCAACACTTCGTACATACTACTTATACCTATCCGTATAACTAGCACATATCACACTAAGATTGATTCCCGATGGAATCATGGACTCGTACAGCTGGTGAGTCTTGTACTGCAATGAAACGACTGTTCAATGCTTTCTAGTTTTCAATAATCATCTAACCAAAGCCATTCGATGACGTAGGTTACAATAAGCTTTATTCTGAGAATAAATTTTCTAAAAATAATCATTTTATTTAATTTCTTAAAAGCATAGCTTATAGACATCGTAACTTTATCACTATTCAATTTCTTTGCTGGTTAGTTAAAATAATTATAGGTCAGTGTTCAGCAAAGAAAATAAAAGATGGACACAACCATACCTTGAACCTGTGACTCACTAAACTAGGAAACAGTTAATTACAGAAAATAATTATTATAACAGAGAGATAGAAAGAGTTGAAAAACTAACCCAAACTCTTTGTATAGGTTCAAAACTCGATTTGATTCGTATCTCTTGACATAAGGAGTCCTTCTTGCTCACGAGTCCTATTTAGGTCAATACGAGAGTCTAAATTTCTATTACAATGCTCTATTCAAAATATGAACGCTGTGTTAAATCTCTTTTTTTTTAAACTCGTAAAGTTATTTCCAGTAATCATTATTAATTTTACTGTTAAATCTATATTACTTATATCTGAAAAGTAAATGAATGTATTCGAAGATAAATAAATTTATGTTTCATGTTGATTTGAGAATAGGCAAAGTGGATTAAGTATGTAACATTGTCAGTGTTTTAACTTACATGAAAAAATTAACTCAAATGATTTGCTGGGTTTGTTTAATTAGATGCTTTGAGTATGATTGATTAAAACGTTTTGGATTCGATATAAACAATATGATAAAGGACAGAAAAAAGACTTCCAATTCATTATAATAAGCTTTAATCCGAACAAGACTGATAGAATAGTCAGATCAAGGCACTACCAGGATGTTTGGGATACGTTTCTTCTTCTCTAAATGAATACTGTTTTTTTCAAGTCTGGCTTGCGTTAACACCTGAACTGAGGATAGGGAGTGAAATAGTCGAACGCATCGATAACTTAACTTATCTTCGAAGTCTGGTTAGTCCTAATGGGTTTTTGTCTGACGAAATCTCTGCAAGGACTCATAAAGCTCGTTTGGCTCTTGCCAAATTACGTCGGCTGTGGTAAAGGCAGCAGTGCATATCCACGATTAGATTGTTCAAAGTGTACTGCACTACTATTTTATCCCATAGTTCTCATAATCTTCATCATCTTATATTAAACAGTCAGAATTTATCAACGAGACTAATTACTTGAATAATTTTCTCAGTAAATCACTAAATAGAGAGACTATAATTTATAGACGAATCAATAAAATTGAGGATAAGAAGTTTTGAATTCGGGCGTAAAATTCATTCATTCATATAGTTAAGTAGTATTTTGGCATTATAACTGAGATCAGTTCATAATGAAAACCTTTACTTTAATTCATAATCATAAATTCTAACTGTAAATTTTCATCTTAATTCTTCATATTAACTTACTATTCTCTTTTACCCTTCAGGTAAGTAGGTGAATGATCTTGAGGTCATTTTAGTGTCGCTCAAAATTCATCCATCCCATCCATTAAGTGTAAAAGAGTATTCTCATCGGATAGATAAACTATTTAAAAGATATTAATATTTTCAGAAGGGGGTTTTGTGAAGATTTTAGTAATTTCAATTGTTGAGATCATGAATCAATTGAAGTGCACTGCTGAAGAGTCCCAGAATAGAACGAAACGGCCATCCAGTGCCTACAGGTTTTCTATGGTGATCTAACTTCAATTGATTCATAATCTCAACAATTGAAATATTAATATTTACTGTATACTAACTAATTTAAAACTTACTTTACTCAATATATTTCTATCATTACAAATAGCTAAACGTCCACCGAATAAATGTACACCATATACAGCAAATATAAACATGAATACAACCAACAGGACAGAAACCTACAAAAAGAAATAATAATAATAATAATAATAATAATAAGATTTTCTTTGAAAAAAAGTTTTTTAGATCTTAAAATTTAAAACACTTAGTTCCTTTGATAAATTTCGATAATGCAATGCGAAGATAAAGGTTATTCGTTCGATATAGGAGCATTTCATTAACTGTGGACACACCACTCCAAAGGACTCTTCTTTTAAAGTTATCAGAATTAAGTGATGATATATTTGCGTAATACATTTCGAACAATTTGACCACACACATATACTTGTTAAGAACATTTATATATGAAAATTAAAAGGTCAACTAGACAGGTTAAGGGTAAGTCGTAACAAAGGAAAAAAATTATTAAAGTACACAAAAACAAATGTGATTACCAGTATTATCAGGATAGGTTAATTGTACGAACAAATTGTTTCTAAGATCACATAGGAGAGAGTTTCAGTTTCCGTATAGCCAAGGTTTCAATAAACCTTAGTATACGTCCTTGAAGGCTTTTATACAACATTACAAATGATGACTTGATGTCGACCTTATGACCAGTCTCAATCAAATGTTTCACAATGGAGGAGGATATCTATCTATCATATAAAAATGTCTTAAGTTTGTCTTCACATTGCATTATCGGTCTTAAAATAACAAAGGAGATTGTATAGAGAATCTTAACATTAAATTATCAGATAATTTTGTTTGATTTCATTAGTATAGACAAATATTTAATGGGAACATATCTTAATTTCAATGGTTGAGATCATGAGTCAACTGAAGCTAGACCACTATGGAGAACCTTTAAGCACTGGACAGCGATTTCGTTTTCCGTAGTGCGCTCCACGATCCTGCCTCGCGAAATTCCAATCCAGGACCTATCAGTCTCGCGTGAGAGCGCTTAACCACTAGACCAATGAGCTGGTTGGCATCCAATGGTGTTAATGTCTAACTTCAAATAATCCACAAAATCGAGCGACGCATCCACCAATGTCTTCAGTGAATTACTATCTCACAACAGATCCGGTTGAACTCCACTGGTCATTGCTTAATGTCAAATATCTATTGTCAGTTAATATTATTTACACTTATTACAGACATGATAAAATGACTTGTGAATCGATAGTCAAAATTATATATTTTTGTGTGGTCCAGTAATAACACTGTAGTGAACGAATACTCAAATGGGGAAGAATAATTTATTGTTTAATATAAAATTACAAAATGTTTTTCGTAAAATACCAAAACTAGACACCAATACTTTTATGCAATTAATTCCCTTTATTAATTTAACTAAAGACAGAACGAACCTGGATTAAGAATAATGTGAATTCATTATATATCGTGATTTCTCATTAACTGATTACAAACAAATATGCATTGAAACAATTAACATAAATGAATGCAAAGAATCAGACTGACAAAGATTATCAATAATAACCATATATCTATCTATCTATCTATCTATCTATCTATCTATCTATCTATCTATCTATCTATCTATCTATCTATCTATCATCATCATCATCATCAGCACAAACTTCAGATAGAAGTCATTTGGTGTTGGAATCAAAAAACACTGAGGGGTGAGTGATATAATAATTGAGTGAGTTTGAGAGACAGATAAGATCAAATGTGTGATAATTATAGAAGTAATGAAGGGTTTGCACAAGATTCATGGGATTAAAAAAAACCCTGGTAAAATGGGTTGCGTAATGATTAAACAAGATTTGAAGAGTTCACTTCAATATAAAATTCTAATACATATTTGGTTGTAAACAGCTGATAAGAAACCGTAAAATGGAATAAATTCATATGATCTGCATCTATGTTCGTTCTGGCTTTATTTGAATTAAATACTTTATTTGCACATCTTCCATCAGTTATCTTTTATATACTTCATGATTCTTTCATTTCTGTTATTGTTACAATTAATCTCTGTTTACATGTCTAGTCTCTTCACTTTGATCTTCTCAACTTTCTGCTGGCAGGCATATCACTTCTGATAGGTGTTACATACTACTTATGTCGACAGATATCATGAATTAAACTTATATGGAGACTTATTAAATTCAAGTTAGATATGGACTTCATCAGAAAAATAAATGGCCGCTGTTTATTCATTTATCTCGTGAGCTGATAGAACATATTGTCAAGATTTGCAATAAAAAGAGATATAAACAATGGGAATGATATTAGCTAATTAATTTTTAAGAAACTTACATATCCCATCTAAAGCACTTGAACGCAGAATATTATTTCAGGATTTTGATTACCTTTTATACCAACATTCAGATTACAAACATCTATTATTTTAAATGAACTCAGAGAACACAATAAATTCATAGATACTAACCCAGGTAGTATATAATGTCATCTACTCCATACTACTGAGGAGTCTCGGATCAGGACGAAATACTTAACTTTCCATAAGAAAGTGAAATAAGGCGATTTTTGATGATAACTACTGTAACGGCCACTCACTAACATTAGTGACGACTGCCACATTTTCGACCTGGTCGGATTCTACCTGTCATGAATTCTAACTAGAACCCATGTTGAAGTTAGTCATTAATGGACTTACAAAAACATCCTACTTTTCATCAACACTTTAACTGATATTCATTAGTGATAAAAGCAACCATCAAATAACCATAATTATATATTTCACAATTGAACCTTCTGATGTAATTTCCAGGTTCCGATATAACAATGAATATGGTCACAATTGATTGATCACTGTGTGGCGATCAATGTCATGCTTGTCTAGTCCTTATTAGTGCAGATCGAATGCTATCGATCATGTTGCAATGTAGCCACCAGTCTAGGTGACTCGACACTGCGAGCACTATGTATTGACATTTTAGATGGTGGTTGGAGGTAGCCAACAGGAAACCCTGGACCCGGGTTTCGTGCTACTTGGCACTCGTTAGCAAGGTGTACCTGTAATCTTGAGGGGACTGATGCTCCCTGGAGGACTCGATCTCGTGTCATTCGGCTTCACAGTCAGATCGGATAGCTCAGTGGTAACGTCTCTCACTGTGAAGCTGGGTGACACGAGATCGAATCCGCCAGGGGGCACCAGTTCCCTCAAGATTACAGGTACATCTTGCTGACGAGTGCCGAATAGCAGGAAACCCAGGTCCAGGGTTTCCTGTTGACTACCTCCAACCACCATCTAAAAAATGAATAAAGTAGTTCCTGAAGGTAATATGTCCAAATTTATAGATTTCACTAAACAGATAGATTCCTAATCAGTACGTTACTTTATATTTACAGTTATGATATCTCCTCAAGTGAACTGTTATAATAGTTATCTTGCGCATACAATACAACTTTATATGGAGAAGAAACTTTAGTAAAGTCGGTTTAGTAAATCCAATTAAAAAGAAATTTGATCAATATTTGACTAAATTTATCTAATACATTCAACTGAAACTTACCATAAGAATTTCTCTGAATCCTCGTACAAGTTCATAAACAACTCGACGCATTTGTGGAACTAAACAAAATATTCTTAATGGTCGAAGACATCTTAATACCATAAGTAAATGACCAGTAGATCCTGGACCGATCACATCAACACGTAACATATAACTGACAAAAATTAAACTGATCTATTTGTCATGATCAAAAACAAAATTAGAAAATAAATAATAGAATTAAGGAAAAGAAAAACAAACTGTAGTAGTAAACAACTATCATAAAATATGAAAATCATACATCAGTTACACATCTTTGAATTGTCCTTTAAAATACCCTATTATTCATTTAATTATGTTGTTGTTTCGATTACTGTCCTAATTCTTTTCTCTTCTTTCTATGTTTCTCTTCTGTTCGTAAAAAATTCTACTTCTTATACTTGATATATACTACTTATAACTGTCCTCATAAGTGGTATACATCATACTACTATTGTTGTATATATACACACATAACTACAGCTAGTTGTGAAGAATTGTATTCATCAAGTCAAATAATTAGGTCAAATAATTATTTACTGTATTCATTTGTTATTAAGATGATTATCTTATATTTTCTTTTCATAAAAAACCCTACTCATTATACAGTTGATTTCTTCATACATTGATTAAATAGTTAACACTAACAACCAGTACAGATAGGAAACAACAACTATGGATACATAAATAAATTGGAAAAAATAAATTAATTAATGAATGGAAGGAAACTTTTTTTCTTTTTTGTAAACAAAAACTTAGAAATAGAAGAAATCTAATTGAAAAAGTTGTTACTATGGAACATTGAAAGACATTGGATAACTGTATGATCCTAGTGCGAGAATTGTTATCACTTTGTATCCATGACCTCAAGAAAGATAGAATCCGGAATCTTCAAGTCTTATGGTGAATGAAAGTAATGCAAAAAATAGATTTAATAACTAAAAGTCAATTTTAAATAGTTGTTTTCTTTGGAATGTCATTTTAGATAGAAATTTGACAGTGTAATAAACATTTGTATATGGCATTCATCAAGGTTTGACTTCAATTAGTGTGCCACTGAACGCTAGTGATATCAGACAGTTTGTTCGTCATAGAATGAAAGTTTCAAACGATGCTCAATCATGATAATTTCAGGATTAAAACTCACGACCTCCAAGTTTCAAATGCCTCCAATTAACTAATATTATTACCGAACCTACCCAAAAGAATAAATACTTGTTGTAAACTTCATCCTTCATGTATTTATTTTTAAGTGGTTGATTTAACCTTATGAAACAAATTAAAAGCCTTAAGATGTTAAAATATTGAAAACGTAAATAACGTTCTGTTTCGTCTTATTATTCAAAGATATTGCTACGTCTCATAAAATAGTTGATATAGAATTCTTTCTATGAATGCATAAACAATTGACAAATAGGACTTTCAACCAATCATCATTTTGCGCTTACATACTACTTGATTTTATTAAGTGGTTTCAATACATTCAATAAATATTATAGATTTTATGTCGTGATTGGTGGTGTAAATGTGTCAGTAAGTTAAACATCCCCATAGAATATTCTTCATTTTTATAAATGAATCACTTAATCTGTGGATTTGTTTTCGCGTCTGGAAATTGGTTGGAGTTAGATATAAACACCTTTGAATGCCTGCTCAGTGGTCTAGAGATTAAGCGTTTGCGCTCGAGTCCGGGTTCGAGTCCATAAGGGGGGCGTTGATGACTAGGAGTCCCATATTAGGACGCCCAGTGCCTCCAGATTTTCCATGGTGGTCTAGCTTCAATTGACTCATGAATTCAATAACTAGATTTCGTAGCATTGATCTAATTACAATTGCATTTTAATAAACTAAAAATTTTCCGTTTCATTATGCACGTTACTTTATGAGGATTTTTTTTAGTCGAAAAGTAACCTCAAGTTATTTGAAACAGATTATTCTATAAGCAAAGATGGTTGGTGGCTAACAGTGCAATGAAGGACGCGCGTTTCGTCTTATTTGGTACGCATGCCAGAATCGTTGTTCACTCCGGGATTGAAAAGTCACGTCCTGGATTTCACTGCTAGCCACCATCCATTTTCACTTATAATGCTTGTGACTTAAGGTAGTATCGAGGCCATCCGCACAGAATGCACATACACCATCAAAAATTTAATGGTTATATTTTAACTACTATTATTTACTTAGTAATATAATGACAGGACCTTTAAAAATGTTTGGGTAGTTGAAGAGAAGGGAAATAATACATTGTGTTAAATCTTCTTGTGCATAGAATGAGAATTATATATACATAATTAATCACTTACTATATAAATAAATAAATCTAAGAATCCGCCAAAATCTTTTAAAAGTGCATTAGGGGTAAATATTAGTCCATTGGCAAATATTTTCAAGGTCATTTCTAATGTCATGACAACGAAAAAATATATTCACATATCTGTAAAAGAAAATAAATAATACAGAGAAATACCTAGAACTATTGAATAATAATACGTACATAAATTTCATCTTCTGTGATAATCATTTTCAGATGGGTTTTTTGTCGAGACTGTAGTAATTTCAATGGTTAAGATCATGAGTCAGTTGAAGCTAGACCACCATGGAAAACCTGGAAACACTGGACGGCCGTTTCGTCCTATTGTGGGACTCCTCAGCAGTGCGCATCCATCATCCTAAACTTCATTTCATTATAAACTGACATCAGTTGGAGAGAGAGAGAGAGCGACACTTTGAAATGAAAGTGAACTGCTTTGGAACATATTTGCACCAACCGACATTCATTCATTATGAAACTTGCCTTTTAGTTCATCATAGTTAATATTTTAGTCATATCATGGTCTTTAATAATATTGATAATTAAAAGGTAATAAATAAAATAATTAGATAAACTGGCTAGTAATAACTTTAGACACAAATAATGTATGTTAGCATTGTATCACCAGTTTTGTTACCTAGAATTCCCTGTAAACCAATATATTTAGTCTGTTCTATCAAGCGTTGGAAAGCTAATCTGTGACTACCTATCTGAACTTTGGGTATCCATACTAGAGGTTTAACATCGTGGCAGTTCATAAGACGAATTGATCGAGTAAGAAAAGCACTGATTAAGTTAGTCGATATGTTATTAACTGTCAGTATGGAGTTGTGAAAATTATTGAGTTTTAATAAAAGCCAGGACTGACTTAAGTTGGACAACTATTAGAGATCTAAGAGGACTAGACGGAGGTTATGTTCTATTTTGGGCTACTAAGTATAATGGCGCATGTATAACCTCACTACAGGAAATCGAACTCAGGACCTACATCTAAATCACTGAGCCGGGATCCATTTGTATACAAGCCTAACTTCAATTAGTCAACAATGATGCTCGACCATCTTTTATTGTTTTCTGCGGGTACCATCCACAAGCCCAACATATTTGGATTGAGAAGTCTCATACTAAGACGTAACAGCCGTCCAGTGTTGCCAGGTATTTAATAGTCAGTTCACGATCTCAGTATTGTCAACTGTCCAAGTAGAAACACAGTGATACTAATAGCAATAATATAAATGATATTACAAATGACTTACTTGAACTTCTGGTGTATTCATTAATCTAAAATGTGGTGTTTCTAAAGACATTGATGCACATGATAAAGTTGTTACAAATATAGCTATCCAATCCAAATATGTAACTAATCCAAGAAATTTACTAGAAGAAATTACATAGAAAAGGAAATTTTGAAGGTAAAGTTGCTTTTAATTTATATTATTTGAAAACGATATGCCATCAACATTATCAGTTTGAAAGTTACATAATTTTCAATCCAAGCAATAGATGAAATTCTATGTTTACAGATGGCCTTTAACTAGACAATATTAATTGGATTGTATTATTATGCTTACCTACTTCACTTACTCTATGAGTGATGTGTATACACGAGTCGTAATACAAGTAAGAACAACTAGACAAGTTGCATTGCATCGAGCGATGCACATTTTTAATTTTTGTATATTATGTATTCTTTGGTAGTAATTGGTAGGAAATCCTGGTGGACCTAGATTTTGCTCTAGGTTCTCACATAAAACCAATGGATCTTGATGCTCCTTATGAGGTTCCAAACCAATTCACCCATTGTCAAAGTCAAATATTTCAATCAAAAATAGATCTCAAAAATGTCACAAATACTTTGTTTTTAAAAAAATCAACTAACAGTCTAGAAAGTTATTATGCTACCAGTACATCACTTCGATATAACCGACTTCTACAATAAGACAGTGTGAAAATAACATGTATTTTATACGAGTTAGACGATTCATTTTATGGAGATTGTTGTATTTGAATACAGTTTACATCACTATTTGACATTCTGCAGATAACCTACGCAAACCTCTCGCACTATATGACTGTTTCATTCCACAATGAGACTTCTTAGTTATGTGTTCAAAACGATCTAGTCAGTGATCAAATACAAGATCATCAGGTCACATAACTTGTTAATCAGGATCTATCAATTTACATTTGGAACCGAGTATCTATTCACAAAACTATAAAGGGTTTCTTCTAATGATGAAAAGTTCATCAAAAAGAGTTTTTTTAGAAAAAAAATAAGTCAATTTAATTAAATAACAATAACTTACTGTATAAAGTTTCCATTATCTGTTGAATCCATTGAATCGTGTGCTTTATGTCTTGCTTCAACAAGAACTAAACAAAATCGTCTAAAACGACTTTCACGTCCAAGAACAAATAATGGTCGATCAAAAAATGGATGATTTTCTCTAAGTTCAACTTCTTGTTGTGTTCTATATAAATGATTAATAGAAAATATTTTATTCAGCATTGAAATCATTGTTATGAATAAAGTATGGAATATAATCTTATTTTATAGATTTAATACATTTAAGCAATCATATGATAATATATTCAATTTGCTTATTTTCATCAATCTTTCTCTTTCCCCTTGGTGATTGATTCGATCATGAAGACTATAGCATCTGGGGTGGGAGCATGGTATACAGTGGACAGCTAGGATGAGGCTAGACGATTTCGACTTCGCAGATGATCTGGACCTTCTATTGCACACCCAACAACAAATGCAGGAGTGTGGAAGCAATCTCAGCAGCAGTAGGTCTCAACATAAACAAAGGTGAAAGCAAGGTTATCCGATACAACATAGCATGCACTAATCGAATCACACTTGACGGAGAGGCTTTTGAGGATGTAAAAACCTTTAAATATCTGGGCAGCATCATCGATGAACATGGTGGATCTGATGCACATATGAAAGCACGGATTGGCAAAGCAAGAGCAGCATATCTACAAATGAAGAACATCTGCAACTCAAAACAACTGTCCACAAGCCAACACCAAGGTCAGAATTTTCAATACAAGTGTTAACACAGTTCTGATGTATGTGGTGGAAAGCAGGCAAACTACGAAAGCCATCATCCAGAAGATACACGCGTTTATTAACAGTTGCCTATGTAAGATACTTCGGATCCGTTGTCCAGACACTATCAGCAACTACCTACTGTGTGAGAGAACATGCCAGATTTCAGTGGAGCAAGAAATCAGGAAGAAGTGCTGGAAGTGGATAGGACACATACTGAGGAAATCACCCAACTACGTCACAATGCAAGCCCTCAGTTGGAATCCTCAAGGCAAGAGAAGGAGAGGAAGAACAAAGAACACATTAAGCCGATAAATGGAAACAGAAATGAGAAGAATGAACGAGAATTCGATAGAACTAGGAACGAAGGCCCGGGACAAAGTTGGTTGGAGAATGCTAGTCGGCGGCCTATGCTCGATTGAAGGTAACAGGCGTAAGTAAGTAAGTAACTACTTTTGATAGTTAAAAGGAATGGATTAATCTTTTTCTTTTGTAAATGCCTATCGCTATCTTAATATATTAAATAAGAAAGATTAGTTCAGCGAAGAGTTCTCTTTTCGGTGAATTCATTTTCAAAGTTGTACAATCGCAAATATATATACTTATTTTTACAGGATGATAATAATACTGATAATAAACTTGTTATACATGGTGACAGTGAGGTTAAATAAACAAAGGTACTAAAAAATTTTTTAAAATATAAAACAAGGAAAGTTTTATAATCGTTTGATTGTTGTTGGCTTAAGTATTCATCAAAAGATAGATAGGGAAATTATCATTGGGAAAGGATGGCTCAGCATGATAAAATACAATGTTGAAATAGAGATGAAATGTAATCGGAATGATCGTGGAAATAAAAACAAACCAGTTGGGGGTAGAAGATTTAAGGGGAAGATGGAAGTTGAAGCAGATGGCTCTAAAGGAACAAGAGTATGAAAAAGAGAGAAAAAATTTACTACATTAATACTATGGTAGAAGAAGAGGTTGTACCAGTCTCTTTTGCACACACAATTCTGGTTTTTCCAGATGTATGGCTATTGCTTCGGCAATGCAAAGAAGATACAGTCTAATTGTCTTATTTAATGTCTTAATGGGTGTATTCCGTTTATCTTAATATATCTTTAAGGACTTATTTCAGTGAGTTGAACAATTCGCTTATCGTAACTGATTTCAAATGAACAAAAGGATTATTTGATGTGGATATTATCTCAGTTTGTTTATAAATATTGTTAGTTAACTTTGTAAGTTGATGTCAGACAATTAACTTGACGATGTTAATTTATATCAATCTTGTTTTTTTAAAACTGTACTGAAAATTCACATTACGAGTTTACTTTTTAATGATTCTTCACTGACACTATTCACTATACAAGAACTATGTAAGTAAAAATAACTGGTCAGCTATGAGAATGTCTGAACAATTCACTTCTGTAAACTAAAACAACCCGAGCTAAACATTGATAAGTTACATCTCATGATGACTATCTTGCATTCAAACCATTTTTATTTTCACAGATTGAAATCATGAGTCAGTTGAAGCCAGACCACCATTGAAAACCTGGAGGCACTGGACGGCCGTTTCGTCCTAGTATGGGACTCCTCAGCAGTGCGCATCCACGATCCCGCACCACGCGGGGCTACGAACCCAGGACCTACTGGCTTCGCGCGCGAGCACTTAACCACTAGACCACTGAGCCGGCATCCAACGGTGTTAATGTCTAACTTCAACCAATCCACGAAGTTGCGCCACCGTATAACAGTGTCTTCAGTGAGTTCCTATCCCACAACAGACCTGGTTGAACTCCACTGGTAACGGCTTCTCACTAGAACTTCGGGAGTTTTTCCTTAAGTCAGTCACTAGTGAGCAGTTGATTATTATCAGAATGGGTTTTGTGGAGATTTTAGAAATTTCACAGATTGAAATCATGAGTCAGTTACATCTCATGATGACTATCTTGTATTCAAACCATTTTTTATTTTGACTAAAAATTGGAACTAGTTAGAATAAGAAATTGTCATCCTCTTACATCATTACTAAATATAGAAATAAAAGTAAGAACAAAGATTCTAGTAAAATAGCATGAATTCATTTTATTTCGTTTGGTTCTCGTCAGTTGCTTATAACCTATGATATGTAAAACTCATTTTGTAATTACAACTTTTAAATATCACAAATTGTAAGCAACTGACGAGTATCAAACCAAATAAAATGAATTTAAGCTATTCTATTCGAGTTTTTTCTTCTTGCTCTCTTCAAAATGCTAGTGGGAATTATGTGTATGAAATATGGCAATGGATGAACAGAAGCTTCAGTGATCATAATTCAGTAATTTGGAATCCAAGGAATAAGCAACAGATTTTTAAATTCTATCAATATACGATACTGTACAGAGAAATCAATCTAGAATAACAAAAGTACCACCCTTTAACTGTGAGATTGTTCATAAGATGACTTACTAAACATATAGCAATGGTCTAAGACCATCAAAAGAATAAATATTGAACAGTCAACAAGTTGTATTTTTACCACTTTCCAAAGAATTTAAAATTAAGAAGTGTAATCACCTCTAAACAGTACAATACGATTGATATTTCTAAATTCTTCAAAATTCTCAGCAAGCAAAATAATCCAGCATCCCTTTAGTTTACCGAAGTGATTTCATTAAAAAGATTTCAAACCAGGTTTATATGTCCAAAAAAAGAGACACTACCCAACTTCATCATTGCCTTGATAAATTTTGGTCAAAATCAATTATTATTATTCTTATTATCAGAAGGGGTTTTGTGGTGATTGTAGTAATTTCACTAGTTGGGATCATGAATATATGAAGCTAGTGGAGTTCAACCGGGTCTATTGTGAGATAGTAACTCACTAATGACAATGGGGGATGTGTCGCTCAATTTCGTAGATTAGTTGATGTTAGACACTAACACCGTTTGATGCCGACCAGCTCGGTGGTCTAGTGGCTAAGTGCTCATGCATGAGAACAGTAGGCCCTGGGTTCGAATCCTGCGGGACGAGGTGGTGGATGCGCACTGCTGAAGAGTCCCGTAATAGGACGAACGGGTCATCCAGTGCTTCCAGGTTTTTCATGGTGGTCTAGCTTTAATCGTCCCATGATTTCAACTATTGAAATCATTATTATCATGGTATTTGTTTTTTAGGCAATCTTTACTATACTAATTGTTATTTCATATAAGTTAGTATCGTTCTTTCATTTATCTGTTTTTCACTTATCTAATTCTTCATAATTAGATAAACTCTTTAAATATTTTACAATTATTACGTAATTTACATTATCAGTTTTGGAATCTAGACACTTACCACCTTATCTCTCTACGTCGTTCGTCTTAATCTATTTTCAAGTGATCTAAACCTAACGTAAACTCTCTAGATGTTCTATTATTATTATTATTATTATTATTATTATTATCAACGCACAATCCATCTATCAGTTTCCGGACTTCATTTAATTCCTGTTTCATCTCCCTGCTTTTGAATTCAGCTTCAAATAACCTCTTTGTAATTCTAATTCTCTTAGTCATCATTGTCGATTACTTCATATGAAATTATATCACAATGTTACACGTTAGTAACAATACAGTTGCAATCAGCTGATGAGGAACTAAAAAAATAAAGCGAATTTATGCTATTCTGCCTCAATTGTTTTTATTTTGGCTTTATTCAAATTCTTAATAGAAAACAATTGTATGAAAAATTTTCACGTTTATCTTAAAGAAATACCAAATATTTGAATTATGTTACTGTTCAGATTATCAGCAAACGATACAAACAGTGATTTACGTTTCTATTTTTAGTCAGTTCACAACACTAAACAACCTAGATCATCTCCACTAATAATAAACACAGAAGATTAATCTGGAGAGAAAACTGAGAGAGTTCTAGTAGGAAACTATGGTCAGTGGAGTTCAAGCATATGAAGCGTACAACAGGTAACACTGAGTATTCAACCTATGCATAAAATAATTGTTTTGTAGTAATGTGGAATGATAATTGTTGCCTGCCTACTATTTTACATTGAAGAAATATCGTAAAACATTAGAAGTATGACTAATATAGTTTCAAATGAAATTGATGGAGTTTTGTATTATGAAGTAGACGAGTTAACTGTGAAGCTTCCATTGTCCTGTAGGGGCTGGCATTGTGCCAAGCCCATGTAGATTGTTTCAACTTCTGGACAGATCAATCTTTTCATTCTTCTCAAGTCACATTTTTACCTTGTCACTTATTCGCTCATTAATCCTGACTGTTTTTACATGATCGTATGTGTGTTAATTACTTACCCTATTCATTATGTGCATGTAAATTGTTTTCCTTTGATTACAAATATCGAGTCATCTTGGTTAAATCTAGTTGCCTCACCCACCTTCTCCACTAAGTGTCATTTTATTTCTCATTGCTCCCTCCTCTTCACTTTCTTCGCTTCGTTTCACTGAATGCTTGTCCAAACCATTGAGTGTACGAAATATACGTATTCAAAATCCATTTTCGTGTTTAACTTATTTAATTCCGTTATTGACTAACGCGATTTAAGTCGACAATTATATACGAGAGTTGGCACTATGTATATTTCTATAACATTATCATAAAATATAACGAGTTAGATATCGGACCATTAAAGTTTATCTGAACAGGACCAACGACACAAGCTTCATATAGAAGAAGAATTTTATCTCAAGTCTTTTGCTGACGATAATGTCCAAGCGAATATTAAAAGATTCATGATAAACGTGTTAGTTAGAATACACAGGCTCAACCAAAATCACTCATTTGAACTACAAATCTTCTCTACCATTTGATACTTTAAACTTATTTATCATTAAATTAATACCAGGAGTTATTCAGTTAATAGCCAATAAAACAGTAAGATGCGAAATACTGTTCCGCTTATATGATTATCTTACCTTTTAAGTTCTGCAAGTTGAGCTTTTTGTTGTAATAGTTTTATATCGTCGTGACTTGTTCTATTACCAGTAGTTGCTTGTGATTCACCATTACGATCTGGTCTTACTGAGGGATTTCCTCCTCTAACTTCTCCATTAGCCCTAAATGATTTATGAGTCCCCATTGGATTTCCAACCCTGTTTCTTGTGCTTCTACAATATATGAGCATGGGATAGTATTACAGTGAACAAAAAGTATTAGTTTATATCATAAATTTGTAAATGGATGATATCAATGGTTTGGTCTACCTGACATTCTGAAATATCTTTTTGTCATAATCTTGTGTCTACTTTAAAAATAATAAGTAGTTTCAAGACATTTTACGACATTTTAAATGGTAGAATATATTTACGTAACCATGATTTTTTAAATACACATATAGTATACAAATCATTACTTATAATTCAAAGTCAAAAATACATAGTTGGATAGATTCATGATAAGGTAAAATAGGCCTAAAGAACAGTGTGAAGTACACAGTACTAGACTGGTATTCAATCTTGATTTTGAATACATCAACTTCAAACAAGCAGAATTTAATGCCTTTCAACTGTCATCATTGAAATATTATGAATTGAATACTCTCACCATTAAAAAAGACTTATTACTTTAACTTTATTTCTGTTTACTGTTAAATAAAATTCCATGTCCATTAGATCGTTTATCAAATGATAGGGAGTTGAGATCAATGGACAGTATTCAACAATTAGACGTTTTTAGATGCAGATAGTATAAAAGATACTGATATTTCCTTTTAATATCATAGGAAAACAACATTAATCACTATCTACTAAAGTGAACATATCTTTTACGTGAAATTGCCAAGTTAAATCTTTAATCATTGATTTACCATCGACTTGAAGAAGACTTCCATAAGATTTTAATACATTGATCAAGAGATTCCAAAAAATCAGTTTCACAATCTGAACACATATAAGTCTTAAAATAGGAGAAATGGCTGCGTAAAGTTTTCAAATTATTATTTACCTTTTTGATGATCAATGGATCTATCTCCCTAATAATTTAATGATTGAGAGAATTTCAAATATTCAAGAGGAAACATCGTTTGTAAAAAATAATTGTTATTCATCATTGTCAAGAATGGATTACTAAATGATAGGAGTTTAAGAAACATTCAGAACCAAACAGCACTGAAATATCATATTTTAAATTCTATGAGAATTCATAGAACTTCTAAGTATCACAATGAAAACGATATGATTTAACCTAGTGAATATGAATTTGATTTCATATAATTCTCGTCTTCAGTGTGATAAATCTTATAATTGAACGCTTGAATCGGTTTTTTAAGCTTTACTATAACACTAGGTTAAATCTACACAGCAACTTAAACACGAGAGAAAAGGCGTGAAATATGAAAGGACACTTTACTCGAAGGTTAGTTTATGTATAGAAAATCTAGGGTATTTATAACATTTTAGATGGCTTTGGGCTTCAAGAAAGTTTTGTAACCTTTCTAAACATAGTAGTAGTAAAGCTAATCATTCAATCAGAAATATGACATGTGAATTTTCAATTTCTAGATGTTTCTGAGAAACTTCCATTGAATGATGATTGGATAAAATGTTTCCAGGCGTTTTCAAAGCCCTTTTGAGCGTTTTTTTTTTGAGGAACTTTAAAATCAACCACAAAGTCTATTTATTAAAGTCTTGGTTTGGGTTTTCTTTTTTCTTGTTTGTCAGTTCGGTTTTATGCAACGCTGCATAAGAATGTTTAGATGATAATAGTTTAGTCAAAACAAACATTGAAATTTCAGAGACAGTAGAAATTAGAAGACATTAAACTTTTCATACACTTATTTTCAAAATAAAGCTTTAATTAACGGGTTAGTCGAAAAGATAATATCTGAGCATAAAAATTATCAAATACTCAGCAGAATAATATTCTTATCACAAGGGGGTTTTGTGGAGATCTTAGTAATTTTGTAGTTGAATTCATAAGTCAACTGAAGCACGACTACCATGGATAACCTAGAAGCACTGGACGACCGTTTCGTTCTAGTACGGGACTCCTCATCAGAGTGCATCCACGATCCCACCCTCTCGCCTCGAGATGTGAACACAGGACCTATCAGTCTCGTGCGTGAGTGCTTAAACTCTAGACCACTAAGCTGGTCGGCATCCAATGGTGTTAATGTCTAACTTCAACCAATTGACAAAATTGAGCTACCGTCCACCATTTTCTTCAGTGAGTTACTATCTCACAATAGACCCGGTTGAACTCCACTGATCACTGCTTCTCACTGATCTACAGGATATGTCTCTTGAAGTCAGTCACTAATGAGCATATGTTGATTAATATCAAAAAGGGGTTTTGTGGAGATTTTAGTAATTTTATAGTTGAATTCATCAATTCATAGTAGGACGAAACGGCCATCCAGTGCTTCCAGGTTTTCCATGTTGGTCTAGCTTCAATTGACTTATGAATTTAACTATAAAACGAAGAATAGTATTCATTTAGATTTAGTGTACTGTTAGCTGAGACTTGAGCACTTCAAAAATATTTACAGTAATACATAGATTTATACGAATATTCGTCAAGATTAGAACGAATAGTTTGACAGTAATTGAGCGCCGAGTATAGAGAAGTCATTATATGTGAAAATTATATTTGAAATATTCTCAGCGATTGAAATTTAACTAATTCCAACGTTTCGTCCAGCTAACTTGTCTGGACTTCTTCAGGGTAATAATCAAAATCAAAATTATCAAAGAAATATATAGCTTTTAACAATCAGGATTATACTGTGTTAAACCAATCATATTTGGATGTTGATTTTTTGTAAAATAGGATAAAATGAGTCAGTTAACTACAAATCATGTGATGAATTCAACTACATGGAAATACTTAACTGAGTAACAAATCGTATGTGTGTGAGTGTGTAGGTATGTATGTATGTGTGAGAGATTGATATGAAGGAATAAATAAAGTTCAAGTTCAAGGATGAAAACTTGATAATGAAAGATCGATGTGCATGTCAAAACATAAATTGTATTGTTTAAAAACTCATTCAGTTCTTTCAATAATAATAACGATGCATGTGATATTAAAAACAGGTTTAAACAAGAGATAGGTTCCAAATTTACTTGTCAAACGAAATTTGCCAGGTAGTTGCCATTTGAATACCATCTTTTCGGTTCAGGCTGTTCTTGTTCGCCCATATATGCAGAGCTTCTGCTGTCAATCTTTCTTTATGGGTGTTAAAACCTTTCTGAAGTATTTTGGTCCCTTCAAAATTAATCTTGTGTCCTGTTTCTAACGCATGTAACGCTATCGCTGACTTATTTTCAAGTTTCTTTAAATCTACCGAGGATTTTGGAACATTTTTCAAGCATTGTTTGTGTTCCTTCAATCTTACATTTAATTGCCTGGATGTTTCTCCAACATAGGTAGCATTACAGTCATGACAGTGAATCTCATACACAATGTTCTGTTGTTCTTCCTTTGCTAACTTGTCCTTAACTTTCACCAATGTCGATCTTAATGTGTTATTTGCTCTAAAATACACTCTTATATCATGTTTGTTTAGAATCCGTTTGATTTCTTCTGATGTTTCACTCCGGTAAGGTATGACTACGGTGTACTTCCATTCTTTTCGTATACTTTCTAGTTTAGTTTTTCTTTCATTTTTAATAATCTTTTTTAAAAACCTTTTTGGGTAGTTGTTATCCCTAAGAGTAGAAAATACTTTATTTAATTCGGTTCGTTGGTCTTCCTTGTCTGTAACAATCTTAGTACTTCTGTTCATTAGATTTTTTACCACATTAATTTTCGTGCTCTGTGAATGGGCTGAATTAAAATCCAAGTATCTCTCGGAATGCGTTGATTTTCTGTAAACATTTATTTTTAACTTCTTATTATTGTGTCGACGTTCAACCAGACAATCTAGAAATGCTAGTTTGTGGTCAACTGATTCTAATTCCTTAGTTAGTTTAATGTTTTCAGAAATGCTGTTTGCATTGTTAAATAGTTCTTCCATACCATCCCGTTTATTGATAATAAAAATATCGTCTACATACCTTAACCATAACTTTGGTGGACATAAACTCTTTGCGATTGCACTAGTTTCTAGGGAATGCATGAATAAATTCGCTACAATCGGAGAAACTGGTGAGCCCATTGCTATACCCTCTTTCTGTCTGTAAAGTTGACCTCGAAATATGAATAAGGTAGATCTTAAACATAATTCTAAGCATTTTATAACCTCTGATGGATCTAATGGGCATCGTAAATTCAAATCTAAATCAGATTCTAAATAATCATTGATAATATCCATAGCTCGACTGATAGGTACATTAGTGAATAAGGAAGATACATCAAAACTTGCCATTATTTCGTCCTCTTCTATATCGATGGTATCAATTAAATTCTTGAATTCCATAGAGTTTTTAATTCCATGATTAATTCGTTTTTCATATGGTTTGAGAATCTTAGCTAAATATTTAGCTAGATTGTAAGTCGGTGAATTTGTATAGTCTACCACTGGTCTTAGTGGAGTATTATTCTTGTGGATCTTTGGTAGCCCATAAAATCTGCATGGATTACAACTCTTTGGATATAACATAAACCATAAGGACGATCCTAGCTTAGCTTTTAATGACTGTAAGAGTTTGCTAGTTTGCGCCTTGAGTTTATTAAGAGTTGTTCTACTTTTCGCTTCTTTGATTTGTTCATATGGACCCTCTTGTAGATGTTCTTTGGCTTTCTTCTCATACTCTGTTTTATTCATAATAACTGTAGTATTACCTTTATCTGCTCTCGTTATTATGATCGTTTTGTCCTCTCTCAGCTGTTTTAATGCGTAATATTCATTTTTATTTATGTTAGGGTTGTGAGGTTTCTGATGTAATAATGTGTTCATTATTTTATTCCTCAGTTCATTCGCTGTATCATTCGGGAGTATATTCAGCGCTGGTTCTACTGTTGGTATAACAGTTACTCAGTTAAGTATTTCCATGTAGTTGAATTCATCACATGATTTGTAGTTAACTGACTCATTTTATCCTATTTTACAAAAAATCAACATCCAAATATGATTGGTTTAACACAGTATAATCCTGATTGTTAAAAGCTATATATTTCTTTGATAATTTTGATTTTGATTATTACCCTGAAGAAGTCCAGACAAGTTAGCTGGACGAAACGTTGGAATTAGTTAAATTTCAATCGCTGAGAATATTTCAAATATAATTTTCACATATAATGAGTAATACATAGAGTCTAAAACTTAAAGTTTTCTATGTAAATTATACAGTTGAATACAGATGTTCATTATCCACGACTACATAATCTGTGTTACTTTTAAATAAAATATCATTCATAAGATAGATGTTTTTGTGAATAGTTGTCTCCGTGTTGGTGATTATATTTTTATTCATAAACACATTAAACTATTTTACAGGATAAATGTGAATGAAGATAAATTTGAACTGTGAATATTCTTAACTTTACCTTCTTTCTAATCGAATTTGATGTTGGGCTGATAATAAGGATCTATTTCCAATGTTTGAAGTTTTTTCAGTTGTCAATAAACGTGTTTTATTCGATTCACTTTAGAAATGACAAAAACAATTTAACAAAGTGAAATATTATTATTTAAAATGAGAATAGCATTCAGTGTTAAGTAATGATTAGTTGTGCCCCCAAATGCTCTGGTATGGCCGAGAGTGGGGAGAGTCAGATACTCTTCTCGAAATGCTCTCACATAGCCACATGCATACGACTACTGCTATGGAAATCTTACTGCTTTCCCGCGGCGTCACCGTTTTTACGACATTGAGAGGACAAAAAGCAAATGTCCAGCGCCTTAACCTGGTTGTGGATATGGACGATTCACCTAGGAGAGTTGAAAAACCCTGATTCCAAACCAATGATGCACATAGGCTACAAGATCCTAAGAAAACAAATGGCGTATGAAACAATTATTGGTCATCGACTACCATGGAACTGAATCTTCTTACGTTGCTCCACTGCCTTGTAGATTAGATCTTCAGGTCAAAGGCTCCTGGTGTGGTCTCTAAGGAAACCATCTGTTTCGGTTCGGATACCCTTATGGTAGCCCAGCCCTCACAAAAATCGAATGATTTATTTTCAATTTTCAATGAAAGAGCTACTCAAATCTACAATTAAACTGTAAATTATGGTTCTGACTGATGAAAAAGAAATTTATTTTAACCTTATTCTTCAGTATTAGGAGTAATAATACATCATTACTGTTTAAACGTTTTTTGGTAATGTCTAGTCGATATGAAAGAAATGATTTAAAGCGATTAATCTTATAGAAAACAATCAAGACAAATGTAAGAATCTACTAATTATTTGTAGTGGGTTTTTCAAATTAAGGTACTCTGAGCTGTGAGGTCACATGTAAAAGTTAGTCGATTGTAAAATAGTGATTAGATGTAGTTGACAGGAAACCATGAACCTATGTTTCATGCTATTTGGCACTTATCATCAATGTGTACTTGTACCATTGAAGAAATCGATGCTTCCTGGTGGCATACAGTCAGTGAAGTTATTGCTCAGCTATTTGGGTATCGATCTATCTCCTGTGGTACTGAGATTTATTTACATTTGATTGGCCACTGAGTATTGAATAATTCCATGAATTTCAAATCTATCATAGGCTAGATCGAAATCTATCTATCACATTGATCAACTTCCAGTAAACCGACAGACCAAAATATAAAATTAAGACAATCAATATGAAAAGTTTACATTTACCTACTTTAAAAGATAAATAATTGCACGAAATTTCTCTTCACCATGTAATCCATGAACTTTGCGTTTAATAGCTCTTAATGTTTCAACATCTGTATGACTAGGAATTGCTTCTTTTGTTAAGGTATTATAATTATTAAAATTAGGATTAGCATTAGAAGGATTTACACAAAATGGATTTAATTTGAGTTGATTTTGTTCTGTTGTTTGTTGTGATTTAGCCATTGTTGTTAACATTTCTTCAATAGTTTCATCTTCAACTTCTTCAAGAGCTGATATAACAGCGAATTGACGCATAAAACTATCACGAATTTTAGGCATTAAGAAGTCAGATACAAGTCGAGTAAGTTGTAACATTTGTGGACGATTTCTTGGTTATTTATTTAAAAACAGAAAAAAAAACAAAAAAAAATTAGTATAATCGGTTAGTCGTAATTATCGGGGTATTTGGCACAAATATGTATTCGTTCAAGTTATCATAATACAATCGTACAATAAGATGAAGTTAATAAGATGAATAGTGAAGAACTCGAAACACTATAGTGGAAATGATAATGAGATAAACTAAGCATTAAGAATATGACTCTATAGAAATTAAGAAAATATACATGAAAGAATGCTGGAACTAAATATCTAGGAGAAGACAAGGAGTGGATGCTTCTGAGTCATCATGATGAATTTTAAGCCATGCCATTCAAAGATTTTAACACCTAGATTTGGTTAGCATGTAGACCCCGAACGGATAGTCTTTATCCATCAACACAACTTAGAATAACAGTTAGTGACTTCATGAACTTGCGTCACTTTTAGGTTTGATCACTCTTTACTTTCTTTCAGCGCACTTCTACACTAACAGAAGTTGATCAAACATATTTAATGAGGATACATGTAGGTTGATAAATAAGTGTTATGCGGACAGAAAACTGAGATAAGTTGATAATTCATAGAGTGTCAATGAATTAATTAAACAATGACTATAATGCAAAAATAGTGGGAATCAATAGGATGAGAAATCTGTATCATAAGATAAACATAGAGAATGTAAGTGAAAAGAAAAGTAACACAGAGACCATAGTAATAAAACATTTAAACTTGTAGTGTCGGTTATTATGTTAAGCCCATATACCATATTCTAGCTTTTGGACAGCCCATCCTATTCATTCTACTTGAGTCACATTCTGACCTAGTTAATTATTCGCTTATCAATCTTGACTGGTTTATATGAGCGCGTAGGTGTGTGTACACTTCTTATCCTATTCATCACATGTCTGTAACTTACTTTTGCGTAGCTATAAATATTGATTAACGTTTGGTTAAAGGGGAGTTGAATTAACCGCGATCTCCAGTGCGCGTCGTTTTGCTTTGTTCTATTCCATTCGCTTCGTATACAAAATATGTGTATTCAAAAGTCCATTCTCGTTATTCGACTTATTTAATTCCGTCATTGACTAACGCGATCTAAGTAGATGATTATATACGAGAATAGACGATAACAAACATTCTGACGATCTCCTTGGAGTCAGATTTTGGGCCACTAAAGTGGAGAGCCCTTTCCACAACGTCGTTCGATCTAATTGACGACAAAATAAAGGGCCCCACAAACTAATGAGAAATGTTTCGGAAAAAGAAGTGGAAATAGATGTACACTAATGGGATTTGTTTTTCAGATTTATTCATCTGAAATCTTACAAACAAAGAGGGACAAAATGGTACCAGTGATTATTTACTTAAGACATAACGAAAGTTGAAACAGTTTGAGCGAAAATTAAATGGTACAAAATGCGAGTGTCGATACGGTGTTATCCGTTACAGTAAAAAGAAAAAAGAAAAGTCACTTAATATTGTTCAAAATAGTAAAAACATCACTCAAAGCTCAAGACATAAAAGAGATAAAATGAGTGGAGCTGAAAAAGTATAACTGATTTAAACTGTTTCTCTCGATCTCTCCAATCGTAGACTTCATAGACTAATGCCACATCTTTTTTGGACCTCCTAACATTCTTCTGATTTGCTAGAATACTGGCCAATATAGACTACTGGGATAGAATGCGGATGAGAATAAGTGACGTGCATTCCTGATACCTCCGTCATCGAAAGTCTACAGTCAACATAACATTTTTAATTATAACCTTGAGTTTAGTCTCAGCCCTTAATTAATTGCAACGGTGTATAAACCCACTGAGCCTTTTGATTGTTAGTCAAATTGTGTATTTAAAGTCCCGAAATTCCTCTGATTTTCTTTTAGTTACTTCTATTCAGTTCTTTTCTAGTCATTTACTTTGTAGATAATGCTGAATTCATCTTCTCTTTTGAAGAGGCAATTCAGGTTTATGAGTTGCTTGACTTCAAACAATATTCAATGCTTCACTTGTATTTTCTGTGATATTATTTGTATAATACGATTTGTTATTTAATAGTTGAGTTCATGAGTCATTTGAAGCTAGACTACCATGAAAAATCTAGAAGCATTGGATGGCCGTTTCGTCCCAGTATGGGACTCCTCAGCAGTGTGTATCCACGATCCCATCCCGCGGGATTCCAATCCAGGATCTATCAGTCTCATGAACGATGTTAATGTCTAACTTCAACCAATCTATGAAATCGGCTCCACCGTACACCATTTTCTTCAGTGAGTTACTATCTCATAACAGACCTAGTTGTTATTTGTTTTATTTCTATTCATGATAATAAGCTTCAATGTCTTTATTCTTTAGAAAAAAAAGTTTTTATCGTAACATGGATATGATTTACATTTGTTTTCTATAAGTAAGTCAATGAATCATAATTGACCTTTCAACATTATTAATGATGCATCTTATATGTGTTTATTAAAGTACAATTAACATAAAATTTATTATTTTCTAACACTATTTTATTTTTAATACTGATTAATTTTTAATTATAACCGTTACATAAATGTATGTAACATCGTTTGAAAGTGATTTCAAAGACTTACTTCTTTTTAATACTAAACTTATCAACAACATACATCTTCACTTGGTAACTGCTTATATAGATATAATGAACAACAACAAAAAAAGCTTATCATTATAACTAAAAGCATAAAAACCGTGCAATTTTACAATTTATGGCAATAATTTTACCCCACCCCACTCCACCCCTAGAAAAAAACTCTTAGATATATTTCCATTCCAGTAGCCGCATTATATAAATTTGTGTAATTTCTAAAGTATACAAAAAAACTGTACTTTACATACATTAAGTTTTATTGTTTAGGTCATTGTATCTTGTGAATAAAAAGAACTAAATGTAATAATATCTTTCGTATGACGTAATACAATATATATGTGGATGTAGTGGCTGTGCTTCGTTAACCAATCACCTTCCCAACCGTTATCATATAATTCTCAACGGTGTTTGAAATCATTATCCGGAACTCATACGACGGACTACAGTGCAAAGTAGTGCATGGAGGACAGCTGACAGATGCATTCCAAGTAAGGACTGGAGTCAGACAAGGCTGTTTACTCTCTCCCTTCCTCTTTCTTCTGGTGGTCGACTGGATTATGAAGACCTCAATATCTGAAGGAAAACACGGCATACAATGGACAACTCAGAATCAATTAGACGATTTGGACTTCGCAGACGACCTAGCCCTCCTATCACGTACACACGAACAGATGCAGATGAAGACAGCCAGTGTAGCAGCAGTCTCTGCATCAGTAGGCCTCAGCATACACAAAGGGAAAACCAAGGTCCTCAAATTCAACACGCAGAACTGCAATCAAATCACTCTTGATGGCGAAACTCTGGAAGATGTAGAATCCTTCACATACCTAGGAAGCATCATCGATGAACAAGGAGGTTCAGATGCAGACGTAAAGGCGAGGATCGGCAAAGCAAGGGTCGCATTCCTACAATTGAAGAACATATGGAACTCAAAACAACTTTCAACCAATATCAAAGTGAGAATCTTCAATACGAACGTCAAGGCAGTTCTACTGTATGGAGCTGAAACTTGGAGAACTACAACAACCACCATCAAGAAGGTACAAGTATTTATAAATAGCTGCCTACGCAAGATACTCAACATCCACTGGCCGGATACCATCAGCAATAGCCTTCTGTGGGAGAGAACAAACCAACTTCCAGCTGAAGAAGAAATTAGGAAAAGACGATGGAAATGGATAGGACATACATTACGCAAACCGTCAAACTGCATCACGAGGCAAGCCCTAACTTGGAACCCTGAAGGGAGGCGAAAAAGAGGAAGGCCAAAGAACACATTGCGTCGGATTATAGAAGCAGATATGAAAACGATGAATTACAACTGGACGGAGCTAGAAAGGATTGCCCAGGACAGGGTTGGATGGAGAATGCTGGTGAGTGGCCTATGCTCCTTCACGAGGAGTAACAGGCGTAAGTAAGTAAGTAAGGTGTTTGAAATCAGAAGCAGCGACTACAGTTTTATTAGCAGATGAATCATCGAATCATCTAAGCAACTACTAATAAAGCTAGCAGAATGAATATATACGTAGGTGGTAAGCAATGTTCAAGAATACACGTTTCATACAAGCACAACTGCTATAGTACGGATGACTTTGTCCGCTAAATAAGTTACCAAAAGGGAAAACTCAATTGTACGTGAGTTGCTATGTGAAATCATAGTAGTGAAAGTTTGTTAATAATGATAAGCATTTTAAAAATAAAGAGAATTCAATGAAGAAAACCTTCTTTCCGATGATTTCTTCATTGAAACCATACATGATCTCAATCAAAAACTTAACAATCTCCATAACCCCATAGTGATGATCATTTCGTTGAAACGAAAATTATCTTCTCTAAGTTCTCTTTATTTTTATTCATTAGGATAATGGGTTATTTGGAATAATGATTTCATCGATGTAAGATAAAAAAAGATCGAAGAATTTCTAAAAGTTTAATTCTTAGACTAATCAGTAATCAATAAACATAATGAAATAAATGTGATTTACTAACCAATTAAAAATCCCATAAACAACGATCAGGTTATAAAAAAATGGAATAAATGGCATGAGGACAATTAAAATAAATATATCAACAATAAGACAACAAAAATTTTGGCAACAATTAATAAAAACCAAAATTAACAAAATAAACTGTCAATCATCATTTGTGGAGAAGATTTGTAGCTCAGGTGGAGTTTTGTTCTCTGAGCTGGATGGTTTGATCGTGGAGCTTTCATCGTTCTTCTGAACGACATCATCAGCACAAACTTCAAATAGAAGTGAAGTGTTTGAATTTCTCCATATGTGTTTTAAGGTCAATAAGAACCAATCAACATCGAGGTGCACAGAACAAGCTTTGAAACACATATGGAGAAATTCAAACACTTCACTTCTATTTGAAGTTTGTGCTGATGATGTCGTTCAGAAGAACGATGAAAGCTCCACGATCAAACCATCCAGCTCAGAGAACAAAACTCCACCAAAATCATCACTTGTGTTTATGTTTTTGTTGAGAAAAAAAACAATGACAGTTTAAACAATAAACCACCTATCTAAGTAAAACTAATGTTAATATAATATAGAAATATATTTAGTTCGAATCAAATTTCAAACATATATTTTTATTGTAATGATTGCTATATTGTAATAAAATGGAACACAAGTGGGGACATTCAGATATATATATATATATATATATATAGACACAAAATTACAGCACATCTGAGAACCATACAGGTTCAGATTTGTGTAGTAAGGACAGAAGGCCTACGGCCTATGTCACTCCTTTTCTAGTACGTTTCTGTGAGTGTACAGTCCTCTCTTGAAAGAGTCAATTGAAGGTGTGGACACCACTGCTTCAGGCAGAACGTTCCAAGTATTGGTGACTCGGTGTGAAAACCTGTATACCACGGGTAGTTTGTTCGTTCTTGGCTTTTCTACTCGCCTGCTATGTCCTCTGAGATGTCTCGATATTATAAAAAATAAAGGACCTAGGACGGAACCTTTAGGTACTTCTTTCAAATAGGTCTCAAAATTGTCCCGACTTGTAAATCTTCGAGATGACATAATGTCATTGAAGATTCATCCTATATCATGCATCATCATGATGGTATCGTCTTCGTCACTTGAAAGAATGGACGTTATTAGACATGGTGTGGCTGAACTCAATTCAAATATAAAACGGTAAATACTTCAATCAATTTCAATCAGTCAATCGTCTTAGACTTCATTTTTATTTCGTTCATACACCAATCATTTTTTGTTTTCGTTCTCCTTTCTTCTACTTTTTGAATCTTCACTTCTGATTGACAATACATACTACTTATATCTATGGACATCAGTAGTACATGCCAAAATATTATCTATAAAACCACTCAAAGTAGCAATTTCCAAAGAAAAAATAAACAATTTTCAATCATACTGGTTTTTATTTACAGTTTAATTGAATCATGGATTAAGAACCTAATTGAAGTAAACATTTAGAAATTTTAATGAAAGTTAGCATTATTTAAAATGGGAATTTCTACATAAACTGGAAGTGGATGGGACACACGTTGAGGAAACCAGCGAACTGCGTCACAGGGAATCTTCAAGGCCAAAGTAGGAGAGGAAGACCAAAGCACACATTACACCGAGAAATGGAAACAAACATGAGAAAAAAGAACAAAAATTGGATAGAACTGGAAAGGAAGGTCTAGGACAGAGTGGGTTGAAGAATTCTGGTCGTTGGCCTATGCTCCATTGGGAGTAAGAGAAATAAGTAAGTAAGTAAGTAACATAAACTAAACTTAATTCCGTATAATTAACTTACGGAAACTTTTCAAATACTCGAAGACGCATAGGTAATTTCTGTTGTGTTTCAGCACTGATTTCTCTAAGTTTTAACTTGAATGGAAAATTAAAAAAATAAAATAAAAAATAAAAATTTATATTACTTCTAATTTGTGAAGGATTGTTACAGTGGATGTAAAAATCATTGAATAAGTAAATTTTTTTGGGGGGGGAATACAATAAGATAGTATAATCTGTCTTCATAATTGACTACGAATAAACTTCATACAGGAGAATATGCATCATTCTGTTAATATTATAATCTACTAGTAATGTGTTAAACAGAATACATTAGGAATGTAAACGGCATATACATCCGTTGAATTGTAAAAAAGGGAACATTTTAGATGATTCTAAGCACTGATATCGGTATTAGTTTATATTGTTAGATTATAATCGTTTATCTTGTAGAAATAAGTAAAATGCATAGTGTTCAAATAATTTATGTGAATGTTTTTAACTATAAAACTCCTATCCAATTTGTAACGTTTTCCCAGACTGATCATAAAACATTATATTTAAAACTATAATGGTGGAGATTTTTAGCTCACGTGGATGATTTTGTTGGAGTTTTGTTCAATAAGCTGGATGATTTGATCATGGAGCTTTCATTGTTATTCTGAATAACATCATCAGTACAAACTTCAAGCAGAACTGAAGTGTCCTGAAGTTTATGCTGATGATGTCGTTCAGAATAACGATGAAAGTTCCACGACCAAACTATCTAGCTCATTGAACAAAACTCCATCAAAAACTGTGATGTGATTTCTCTGGTGAGAATATACGTTTTTAATTAATCAGTGATAAAATATACTTTGCCTCTTGAACAACTCTTTGTTGTCGATAATATGTATTGGACATCGTGAAATTATTGATTTTAAAATAATATTTATGTGGAGATTCGGACTAATTTCATAGGTCATAGTTCTGAACACTCACGTAATTAATTGTTGTAACAACATCAGTTTTGCTCTTACAGTGACTTTTAATGGATTTACATTTTAACTGTTTGTCAATCCATTTTTCTGTTTACTTTTATTTAATACGCCACATATTTTTGTAGTGAAGCCGACGTGATCATCCTATTTGTGTCTGCACTTCGCGTATAAATACACATATTATTATAGTAGCACCTTTGTAAATATATTATTGCCAACACATTACATAGTCAGAAAAGTTCTTTTAATAACCGCCCCCTTGTGATACCCCTCTAAGCAGAATATCTACTGCTTGTCATATTGAACTGCTCTATTACTTTCATTAATTCCCACCAACCTTATCATAGAGCTTCCGCAAACTGAACCCTTGCTTTAGTCATGAGGTATTCGATACCAGTCACCCAGTGGGTGCATGTGATTGATACACTGTAAACTGAAAATAATTCAGAAGTGGGAGACTTCGGAAATTGATTTTACTTAAAATACGGAATAGATTTCAAATCAAAAGTTAAAATGGCGAGTCTTTATCATCTCTTCTCATAAATAATAAAAGACTATGAGATTGTGTTCATTCTAACCAATCTCCTGAACCGACAGTTTTTGTTAATGATTGATAACGAACTATAAACCTTAATTTATTGTTGTACAACTCCAAGTGAAAGGACAGAATAATTCTTCACTAAATATAAGTCACTTTGTACAACGAATTATTATACATACAACATACGGGTTGCATAGGTCATTCATGAATTCATGAAATCAAAGTCTGTCTATTAGGATTAATTATTGCCAGTCGATTATGTACAAGACACAATTATAATATTAGTGATACATGAATGACTAAAACAGATGATCTTGAACAGAAGTTGATTTGCTTACTTGATACATGGGAAATTCATTTCTTTGTTTTTAATAAATGCAATACATTATTCAGATAAAAATACAAACTAATATCTAAGACAGAAATATCTGCATCATATAAACGTACTTGTTTTAATTTCTTAATATCTTCATCCAATTCCAAATTATCTAAGATGACAGCAACAAACAAACTAAGGACGATCTATTTAAACAAAAAAAATTGATATCATGAACAGTATTTGATAAGAAGAAGAAATAATCATTTATTGACATCATAGAAATGATTTACAGCTTAGATGGGGATAATTTTAGTTGTGTTTTGTATAAAGAATCGGGGGTGGTTTAATTGACAAATTTTCATTGTCGTACCAAACAATCTCAGCAGAGCTTACCTCAAGTAGAAGAAAGCTATCTAATTAATTCATGTGTTAAATCCATCTTTTCTGATGACCTTGTTGGCAGACGGTTTTTTCTTAATGGTTTTATCAGATTTATATGTCGTAGCATTTATTTTGAGTGTTTTACCTTCTTGACCTATTGCTATGTGATTTGTTCACCCCTCTATAAATTCACTAAGATAACCATTCACACACAAAGTTATTAGAATAATTTGTATAATTGTATAATCTAATTAATAAGTTCTCATATTTCGAAAACCTTTTTTCTCTTTCCATAATAAATTCAAGTCATGGCGTTCGCTTTCGCGTGAGACTGAAAGCCCTGTATTCGAATCCTGCGAGCAGGATCGTGGATGAGTAATGCTGAGGAGTCCCATAATAGAACGAAACGGCCATCCAGTGCTTTCAGGTTTTCAATGATGGTCTAACACCAATCAGTTTATGATCTCAATCAAAAACTTAATAATCTCCACAACCTTATACTGATAACAATTTTGTTTTAAAATAAATTTCAGCTTTATGAGAATATTATATAAACCGCTTTCATGCAAGTAGAAAACTAAATGATGAAAGTACGAAAAGATTACTTGTTAACGGTTTTGTTTTAATTATTATCATTTCATTACTTGTCCTTTGAGTCCTTTATATTCTGCGCTAACATTAAAAAAACAACTCTAAAATAAAAATACAATTGTCCACATTCATTTCGTCAATGGTTTACAAATAAACATAAACTGAATTTAATTGATTTAAGTTTATCAGCTGAAGTGATTCTTTGCAGAAAATGAGGGACGAAACACCTATAATCACTGGATTTATACAAAGATGATAAGTAATACGTGGAAACAATTGGCAGTAGAGAGAGAGAAGGCAGAAAAAAGTAACCGCAACGGATGCTGATACCCATCAAGGTCAAGTATGGGCACTTCTGAAGAGCCTAATGCCACAATGAAACAGCCATTACTGATTCTTGATTTTCACTGGATATTTTAATCAGGTCAAACAGCAATTTTAACTGTAAAATATAGTTTCATTCAACAACAATATACATACTAATGAATATAGTACATTGAAATATAGAACACTAAAAATTCATTTCACAATGAATATACAACAGTATGTTGGCAAGACAAATCGTATCAGTGTAACATAAATACGAAACCATAACCTATTACCTTTTAGTTAGGAGTACAATATGATCTTAATATCACCTGTTTATTACTAACCGTTATTAATTACCTTGACAGATAATTCCCATTTAAACATTAAAAATTAAAAACACGAAGTTCAACGAAGGGATCTCTTTTCAACGAATTTATTATCAAGCTGTATAATCGTATATATATATATATATATATGAAAATTACTGTTTGTTTGTGAAAGTACTAATTCTGTGAGGAAATGTGAACACGAATAACCAAGATGACGTAATAGAAAGATTATAATACTAGATTACGTAATATGAATAGTAACAATAGATTTAGTAAATGTAATAAAACGATTAAAATGTTTTAGAAGGATTTTGTGTAGATTGCAGTAATTTCAGTAGTTGAGATCATGAGACGATTGAAGCTAGACCACCATGGAAAACCTGGAAGCACTGGACGTCCGTTTTGTCCTATTGTGGGACCCTTCAGCAGTGCTCATCCACGACCCTGTTCCGTTGACTTCGAACCCACGTCCTACTGGTCTCGTGCATGAGCACTTAACCACTACACCACTGAGCTGGTCGGCATCTAACAGTGTTAATGTCTAACTTCAACTAATCCACAAAATTGAGCGATACATCCACCATCATCATTAGTGAGTTACTATCTCACAACTGATGGGAACATATCCCAGTTTGGTTCTACCAAGGTGATAGGAAAGCAGTTAGGAGTTCTATACTTGAACATCACCTATAAAATTTTCATGTATACATATATACGATTGTACAGCTTGATAATCAATTCGTTGAAAAGAGATACCTTCGCTGAACTTTATGTTTTTAATGTTTAATGTTATCAATTACTTTCTTTGTTTGTTTTTGAAACATTAATGCATTGTATATGTTTTTACCAAATCATCTCAGTACAACATATGTTAAGATAATATGAAACATTACAATAGCTGAACATTATTAATTATCAATGTACATCATGTAATATAAATAAAGAAAGTAAAAGGTAATTAAATTATTTACCAATGTTACAACTAAATGATAAAATACAAAATAAATTGCAACTCCTGTTGTTACAGCTTCATTTTCTACAACATCCATTGTATCATGCATCACAGCAACCCAACCTTTTTGTGTAAGTATTTGAAACATTGACATAAATGCCTACAATTATGTAATATTGAAAGAGGAAAAAAAGAAAAGAGGGAATCATATTAATTAATGTTCTAATATTGAAATGTTATAGTTGAAGTATGTTTTCTTTTTATTATTATTATTCTTATTATTATTATTTATAGTCTTTTGAACATTTCATATTTAAAAATGCACTTGTTAATAAGTTAACTAGTAAATAGTAATTCTGTAGTTGAATTCATGAGTCAATTGAAACTAGACAATCATGAAAAAACCTGGAAGAACTAGACGGCCATTTCGTCCTAGTATGGGACTCCTCAGCAGTGCGCATCTAAGATCCAGACCCGTGAATTCAACTATAAAATTACTAAAACCTACATAAAATAGTAATTAGTATTCTATTTTATTTGAATAATAAACATTAAACACTGAGGTGATCTTACGATCTCGAGTAGCCTGCATGAATATCTGGGCTACCTATTCCTGACATCTAAATACGTCAACAAATTATTTGTCTTCTGTTTGTTTCAATAGATCATTATGTCAATCAATTGCATAACCTATTCAGGTACGTTTTTGAAAATTCCACGACATTTCGCTGTACAAGTTACAAAAGAGCCCAATCAAAGATATTGTGGTTGCTCGCAATATACATAGAAAAGAATGTACATTATTCAGATGTCGATTCCTGAACTGCTAACATCTAATTGGTGATCACTCAATATTTATCATCAGGATCGATCAAGAAATTCAGAAATGGAAACTTGTTGAAATACTTTACACTGAGAATTCTATATTGTACCGAAAATATAATAATGAATGAAGCCAGTAATAATAATAATAATAATAATAATAATAAAAGTGTATCCTAGACTTTACTAGTGGCCATTATCTGACTTGAATAATGAACAGTATAACCTGGTGGCTGAACGTATTAAATTTTGATCGATTATAAAGGGCGGCCTGCTTGAGCATCTGGGCTACCTGTTCCTGCCATCTAGATATTTCAAAAAGTTATCTATTTTTCTTTGTTTTAATATATCATCATGTCTATTTATCGCATAACCTATTCTGCTGCGTTTCTGAAAAGTGTACAACCTTTCGTTGCCAAAGTTACAAAAAACTCAATAAGAGACAATGTGGTTGCTGGCAATATACAGCAGAAAGAATGCACATTGTTCAGATGTTCATTTAGTGAACTGCTAACATCTAACTGGCGATCGCCAGGACCGACCAAGAAGAAAGAAACGGAAGCTTGTTGAAATACTTTGCGCTGAGAATTCTATATTGTACCAAAAATATAATATTGAATAAAGCTGATAATAATAATAATTACATATAGTTCTCACTCTTTACCACATATCCCTGTATCTCAACGTAAAACAAACTAGTCTTCTCATGTTATGTTACTTATGATAGACAATTGAAGGACTATCAGAAGACCGTCATATTAAAGGGTGAATACCACATTAATTAATATTACGTCAATTGTTATCAGTATCACAGTTGAAATCACGAGTCAATCTAAGCCAGATTAGATCTAAGCTAGGAGTTCAATACTATAACGAAACGGCCGTCAAGTACTTCCCGGTTTTCACTGGTGTTCTATCCTAGATCTCCACAAATCCTGATGCTGATAACAATCATGTAATCACTAGTGACAAGCTTCAAGATATAACTCTTGGAGTATTAGTGAGAAGCCGTGATCTGTGTAGTCCAATCCATGTCGGGTGTGAGACAACTATTTACTTCAAGCAATGGATGAAGAGTTGTGTAAGATCATGGATTGATCGAAGCTAAACATTAACACTGATAGATGCCAAATCAATGATCTTGAGGTTATGTTTATGGGTCAAAACACTTTTTATTCACATATATGCAAAATAATGAAACATCAAGAGCATGTACATATTAAAATCAATTCGTTTACCTTTGGAAATGTCGAGAACCTATCAAATGTTGGTTCGAATACTTGAAAGCAACAAAATAACTGTAAACTAAACGTTGATGTGATTATTAGGAAACATGTAGTGAATAAAATTAAACTGCCCAATTTTTTAGCTGGTCCAAATATCTGAATATAAGTAAAAAAAATGATCCAGTTTGGTTGGAGTGATTGTGTATGCATAAGTCAGTCATATGTAATTTGATATGTGGCACAGATGAATAGTATTTTATGTTGTTTAATTCTGTAATGATGCACAAAAGAAGAAAACTATCGTAATAATTACTTAACTTGCAATGATTTAGATTATCCGGCTTATGATATTTTGCCTGAAATGTTGTTAGTCTTGGTTGACATTTGTACACCTGTGAGCATTCGCTTGATATAACTATTGTGATACAAGTTTATGTACATTAGGTGGAACATGGCTAGCAGTGGAATCCTGGATGTATGTTTCGTCCTATTTTGGAACTTCTCATCTAGATTATGAAAGTGATGTCATAGTATTCACGCCAAGTTAGTAGGTAGCGTAGTATAACGGATAGAAACTTGTTAACTATAGAACTTCCCTGATCTCAAAACTTACATTATGATAAACAATGTGCACATCTGCGTCAATATGGTAGATTTTGTAGCAACGTTACTTAGAATCTATAAATATAGATTAAAATTGTCATGCGAACCTTTAATCCAGCAGTTTGGATATCCTGATATAGATCAAGCCATTAGTTAATAACATTATGAACTGACGATGTAACGTGTTCTCTTCCAGCCTACTGTTATGCTAACCAGTAGAGGACCATAATAAAAACTAAATTTTTTAATCATTTTTAGTACAATTATCATTATTATTGAAAGCACAAATAAAATGTTATTTTATGTTGAACCACTGTTTCTTTCTAATATGTCTTGCGGATTGAACGCTATATTCGTCTCCTAAGCTATTCTGTAACTCCCAAGCTAGAACTATACAGTGACCTGAACACGAGAGAGAAGGCTCAAAGTATGCAAGAAGTAGTTTACTCCAAGGTTCATTTTAATACAGAAAATACAGGGTTTCTATAATATTTTAAATATTTTTGGGTTGCTTGAAGATTCTGGAATGCTACTAAACATAGTGGCAGTGTAGCAACCAGCCAATCAGAACCTTTACATGTGACGTTTCGCTTCCTTGATATTTTTGGCTAAGACTTCAACTGAACGCTGATTGGACGAAACGCATCTTAGTGATTCCTGATGCTTGCTTGTCTTTTGTAAGCAATTTTCTGGATCACTCCAATACTTTCAATAGTACTCCCTTCGCTATATCTTTCTATATTTTCATTTCTTCAAGTTATCTTATTCAGTAATCATTAATATAATAAATTTCTCACATATTTAAAAAAATTATTCTGTTTTACTACATTCTCCTATCTCTTACTTAAATCATATTATATCATTACACATTTTATCTGACTACTAATTACATTGTTATTATTAGCCTAGATAAAGTCAATCTGTAATGTAAAATTACAAATTATCTTATTGTTTCTTTCACCATATGTTTAATTCACACAAACTATGGTTGAAGTATATATCATATATTAGTCGATTCAATATTTATATGGGTTGACTTTTATCAGCAATTTATAAGACTTTATACTTTTCTATTGTTAGTGTTAAAGATTGCTGTAGGCATATATGGATGCTGAAATGATGGCTTCAACAATGCCAATTAATTGCAATTTTTTAAAAAGTTTTATGGTGTCTAACGGCAGAATCCAAGACGCGTAATTAATTTTATTTGAAACTCGACAGCTAGAAGTACCTAGACTTGTATTAACATTTATAGTGAAAATTAAGTTCAGAGCCTAACACTTCAAATGCCAACTTGTCATTTATTAGGTTTTTGAGTTCCGATGGTCACTAGCTTGTACAGTGGGACTTAGTATTTCAGTATGTTGTGTTAGAGTTAGAAGCAAAGGGTAATGGGTTCGAGTCTCATTCAATATAAACATGGATGTTGATACATCCCGATATCGAGTCCGTATATATATATATATATATATATATATATATATATATATTCTCATGGATTGTTTTTTACCTTGAAGCAAAAGTCTTCCAGCATTGGAGAGGCTTTAATCAGACGCACAATTCTTAAAACCTGTAAAGAACACAATGAAGTTTAAAAATTATGTTTTTTAACACAAATAAATTGATAAATCAAGCACGTAGAATGCATAAAAAGACAAATAGTCAGTTCACTAGTAACTAGCTTAAATATATTTCTGAAATTATAATGTCAAACGATGATCATTAGAGTTCGGACATGTTAGAAGTTAAACAGTGGTCACCAGCTACATTAAACGATAGTCACGTTATATTTTAAAATGATTGATAGCGAGACTATACCACTGTGCACATCAACCCAACAGTTTTAGTGGTAACGCTCACTGCAATATCTGAATGTCCTGAGCTCGTTTTCCTATTCTGTTGTAGGCATAGACTACCGATGAGTAACATAGTAGCACGAGGCCGATATCTGATTCTTCCTACTCTTCATGCCACCACCAATACAGTCGACTGGTGACGAATACAACGTAAAAGACAATCTCCATAGATTATACTTATCCAAAAAACAAATAGTTCTACTTATTATCTGCAATAAGTAAGTGGTACTGTAGTGAACAGAACACGGATGGGGACAATCGAATTATATCTAACACAAAATTACAGATGTACTTGGTAAAATAGAAAAACCATACTATAATACTTAATTTGCAAAATGTTCAATAATTGTCTCGAACTTTATTGTTCTTACATTTTTCTACTAATTACTTTCTATTCCGCTTTTCCTTTCTTGATCTTCCCAATCTTCTGCTGCCAGACATTACATTCCTGACTCGCGTCATATACTACTTATATCAATATAAGTAGCACGCACCACAGTACGACAGTATTAATCTTAGTAGTTAAAATAGAATTTAGATATAATTTATAATATGTCGATTCAAAACTCAATGTGATATCAGGTTAACTTAAACAACTTAGAGACCGATTATTATAGAATAATAAAAAAAACAACTCATATCTAATATAAAACTACACTATGTATAACTTACAGATAAAAATGTAAATTCTGTACGATATAATATTGGTATACAATGAATTGTTGTACCGATACAAAGAAATAATTCAAATTTGAACAATGATCTATGCCAATAATTACCCCATCCTAAACACCAAATTTTAAAAACAGCTTCGATATTGAAAAGTATAGTGAATAAAATCTGTCAAAGTATAAAGAGAAAAGAAATTAGTTAAGAATGAAAAAAAAAGACAACTGATGAATAATGAGTAGAATACAAATTTCATTATGATCATGTCCTAGTTTTATTGGTTAATGGTTGACCTCTTATTTCTTACTTTTATCTGGGCTTTATTATGCTAATCGATTCTTCTAAGCATCATATAAACTATGATATGAATGTTTTATTTCTATGAAGTTCGATTCCATGCTTGTTTCAGATTTCGTTTTAAGAATACACAAGAACAACAAAATCAACCATTTGAAAGACTTTCTTAATTCTTCCACAACAATTGTCCTTTATTCATTTATATCTGTATGTTGTACTCAAACTAAAATGTTTCTGATATTAGTTATGTATACTTACTTTGTTTTTACTAATGAGAAATCATGAAACAAAGGGATTCACATTCTTTTGTGATCGTTTTTCTCACACTATTCTAAATAATCTGAGTCAACATGTAGTTAGATAATACTCAGCCTTAGTTACATAACAAACCTATGTATATACATGCATATGTAAGCAGAGATACTTCATTTTTTGGTCGACGAATCATATCTAAATGCATTTATGAAAATATTACACTAATCAAGTCACTTTGTGAATCTATGATAACAACGAAATAGACGATAGAAGTAAGCAAACACAAAGCAAACGTATAGCTGAGCCTTTGAGTTAGTGAGCATCTCCCTTCGTAGCTAGGATAGGATGTGACTTAAATAATGCACAGCTCTCTGCGATCACATTTGGTCAATAGTGACAATGTAGTAAATCAAACCACATCATCCAGAGAAAATTGTCACTTGACTGTTACTTTTCCTGTTGGTGTTCGATCTTGTCTTTTGCCTGTGGTGAAAGTCATAGGGGTTCGAGCTAATAACCCAAGTCTTCGTGTTGATGAAAATGTGTAATAATTTTTACTCTTCCTTGGGTAAATTGGGTCTAACGAACCTTATTATTACCACTCATACTCTTTGTTTGTTTGTCTGTCATTCTTCACTATCTTTTTTTAATAAACGCTTTACTATTTAATTATATGAACTCTTCTTATCATCTAAGATTATTATCTTTAATAAATGTTATCTCAGTGTCTGTTTTTCCAAATTTTTTGATCTACCTCCTTTTATGAAATGTCAATCCCGACCGTTGTTGCTACCTTGACGTGGTGGTCAGGCTTGCCTATCGTGATGAAGCAACCGAGCTATACTGGCTAGAACAACCGTTTCTCAAGGTCCTACCATGTCAGACAGGTCGGTTGAAGAGCGGTAAGACTAAAAGCAACAAACCCAAGGTCCGAAGGTGAGGTCGTACTGCTGTCTGTACAGAGGTGTGACAGCAGTAAGGTGTTTCCTTTAGACAACCAGCATGACAGCGATGCTGCCTTCCCACAAGAAGGGTTGGGGTTAGAAAAGGTCGACCCTAAAAATGCACACCTCGCCTTATCCCACGGATATCCGTCTCCGGCGGTAAGGTCCCAAAAAGTACGGAGCTAACACAAAAATTACTCATAAATAGGTCGTGTGTGACCAACCTCAAGCAGTTGTCCGTTGGGCATTGCGGTCACGCTCTCAGGTCACTAAGACCACCTCTAATCCAATTTCCTTTTCAAGCACCTCCAGAAGAACCCTCTCACGGTGTGGGCAACCGGGAAGTAATAACCGCCCTCATACCTCTAACAGCACTCAAGACCACTGATGAAATATCAATCAAAGCTTTAATCGACTCATGAACTCAACTATTAAATTACTTCTATCTCCACAAAAACCCCTTTTCTGATAATGAAGCTTTTATTAGTCTTATTACAACAAGTACACTTGTCATCACACTATTGATTTTTACTTTTTACTTATTATGTTTACTTATGTAATGTATTCCACTGTTATCATTGACTAATAAACTGTCTTGATTGGTTTAATATTTTTGTATACGCAAACAGATTCTATTGTATATTAGAGTAAAGCCTGATAAAGACCTGACTGGAAGCAACATTAATCACGTGTACATTTTATTCTAATTTACAATAAGGGGATTTTAATATTTTAAAATCATAGGTAGTGTTGGAATTTTGTCCTTTGAGCCGGACGGTTTGGTCGTGAAGCTTTCATCGTTCTTCTGAACAACATCATCAGCACAGACTTAAGGTAGAAGTGAAGTGTTCGAATTTTTCCACATGTAATTCACTGCTTGTCCGGTACGTTATAATGCTGAGTGGTTCATGTTGACCTTAAACCTGTCATTGTTTACTGTTTTGTTTTGGTTGTACCTCCTACTTCACTTCTACCTGAAGTTTGTGCTGATGATGTCGTTCAGTAAAACGACGAAAGCTCCAAGATCAAATCATACAGCTCAGAGAACAAAACTCCACAAATCTTCTCCACCATCTCAAAATCATATGTAGTCAATAGCATAGAAATGCTCTCAGTCTCTTAACATTGAATAATTCCATAACATTAGTTGTGCATAGAATTTGATCAGACAACAGTTATTTGATTTAACGTTGTGTATTCCGATCATTTTTACGAATGTAATAGAATTATTATTACCTTAACTTGTATAGATAATATAGATCAGATCACTGATAACTTTCAGTAATATTCAAATATTTGACCCAATGGAAACGAATTATTAAGTCACTTAACGGTATGTTATATATGCAATACTTGAAAAGGAAAATAGAGCCATGAAACATTAAGTTTTTATTAAATTTACAGTTACTCAATTATTTCAGTCGATTTGTTTATTTATAAAGGAATAAAAAATATGACAACTTTTTGAAATCTTGGTAAAACATTTCAACATGTTATCAGAAAACAGTTTCATGGATATTACAGTAATCTAATAGTTGAATTCATGAGTGAATTGAAGCTAGACCACCACAGAAAATCTGGAAGCATTAGACCGCCGTTTTGTCCTAGTATGGGAATCCTCAGTAGTAAGCATCCATGACCCTGTCTCGCGGGATTCCAAAGCAGGACCTATCAGTTTCGTGCGCGAACGCTTAACCTCCAGACCACTAAACCGACATCCAATGGTATTAATGTCTAACTTCAAGCAATTCACGAAATTGAGCGGCACATCCACCATTTTCTTCAGTAAGTTGCTATCTCACGACAGACTCGGTTGAACTTCACTGGTCACATGTGTTCACTATGTATTAGAAAGCATCTGTATTGTATTTTTCTTTTACAGATATCATTCATCTATCAATTCTTCAAACATTTTGACATAAATCACCTTATTTACATGATGAATTCAATTTGACTTTGCCAAATGTAATTATATAAAACATAACTATAATGGACTTATAAAACATATGACTATTATCATTAAACTATCAGTGTCTAGTCATAATAATAAACAACTACTTTCTAGAATTCTTCATTAGAGATTTTATCTATCTATTTAAAATGTCATGAATAGTTTGTATGTTTATGAATAGTTGTGGAATAATATTTAGACAAAATCAATAAAAAATGATTTATGTATATATTTTTCTTCTTCTTCTTTAAATTCTCCTTTTCTTGTTGATTACATAATATGAATTATGTAGATCTTTCTAATTCAATTATAATTGCCATATGCTAGGAGTTCATTTTCTTTCTTTTTCTTTTCTTTTTTTGTTGGATTAAATTAAGGTTAGGGAAATGAAAAAAAATGTCAAAAAATATTCCTGTAATAAATCATGCTAAGTGTAGAATATAGTGGACAGCTGGAATGTAGCTGGACGATCTAGACTTCACAGATGATCTCACTTTTCTATCGCACAAGCAGCAACAATTTCAGGAGAAGACGAACAGTGTGGCAGCAGCCTCAGCAGCAGTAGGTCTCAATATAAACAAAGGTGAAAGCAAGATTCTCCAATACAACATAGCATTTTAGGTATATTATAGCTTATTAGCAAATAGATAAGAACAAAATCGAATATCTTTATACTTTCTCACAATTGACGGAGAAGATTTGGAAGTTGTAAATGCTTTACATATCTGGGCAGCATCATTGGCAAACATGGTGGATCTGATGCAGATGTGAAGGCGCGGATCAGCAAAGCGAGAGCAACATATCTACAAATGAAGAACATCTGCAACTCAAAACAACTGTCCACAAGCCAACACCAAGGTCAGAATTTTCAATACAAATGTCGAGATAGTTCTACTGTATATGGCGGAAAGTAGGCAAACTACGAAAGTCATCATCCAGAAAACACAGGTGTTTATTAACAGTTGCCTATGTAAGATACTTCAGATCCGTTGGCCAGACACTATCAGCAACAACCTACTGTGTGAGAGAACAAACCAGATTGCAGTGGAGCAAGAAATCAGGAAGGAGTTCTGGAAGTGGATAGGACACAGATTGAAGGAACCATTGAACTAAGTCACAAGGCAAGTCCTCACATGGAATCCTCAAGGCCAGAGGAGGAAAGAAAGACCAAAGAACACATTAAGCCGATACATGGAGACAGACATGAGAAGAACGAAGAACAATTGGAAAGAACTAGAAAGAAGGACTGAGGACAGAGTGGGTTGGAGAATGCTAATCGGCGGCCTATGCTCGATTGAAGGTAACAGGCGTAAGTAAGTAACTGCTTTTGATAGTCATAAATAATGCATTAATATTTTTCTTTTGCATATGTCTATCACTATCCTATTATATCTTTAGGGATTTATTTCAGTGAGTTGAACAATTCGCTTATCGTAACTGTTTAGATGTCTATTCGCAATCATATTAATAATGGCGTCGAAGGATTCAACATGCACCTTGCTAACTGTTTCCAGCACTCTCCACAATACAGCAAAGTCTTTTCTCAAAAGCACAGGAAAAAACAATGGAGAACAGTAAAGAATAATAGGTAATATGGAGGAATTAACAAATTATAAGAGTAAATGTCGAGTAATCTCAAAATCATGCAGTAAGTCAGACGAAACCTTTCTTCAATAACAGTAAAACACGAGAAGACTAAGAGAAATCAGAGGAAAAGGTAACTTTAAGATAATTGGCCTTCGACACTGTGTTTACCAAAGAGTCTTTAATGGCATAAGTCTTACAGAATCCCAAAATGGTGTTTAGATGCTGTTCATGTCTCAGGTTAAATTTAACAGCTTGACTGTTAGGAACGTAATAAGATGATTTCATTGTATTTATAATAATACTTGGGGAATCGATGAAGATTAAACGACTAACCAGTAAAATATAAATCCGATTATCATAGTATTAGCCTAGATTTTCAATAAAACAGAAAGTCTTAAGTTTATCAACAAGATTTATACAATCGAAACAATTGTATATCGTAACGAGAATGTTAGTCAGTTTTTATTGATCTCGAATCTTAATTTAGGATAAAACCGCTATCTTCAGTTGACTATAGTTCAACACAGAAATTACACACAAAAATAAATAAAACAATTAGTTTGCAGAAAAAACAATCATGACAGTTAGTTCATTCATAAAAATGTGTAATACCTCAGCATAATAGAAACCGTCTAATTGAACTTTCATATTGTCACTGTCTCGTAAACTTTGATGATTAAAGTGTAATGCAGCTGCTGTGATTGCATTAGCCAATACTAAGACCATGATAACTACATTGAATCCAGTAGACCTGAGTATCGTCTATTAAACATACAAAATATAATAAAAATTATAGATAGTTCGTGTTAATCAAATCAAAGATAAGGAAACAAAAATAAAATACTTGCAATTTTATAGTACAATGTAGTCATTGAAACCTTGAACAGATCTTAGATAAACAACTAATGAAATCCTGAAAGCACTGGATGGCTGTTTCATTCTAATATGGGACTCGTCGTCAGTGCGCATGCACGAACCCACGCACGAGAATTGAACCCAGAACCTTCAGTATTGCGCAAACACTTAAACTCAGGACCACAGCCGGTCATCCAACGGTGTTAATTTCTAACTTTGACAAATCTACTATAATGTGTAACCATTTTCCATTGACTTCGATGGGTAATCGCCTCACATCAAACACAGTTGAACTCCGTTGGTCACGGGTTCACATCAGAAATCCATAAATTGCCTCTCAAAGCCAGTTTCTACTGAGCACATGATCAAAATGAGGTCGGTTAAGAATTTCAACAAAAACCAACAATCTACCTAGCCCAATACTTACTACAGAGTAGTCAGACAGCTTTTGTTCTACGATAATTCATAAAATGTTGTTAGATATTTCAATCGTAAGAGTTTAAATTTCCTATTGATGGAGTTAAGGATTTCAGTTAATCAGTCTGTTTAAGAATTCCATCACCATTGTCAACAGTTACTGGTATTATTAAGCACAGTTAAATAAGGGATAGAAGTGGAATTCAGGACATGCGCTGCTTATTACATGAGTCTCATCAACCGAGTGTGCCTGAATCCCAGCTGCTATCGGTCATAAAGATTTCTGGGCGGAATTCGATAGTGGTTAGACGTGTGCTTGATTGCCTGTGTGAACATCAACAGTGGGAAACAAGCACATCCACTTGATCAGTTCAAAATAAGACTCTCAGATTCCCCTACAAGCGACCATCCAACTGTGCTTAAAGAAGTTGAATAACCTTGTCTTTACTTAAGTCACAAAAATGCTAGTCAATACACACGCATCTACATCAGAAACCGTAAAACTGTTATTATCCTGAAGTAAATATTTTGGCAAGTAATGTTACCTCTCAAATTAAAAATCACTGAATATCACATTTTCATATAGAATTCACTCTCTTCAATAAACTTTCGTTATGCATGGAAAACTGTATTCGTAAAATAAGATCACCTTATTTTCCTAGTTTCTCATCAACTGTGTACAGTATAAGAAAAGAAAATAATATGCGAGCAGTTTTCTTCATGAAATGATGTCGGCTTGTTGACCATGGAAAATAAAAAACAGACAGTGTATGGTTGTTCTGTCTGAGTTTCAAGTCCACAGATAATACACTCATACGATTTGACTGAGATCGCTAAGAAGTCATCCAAGTTAGGAAAGAAACACTATCTCATAGATGACATAAGGTAGCGGATAGACTAGTATAACAAATGAAGTATAGTTGTAAATATGGACCATGATATCTTGATCAAATGTTTCCATGTGTAGAAAAAGTCTACCGACTTCAGATACCACTGTGTGTATTTTTGAAGGTGAAGATCACTTAATAATGACAAAACAGATGCCCGGGACCTCTTTGGCTCAGGTGGTTTGCCGGCTGACGTTAATTTATCTAAAACATACCTTTAAAGTACACTGAAATGTTCACCGTCATTTAACCTTGTAAATCAATTTGTTGATACTACTGTAACAAATTTCATGGTTTATTATCTACGGTCTTTAACCATCGATCACGATTATCTTCTAGATTTCAACATGACAGTTCTAATGTCCCGACACTGATAAGACATAGATATGATAACCTTATGATTCAATGCCATCATTAGTTATCTTTCAACCTAATTATGTTCTTCTTAAAATTGTGTGTCGGTTTTAAGGGCTACTTAGGCCCAATTACTTCAACCAATGATGGTTCATATTATCATCGATCAACTGTCTTTGTGATGTATGGTACTTATTTTAACAGATATAAGTAGTATGTAATGCAATCCGGAAGTGGGATACATGTCAGCAAAAGTTTGAGGATTGAGGATTGGAGAGAACAGAAAGGAAAACAGAAAGCAATTATAATAAGAACAGAATTGAAAGAATCATGAATCATATATTCGACAATTGAAGAAAGATGTACACGTAATGTATGTAATGTATGGTTGTCATATTTTATGAAAGTACTATGTAATTTTTGATCAAATGACAAATTAGTTTTCTCTACCTCAGTTCTCGTTCACCCCATCTTCATCTCAATTTCTTTATTTAATAGTCTGTGGTTCTAAAATACCTGAGGTATACATTGGAATTTTCTATTATCAAAAATGTTTGCACTCTACTCATGTTTTAACATTTGAAGTGCGTATAAGCCACATAGTAGTGAACTGTAAAGCGCAATGCAAATTCCTACCCTTAGTAACGTGGATAAAAATTGTTCCTGAACACAAGTTAGATGATGGTTGGAGGTAGTCAACAGGAAACCCTGGACCCACGTTTCGTGCTACTTGGCACTCATCGGCAAGATGTACCTGTAATCTTAAGGGACCTGGTGCTTCCTGTCGGATTCGATCCCGTGTCACCCAACTTAGTTACCACTGAGCCATCCGTGCCACGACCGACCTCCTGTATGACTAAGATGTAATCACGATTGATTGATCACTGAATGGTGGTGGGTGATCAATGTCATGTATGTCAATTTCTTCTTAGTGCAGATCGAATGCTATCGACCAAGTTGCAATGTGGCCACAAGTCTAGGTGACTCGACACTGCTGGGTGACACGGGATCGAACCCGTCAGGGAGTACTAGTTCCCTCAAGATTACAGGCACATCTTTCTGATGAGTGACAGGTAGCACGAAACGTGAGTCCAGGGTTTCCTGTTGACTACCTCCAACCACCATCTAATCTCAACATAGTGCACGCAATGTCAAGTCACCTAGACTTGTGGCCACACTGCAACTTGGCTGATAGCATTCGATCTGGACTAAGAAGAACTTGACACACATGACTTTTATCACCCATCATCCAGTGATCAATTAATTCTGAACACAAATTGATACAATAAAGCTGATCGATTTAATTGTCCAATAGTATACTCAAGGTATTACATTTTTAAAACAGAAATAAATATAAAACTGTGGATTGTTAGCAGAATCATTTAGTATAAAATAAATTTTTCAACATTCATATCAACATCTAAGTGGGAAGGAATTAATCTCTACGAGATCAATTTTCAAGTGATTTTTCCCATATATTTATTTGACATGTATAGTAGTTATGAAATGTTTTTTTTTTTAAGAATAAGCAGAATTCTTAATGTTCTAAATTACATTATAGACATTTTTTATTGATCACCGTCAACATTTGTCTAATCTAACCATTTGGGCCATACATACACATATATACACATTACATTTGTTTGTTTTTTTTCCCCACTGTACACCAAATGTTCTAATACGACAAAATACTTAGGTAGGCAATTCATTTCTGTGTTATTTGAAGACAGGAAAATTGGTATTTGTTCTTAATCCTTTGGTCTATTTTTTTCTTCTCAGTGAAGAAATATGTATAGACAGTAGTTTCAAAATGTAAGACAGGTAATGTGTTTGTTGGGAGAGAGAGAGAGAGAGAGAGAGAGTGGGAGAGGAGAAATCAGTAATCTGTACGAAATTGATAGTTCACGCGATAATAAACATTACTTAAGCAGTAAAATTCCCTGCACTTTTGTAAAGAATACCATTGAAAAAGAAGAGATTTCAGTGGAATGTATGTTACAAGGATTTATGAATTAATGTGGGAAACAAAAGGTGATTGTTTTTTTAGATAATATTTATTTTATGTGAATTGATACAAAATATAATATGTAACTACTAAGTGATAATTATCACAGAAAATTTGGGTAGATAGCTTAGTATTTAGTTTACGTCACTGATTGTACATTATTAAACAAACAAGGAAAATTAATATACACTAGATGTCCGTTTCGCCATAGTACGGGTATCTTCAGCAGTATGAAATCACTTGAATCAACAGTGCTTAAAATTATAAGGCCTCGTAACAACAAGAAGGTTACATTTAAGCCATACAGTTGGTATTCACTTATTCACATCTATAATTTCAGTCAGTCTGTATTATTGCGCGACCTTTTTACATTGTCAGCTATGATTTCGATTTCGCGCTCGATATGTTTAGATTCCATAGGATGGAGTTTACCACTAAAACTACGGGAAATTTTTATCTGAGTTAGTCAGTGAGGTGTACGTGGTTATTATTAGAATGGAAATGTTTCCATTTTTCGGTTATCATAATGAATTGATTCTAGGTAAACAACGTATTTTAAATTGATCTCCTATATAAATGGAAGAAATTTACGTTATGCCAAGTCGGAATGAACAGTCATTTATATTTGGGGCCAATTTATAATACGAGAGTCAGAGGGGTAAAAGTATGATTTAGTCATATTCATATTGAATTGATGTTAGCTTGGTTCGTGCAACAAACATTTGTTTCGGGTACAGTGTTATATTATTTTCATTGATGTTTTGTTATATCTGCCTCTTACAATGGGAAAAGAAACTAGATGAATAAGTATAATTTGAGAATGATAAATATTGGAGGTGAGGAAACTTAATCTTTTGTATGATGTGTTTTTCAAAATTAAGTGTCAGACTAAGTAAGTATTGAATGTTTTGGTGTTAATTACCTGACAATAATTTAAAGAACTGGAGAACAACACTCTTACATATATGATTTCAAAAGTTGTCAATAATGATTATTGTTTTAATTGGCGTTGCAACATTTGGAAGTAAATAAAATTCCTTATTAATAATTTTTTAAGTCTCCATTAACCGACTGACTATAATTACACAACCATTGGAAACCAGGAACTACTGAATAACCTTCTTGTCATGTTATAGGATTCTTCAAGGGTAGGCATCCACGATCTCATTAGAGGTCTAACTCAGGAACTTCAGACATCATGGTGCGTGCCTAACCTTCAAATTACTAAGTTGTTACTCAGAGTTTCATATTTATAACTTTATATGCTTACTAGTAAATAGTACCAAATGATGATTCCCGTGATCAGAGGATTTTTAACTATTTCAGGAATGTGAAAATTAGCCACCAATGGCACTAGAGCATGGTTGAGTAAATCAGGGATTGACTGAAATTCGAAATAAAACCATTAAATGACAACTCAAGTCGCTGAGAAATATGGAAGTCTTGGTTTCGATCATTGGTAGTGCCGTGAATATATGTCGATGAAATAGTGGCATAATGAGTAAAACACTTAGCTTACAGTCAGTTACGATGGTGTTGATGTATTCTGTCTTCTCTTTAGATTTCAAGTTTCATACTATCTTATGCTCTTTTATTCAAAAAATTCTTATTTTTCTTCTTCAGTCATATCGTCTGTGTCTCATTGTTTCTACTACGCCTGATACTGTTACCACTGCTTCTTTAATATCTGTATTGATAATTTCATACAGCTGTACTGATTTAGTGTGGCAACCTAAACTGATATATACGGCTTATTCGTATGTGTTGTGTTGAATCTCCTGATTCTGCCTATGAATAGGGTTGGTCAATCCTTTTTCTTGGACTATGGGCTATAGTGACTCACGTGCAATTGAGTTTGTTCTCATTTATTTCGGTTAAGCCCTTTTGTCAACTTATTTAGTGGACAGAACCATCTGTAGCATAACAACTTATTGTACCTTTATTATTGTTGTGCTTGTATGAAACATGTATGCTTGAACATTGCTTACCGCCTACGCATATATTCATTCTGCTAGCTTTATTATTAGTTGCTTAAATGATTCGATGATTCATCCATTTCCTTATATATATACATGTACATTCAAACCCACACACTACTCTACTCTTTCGAGTCGCTGATTCAGTTGCCTATGCTTTGTGGTCTGAGTTATTTGTCAATAAAACTGTAGTCGCTGATTCTCTTTGCATTCTGATTTCGAACACCGTTGAGGATTATATGGTAACGGTTACGATGGTGATTGGTCGACAAAGCACAGCCACTACGGGGCATCCGGTGAGGATTGCCTCGATAGTCCCATGAAGTTACAAGGAGTTTTTAAACGGAGATGGATAGTGGGTAGCAGTAGAATCCAGGATCTGCGTTTCGTCCCATTTGAAACTCGTCAGCTGAATGCCCCACTATCCCAGGTTCGATGTTCACTCTAGGACTGAAATCGACTGGACTCGTTTATGTGTGACAGGTTCTAATTTGCTTGTGTCCAAGTGAACTGGTTGAATTGTAAATCAGCAGATCACAGATTTAAAAGTCACTCCATCTAGTATAGTTTCGGCAAACAAGTAGTATTATAATTTCAAACTTAAATTATGTAGCTTAAAGCTAATTACATAAACATGTACAATCGTAAATCAACTGTGTTGAACGAATATAATATCAAACAAGCTGCTTATATGTAAATTAGAAGCAGTACTTATGCATAATTACAAGAATTTTAAAAACTGATAGCCTTTAATAAAACTATTTATTTAAATCGAATATTGAAAAAGCCCAGAGAGAAAGAGAGAGAGAGAAAGGAAAGAAGCACTGTTAATTGAATTCCTCTACAATTTAATAATACTTACTTCTTGAAAAAATTTTGGTGCTAAACCACGTGGATTACTCTCATGTACAGGAACTAATTTCCATGTTAAACCATCAAACTGAAATATCTAAATAGACAAGAGGAAAATTTATTATGTAATACATATATATATATATATATATATATATATATATATATATATCTTGTAACTAACTATTCAAATGTTTAATCTTAAAAGGTAATGTGAATTATGTTAAATATGAAGTGGAATTTAATAAAATACATTATTTTATTATTCTAATCTGTTATGAAATTCATTGCCGGTGAGCGGTTTATGCGAGGAGGAGTAACAGACTTAGATAAAAGTAAAGTATGGAATTCATTAAATTCTTAAAGAGTAATATTTTTACATAAATATCTGTCAATGAATAATTTTAGTTCCATGTATTTAAATCATTGTGGATCATTGTGGAACAATCAATTGAATGAAATTCATCACTTTATATCAACTTCATTGACTACGAAAAAGCAATTGACAGCGTGGACAGGACAACACTGTGGAAGTTTCTTCGACACTACGGCGTGCCTCAGAAGATAGTCAATATCATACGGAATTCCTATGATGGATTAAACTGAAAAATTGTGCATGGAGGACAATTGACAGACTCGTTCGAGATAAAGACCGTTGTCAGACAAGGTTGCTTACTCTCACCCTTTCTCTTTCTCCTGGTGATCGACTGGATCACGAAGACGTCAACATCTGAAGGGAAACACGGGATACAGTGGACATCTAAGATGCAGTTGGACGATCTAGACTTCGCAGATGATCTGGCCCTCCTATCGCACACGTAACAACAAATGCAGGAGAAGACGACTAGTGTAGCATCAGCCTAAGCAACAGTGGGTATCAATATACACAAAGGGAAAAGCAAGATTCTCCGATATAACACGGCATGCACCAATCCAATCACAATTGACGGAGAAGATTTGGAAGATTTAAAAACGATTACATATCTGGGCAGCATCATTGATGAACACAGTGGATCTGACGCACATATGAAAGCACGGATCAGTAAAGCAAGAGTAGCATATCTACAAATGATGAATATCTGCAACTCAAAACACCTGTTCACAAGCCAACACCAAGGTCAGAAGTTTCAATAAAAATGTCAAGACAGTTCTACTGTATACGGTGGAAATCTGGAGAACTACGAAAGTCATCATCCAGAAGATACAGGTGTTTATTAACAGTTGCCTATGTAAGATACTTCGGATCATTTGGCCAGACACTATCAGCAACAACCGGTTGTGGGAGAGAACAAGACAGATTTCAGTGAAGCAAGAAATCAGGAAGAAGTGCTGGAAATGGATAGGACACAGATTGAAGAAACCATTGAACTAAGTCACAAGGCAAGTCCTCAGTTGAAATCCTCAAGGCGAGAGGAGGAGAGAAAGACCAAAGAACACATTACGCCGAGAAATGGAGACAGACATAAGAAGAATGAAGAACATTTGGATAGAAATAGGAAAGAAGGACTGAGGACAGAGTGGGTTGGAGAATGCTAGTCGGCGGCCTGTTCTCCATCGGGAGTAACAGGCGTAAGTATGTAAGTAAGAATAATTTTAGTTAATATTTTTGTACAGTTTCATTTCTTTTTATTTGTTTTTTTCTCAAAGTTAATTGAGAATAAAACTGAAAATAAACAGTAATTGAACATCTTAAGTATAACTTGAATGATGGGAAACACTTAAAATAAAAAACAATTTGAAACTATAAATTACTTGGTTGCTACTTTTTAAAAAACATAAAATTTATAAGAAAAGAAATAAAAGGAGAAGACTTATTTGAATTCAAGATGTAATCTTTAAAAGTTTTCATGAATATTTCCGTTTTTCGACCAATTTAAAAACAAAGAGGAAAAAATGTTTCGTTTAAAACATCTTTTAAATTAGTCAACAGGAAACCCTGGATCCGGGTTTCATGCTACTTGGCACTCATCAGCAAGATGTACCTTTAATCTTGAGGGAATTGTTGTTCCCTGATTGGTTCGATCACGTGTCACCCAGCTGCAGAGTCAGAGATGTTACCACTGGGCTATCCGGGTCGCGACAGACCTCCTGTATGACTGAGATGTAATCACAATTGATTGATCACTGGTTGGTGGGTGATCAATTTCATGTGTATCAAGTACTTCTTGGTGCAGATTGAATATAATTAAATTAAATATAAACTTAGTTTATATTTTCTGTGTATTAACAATATTAATAGATAAACATTATGATTATAAACAAAGATGGATAGTGACTAGCCCTGGTACGGCCGAGAGTGGGGAGAGTCAGCTATCTCTCTCTCGAAATGCTCTCAAGTGGACACGTGTATACAACCACTGTCAGAGAAATCCACTTTACTTCTTTCTGCGGCGTTACCGTTGCTTACGAAATTAAGAGCACAAAAAGTGGATGTTTGGCGCTGTAACCGGGTTAGTGGATATGGAGGATTCACCTAGGGGAGTTGGAAAACCTGATCCCAAATCAATGGTGTACATGGACTCTAGGATCCTAAGGAAACAAATGGCGTATGAACCAATCGTTGGTCACTGACTACTATGGGACTGCATCTGGTTACGTTGCTACACTGCTTTGTGGATTAGGTTTCTAGGTCGAATGCTCGGGTGTGGCACCCTAAGAAAACCAACTGCTTCCGTCCGGGCACCTGGGCAGTATCCCAGCTGTCACACAAGTCGAATGATATGTATGGCGCATATTTGCTTGGTACCTCCTTGTACCAATGCTTGTGCGCTTAAATAAATAAATAAAGCGGCGGAATCCAAGATGAGCGTTTCGTCCTATGCGAGACTCGTCAGCTGGATGTATTTGCATCTCAGAGTTGATGTTCACTCTAGGACTCGAACCTAGTACTGGTCGCTTCGAACGACATTGCGTTATCCACTTAAATGCTGAGACCTGATAGCCACTTGCTTGTGCAATGGAGTGAAGTTTAAATTAACTTGGTATTGTTTACTTGAATCTTCCCATTGATTATGACAATATCGAGGCAATACATACAGTATGCACATATGCCAATAAGTAACCGATCAATCGCAGTCCTAAACATCAATAGGGAGATTCAAGTAAACAATACCATGTGAATTTAAACATTATGAATAATTTAATGATTAATTATAATTACTGAAATACACAAAATGAATGCTTAAAATAGATTGTAATAATTTGTATTGAGGATTAAAAAGATTTTTGTTTTCTTTACCTAATTGGTAACATCAGTATATTAAAAGTGAATTTCAGAATTTCATTATGTTTATTTCTACAGTCTATAAGATTGATTATTAACAGCTTCTGTGGTGTGCCAGACAGATTGGTTAGTAAAGCCTTTTCTGGAGAGGCCTGTATCTCCTTCTGCGAAAGAACTATGTGTTTTAAGGTTCACGAACCCGCCGCGTGGATGTGATGGCTACCGCTTTAGTATTTCATGACACACAAAAGTTTAAGCTCTACCAAGGTTGCCCCTATTACCCAGCAGCGCCGCAAGAAGGTCTTAAGTCGAATGTTGGAAATAATATATACACACAGTTAAAATAGTTTGTGATCAAAATAGAAATAATTTAGATTTTTTTATTCCCTAAGAAAAAAACTTAATGTTCAGTTAACAAAATAAATTAATCATTTATGATTTAAATATTATAGAAATGAATATGCATTTACCTTTGATGAATCTGCATCTGCAGTATGCCTTGGTGTCCACATTTGTTGAAATTGTACTCTAATCTCAGCGAATGTTTCAATTAACACAGCAATAAATACATTCTGTCAAATATAAAATATCAAAAAAGAAATAAAGTGATATTACAATATACATTTATACACTAGATAAATTTAAGGAAAGATAGATCAGAAGGGGTTTTTGTTAATATTGTAGTAATTTCAATAGTTAAGATCATGAGTCAATTGAAACTAGACAATCATACAAAACCTGGAAGCACTCGACGGCTATTTCGTCCCACTGTGGGACTCCTCAGCACTGCGTATCCACGATCCCGCCTCGCAAGATTCCAACCCAAGACTACTGGGCCGGCATACAACGGTGTTAGTGGATACACACTGCTGAGGAGTCCCAAATTAGGACGAAATGGCCGTTCAGTGCTTCCAAGTTTTCCACGGTGGTCTAGCTTCGATTGACTCATGATCTCAACGATTGAAAGATAAAATGTTCTTTTTCACTAATCTTTCATTCACTATTACAATAATTCACTTGTGAAATTAAAAAAGTAAACCTACTGTTGTTGACTTACTAAATGATGAAAAAAATTCAAATCAATTATGTTCTGGAACATATATTTTCACAACTACTGTTCTCTACTTTAGTTTAAACAGTCTATACTGGTCTATCTATTGGTTATATAATCTGAGATTTATGTACAAGTACAATTATATAGCTATCAACTCCAGCATTTGTATAAGGTTTATTTATTCTACCTTCCCATTCAAATTTTTGCAGCTGAAGTGACTTTCAAATTTGTTAAACTTGGAGTCAAAATTATAATGTCTGAACCACTAGATTGTAGTCTTTTGGTTAAAGCTCAACTACAAGAGGAAAATTATAACGGAATATAATAAGATATTACTTCTATTCGATTTAAGATATATATACAGACTAGATCAAAACATCCCTAACTACATGATTCATGGCCGGTAATTTAAAACCAGATAATGAACTAGACGATAACTGGATTGAAATCATTAAAAGCAGTATTCAAATAGAGGAAGGTTTACAGTGAAATCAAAGTAGAAATTAATAATAGGTAGAAATTTACAAAACAAAGTAGTGTAATAACATTCAGAAAGCCGGGTCTTTGTTTGCTTTTGCCCACTGGTCATTCACATCAGTATATATTTATAGTAAATAAAATCAAGCGTAATGTACGATGTATTGAAATCATAAGCCCATCAATATTAGACCACCATTGAAAAGCGGAGAGCACTGGATGGCCAGTGTGAGACTCCTCAGTAGTATTAACGATCCCTCACGTGGGATTTGAACCTAAGACATTCGATCTTGGGCCAGTAATTAACCTCTAGATCACTGAGCTGAGATCCAACTTCAACCAATCCACGATACTGCGCGACTATCTTTCATTGTCTTCAATAGATAACTGTTCCACAACCAACACGGTTGAACTCCGATGATCATGGCTGATGATTATTGATGCCTATTCAATTTTTCGAGACTTACTTACTTACTTACTTCCTCCTGTTACCTTCAATCGAGCATAGGCCGCCGATTAGCATTCTACAACCCACACTGTCCTCCACCTTCCCTTCTAGTTCTTTCCAATCCTCGTTGAATTTTCTCATGTCTGTCTCCATTTATCGACAATAATGTGTTCTTTGGTCTTCCTCTCCTTCTCTGGCCTTGAGGATTCCAACTGAGGGCTTGTATAGTGACGTAGTTGGGTGATTTTCTCAATGTGTGTTCTATCCACTTCCAGCACTTCTTCCTGATTTCTTGCTCCACTGCAATCAGGTTTGTTCTCTCCCACAGTAGGTTTTTGCTGATAGTGACTGGCCAAAGGATCCGAATTATTTTACATAGGCAACTGTTGATAAACACCTGTATTTTCTGGATGATAGCTTTTGTAGTTCTCCAGGTTTCCGCCCGATACAGTAGAAGTGTGTTGACATTTGTATTGAAAATTCTGACCTTGTTGTTGGTTGACAGTTGTTTTGAGTTACAGATGTTCATCATTTGTAGATATGCTGCTCTTGCTTTACTGATCCGCGCCTTCACATCTGCATCTGATCCATCCTGTTCATCAATGATGCTGCCCAGATATGTAATGCTTTTACATCTTCCAAATCTCCTCCGTCAATTAAGAGACAGTATAAAGATATTCGACTTTGTACTTACCTATTTGCTAATAAGTTATAATATACCTAAAATGCATTGCAGGAACATTTAAGCAACTAAACCCAAGCGTAATACTGTTAATGAAATTACTTTCATTAACAGTTTACGATGGTAATCGGTGATTATACTCAATACAAATAAGAAAAAGTTAAAACCTTGAGTTCTAATAATGTGACTTGAGCTCAGTTTTAAGGTAATAAATGCTATGGAACAAATCCACTGATGCCTTTCATTATTAAGATGCAAACACTTAAAAAGATGATAATATAAGCTAAACATTATTGATTAGTATTCATCAGAAGATAAGAAACCTATTTTCAATATTCTTATCCTTAACTGTAACTAAATGTAATGGTGATTGTTCATCATTATTTCTTGCATGTTAACAATCATTTAGTTTTCGAAAGGTTTTAATTGTTTCAATTCTTTATTAATCAAACAACTTCATTTGATAGATTGTGCTTTTTAAAGAGAAATGATGAGTAGATGTGCAATCACTTTCTGGATTATGGTAGCTTTGAAATCAGTGTCTTCTAGGAGTTTTTAAATTATAGATAAAAAATTATTACACCCATTTTGTTGATTCACATATTCATTTGTGTAATTCAGATAGGAAATAAGTTAAAGTTGTACATTTGGAATTTTTATGTAAATGCATACAGAGTCTTTGAAGATAGCTTGAAATTACTAATTGATATTAGCCAGATAGCCGTTGAAAATTCAGAGGCAGTAAAAATTTGTTTCATTGTCGTTGCAACTTGTGCTTCTTGATGTTTAATGGTTCCGAAATTAAATTTAGTAAGTGAATGAACTTTCCCTATAACTGAGTAATGTCCAAAAACCTCCTACCCTTGTTGTGCATTGTAAGGTTACGGTAGCTGACAGGAACTGTAAACTTATGTTTCGTATTAGTTAAAGCTCATGAATAAAGTAAACGTTCACTATTCACGAGATGGATTACCGATATTGAATTCAAACCCGCATCATTCAGCTTTATAGTCTTAGAGACCCAATTATAAGAGTGAATTGTTTACAAATAATTGACCATCAGGTAGTGACCATTGACATTTATGTCCACTCATTTTAAATACTGATCGAATTCTGCCGATCAAGTTCCAATATGTTCACTAGTTTAACTGACTCAATTATCATATAAAACATATAAATCTCATTGTGTTTAACTATTCAATTTAACGAAGATTGGTTTTCTTCAGTAATATGTGTGTATTAGTGAACAAATTGTTTTATTACAATGTTTAGGTTTTTTTGGAATTTCATGAAACAGAAATACAGAATTCTTATCACTAACCTTAACTAACCATGCAACCAAAAAGATCATAGACATAAAATAAATAACTCCTTTCCATGACGCAAGACAATCCATAGCACGATACATTATGAAGACCCAACCTTCTTGAGACGCAGCTTGATATACCGTAAATATACTAATATCTGAAAATTAAGCAAAGAAATATTAAAGGTCATAGAGGTGTACAAAAATAAACTGATATGATGATCGTATTAAGGACGTTAATACTTCCGAAAAACACATGTTCTCGCTTGACGTTAATTCTTTGTTCACTAGCGTACCTTTAACTGAAACAATATGTTATATATGTGAGTATATTGATTCTAACAATATAGATCTAGGTTTGCCAACTGAACACTTGAAAGAATTATTGTTACGCTGTACTTTTAATGTCCAGTTCAGTTTCAATAATGAAATATATAGACAAAGGGATGGGATCGCAATGGGGTCTCCATTGGGTCCAATTTTAGCAGACTGTTTCATGGCAAAAGTAGAAAACGACCAACTCCGTTCAATGATCAATCGATTCCACCTATACGTGAGATACATGGACGACACGTTTGTTGTTTGTGACAATAATATTGATTTAGATGATATTCTACACACCTTTAACTCGTGCCACCCTTCCATAGACTTCACGTTAGAAAGGGAACAAGACCAATCAATTCCTTTTCTCGATGTACGTCTGATGAGAAAGAGCAATGGTTCTTTAAAAAGATCCATCTTTAGAAAACAAACATGGAATGGCCAGCTAACCAACTTCTATAGCTGGGTTCCGTTAAGTAGGAAGAGAAACCTTATCCATTCTTTATGCCATCGCATACATCACATATGCAGTACGGAATGCATTAACGAAGAACTCGCATTCCTGAAGAAGACTTTGACGGAAAATGGTTACCCAGAACGGTTCATAGAAAAGAATATGAATAAAAGTAGTCGCGAGAAGAATTCTAGTTGTTCCGTTCCAAAGAAAAACCTTTATATAAGTCTGGAATTTAAAGGTGACCGAACATCGGACGTAATCAAAAACCGTCTAACAACAACTATTAGAAGAACATTTAACGCGGCAAAACTGCGAATATCCTTCACTAGTAGAAACTTATTTTCTGTATCCATAAAAGATAAGCTTCCGCGTCTGGTCGCCTCCATGTGCATCTACCAGTTCACCTGCTCTTGTGGAGCAAGGTACATTGGCCGTAGCCAGCGCTCGCTTTCAACTCGGATACGAGAACATATCCCAGCCTGGTTCTATAAGGGTGAAAGGAAAGCAGTTAGGAGTTCTATACTTGAACACCTAATCGACTATAACCATTCAACAGATCCACAAATTGACTTTAAGGTTGTTTATATGATTCGTTCAAATCTACCCAGATTTCTTCGTATCCAACTTTTAAAAATAGCCGAAGCTCTTGCCATCCAGGAGCTTAAACCAGAACTATGCGTACAAAAGAAGTACGTCTTATCGTTATCGTTACCTTGGCCTTAATTAGTTTGATTATCCTACTATTAATATTATTATTATTATTATTATTATTATTATTATTACTGCATTCCCCCTTTACTTATGTTTTATATTCTCATTGTTTTATTCATGAACGCTCATCATATCAGTTTATTTTTGTACACCTCTATGACCTTTAATTATTATATCAAAGAAATATTAATCATCATAAAAAGTATCGCTGTTTTAGGTATCTGAGATGACATGTATGACGAAATATTTGAATATATATATAAAGTATGTGAATATCCTGCTTCCTTCACTAAGTTATTCTCAGCCAGTATTTTTGCGTAAAAGGTTTCCGTAAATCAAGAACCAAACATTAAGTTGATGAAAACCATTGTAGATTGGTTAGAGTTAGACAATAACACCGTTAGATGCCTGTGGTCTAGAAGTTAAGCGTTTATATGCGAAACTGAAGGTCCTTAATTCGGATCCCTTATGCAGGATCGTGGATGTGCACTATTGAGGAGTCCCATACTAGGAAGAAACAGCTGTCAAATGCTTCCAGGTCTTCAATGGTGGTTTAACATTGATTGGTTTATGATCTCACTTAAACCTATGTAGCTCATAAATGGAAAGCTACTGTTAGAGAATAACTGTTATCGATTTTGTAAATTTCACTGATCATAACCACAAAATTGCCAAAAGACTTTATGAATCATACTGTTTTCGACGGAAAGTACACGTACGTACGTTTCTTCAATCACAATGTTTATAAATGATGCTGACCCTACAGTATAAGCATAGTACTACATGTGTACTGAATAAGATATCACAAAGATTTGTACGTCCCCTCCAATTCTCGGATTTTAATGTCAGTGACCGTTGTAGATGAACAGTGTAAAGACATTAAGTTATCATTGAAGTGAATTATTTTTATTGCATAAAAGAAACACTTCATAGTTGCTTATGGTCTGTTCAGTGTCTGTACAAAGCCATTCTTCTAATGAAATCAAATGATATTTGATAATTCCAAAACACTCAGACTGCCTTTATATTTGTCATTGACGAAACAATAATATTATTAGTATAACGTAAGAATACTTAAACTATGAATGGTTCTTTGAAACTTTTAAAGCTTTAAAATTACCAATATTTTTCAAAGCAACAGAATAACGCTCATAATTAATTTAGCAACTCTTGTGAAAAAAGAGAAAACATTATTATTGAACAAAAAATGTATTTACTTACAAAAGCTTTCAAATCCAGCATAACCCCCATCATCTTGTATAGAGCTAGCAATTCGTATACATTTCATATTACTGGGACATTGAGCATCAGGATTTTTGGCTGGATTACAATAAGAATCTGGTATGGCTAGATCTCGTTTAGTAATATATCTGAAATATATTCAGTTGAATAAACATGAGTAAGAAATCAGAAACAATGTATAAGCTGCTGACTAGTGCTCATATTAGAAATCAACATTATCCGCTGTTAGCCAAAGTGATAGAAATCTAAAACAATTTTCAGATATGGCTTTATATTGTTGTATGGTCTGAATTACCTTACTGTACAGTACGTTTAAACACTGAGATATTCAGTCATTTCCTCACAGTCATTTTAAGCTGGTTGTAATTTACATACAATAGTATTGCATTACCTCTACAAGCTAATTGTGGTCTTTGATATTTCTATACCTTAATAACAATATGATCTACAAGGGAGTGTAATTACATTTCTTACCGATTAACCTGTATTAGGCCAGATCAGTTAATGTGAATAATTTTAATTCATCCGATCATTAAAATAAAATCTCTCTTTCCCAACTATTGTAATTAAAATGAGTATTTTGATAAAATAAATAAAAATATTAAAATCAGAGTAGGATTTTGTGGATATTATAGTAATTTAATAGTTGAATTCATGAGTCAATTAAAGCTAGACCACTATGGTAAACCTAGAAGCACTGGAAGGCCGTTAGACATTAACACCGTTAAATGTCGGTTCAGTGGTCTAGAGTTTGAGCGTTCGCCCGCGCGCAAGACTGATAGGTACTGGATTCAAATCTTGGGAGACGGGATCGTGCATACTCACTACTGAGGAGTCCCATACTAGGACGAAACGGCCAGTGCTTCCAGTTTTTCTACGGTGGTATAACTTCAATTGACTTATGAATTCAACTAATAAATAAAAATATGTTTCTTTTCTTAAGACATTCATTGAAAATCTGTAGTTATTAGTTTTACTTAGAATTAAGAAAATAGAAACAATCATTAAAAAAGTTAAAACTGAAATTTACTTATCATTTACATTTATTTACAACCAATTTTCAAGCTATTAGAAGTCATTACTGTTATATCCTAGCGAAGATTAAATTGTGGATAACTTATAAGTACTATTAATGAACCAATATTATATATATATTCTTGTTGTATAACTATTCAGTAACTAGATTATGTATGTCTGTATTCCTTGTTTCTTTATTTTGACCTATAGACTATTACTATATGATTTACGATTCCTAAATTATAACCAGTTTATTAATTACAGTCACTCACAATCACAGCCAATTTTTGGCCGTTGGTTTGTTTATAAACCAAGTATGTATGAAATATATGATTTATATAGTGGAAACTGTTATTAGAGCTCTGGACTCAACAGGCAAAGTTAGGCAGGAAAAGGGATCAATAAAGATGCTAGGCTGTTCATATTGGTCGATACGTCATAAGTTTGGCACAGCACTAACATTGTATAAGTCGTGTTCAGATTAACTAGTAAATCACGTAATAAATTAATCGGGCAAAAGTCACATTTTTTCTTTATACTGATCCGATATATATAATCGTGAATATTATTGTCAATTATGCATATGTAGATAGTATAATATAAGAAAACGAAGATTAACAAAAGTATGTGGTGATATATTAGCATAATACATTTCGAACAATCTGATCACACACATATACTTGTTAAAAACATTCGTTATTCATGGTTTATACAATTATATTGATTGAGATCATGAGTCAGTTAAAGCTGAACCATCATAGAAAAACTGGCAGCACTCGAGGGCTGTTTCGTTCTATTGTGGAACTCCTCAGTAGCGCACATCCACGATCCCACCTCTCGAGATTCAAACCCAGGACTTATCGGTCTCGCGTGCGAACGCGTATGTTCTAGCTTCAAATGACTTATGATATTAACCATTAAAATTACTATGACAACCACAAAAACCCTACTGATACCTATAAAATTCTGTTGTTAATGCATACTAAACAGTGAATGTGACGTAATATAGTCACTCTTATTTTCGTCAATTTTCAATCATCAATTACGATGTATCTAAAAGTTTATGTTTTTTTTTTCTATTGTAAAATGTCATATATATTCTAATTAATAATGATTTTATTTTCTAGAACTGTATAGCTAAAAACGAATCTTTTCTTGTGATTATAAACAACAACATTTCGTATTTACTTCAAGTTCTATACTATTTTTAGTAAACTTTGATGTGACTGTTCAGAACGATGATAAATGTCCTTAAAAATTAATTTTCCAGCTCAGTGAATACTAAAGGATTAAAATACACTTATCAGAGCCATAAAGCTCTGACTAAGCTTAGTAACTAATTTGATCATTACACTATTAAAGTATTTTAGATAAGTAATATGTAGTAAGCATTTACCAGTTATATGTACTGTTTATTTATATATTTTATCAAGTGTTTATGTATATGAAGAGTTTCAGTTTAAAATGATTAAATGTGTTGAAAACTTTGGTAAAGATGATAAATATCAGATGGGTTTTTTGTGGAGATTGTAGTAATTTCAATGGTTAAAATCATGAGTCAGTTGAAGCTAGACCACCATGGAAAACCTGGAAACACTGGACGGCCATTTCGTCCTATTGTGGGACTCCTCAGCAGTGCGCATCCACGACCTCGTCCCCTGCGAGATTCGAATCCAGAACCTACTGGTTTCGCGCCCGAGCACTTAACCACTAGACCACTGAGCCGGCATCCAATGGTGTTAATGTCTAATTTCAACTAATCCACGAAATTGAGCGACACATTCACCATTGTCTTCAGTGAGTTACTATCTCACAACAGACCTGGTTGAACTCCACTGGTCACTACTTCTCACTAGAAAGGAATGGAGAATTCATTAAATAGGTTATTTCATAAAATTCTATTATAATTATTAAAGTGAAACTATAATTTATGTATAAACCAATCAGGTATAAGATAACAGATCTCTGGGATTTTAGCGCGACATTCATTCATCCATTTGACTAAATAGAGTTTTATCATTGTACTTAATGTCAGTTCGTGATGAAAATCCTAAATGTAATTCACAACCTTAACTATCAACTGTAAATCATAGTCTTAATTGCTTACACTTGTTTAAAATCATCATTTGATCCTAGTTATTAGACGGACTGTCTCAAGGTCAGTGCATCGTCGCTCAAATATCGTCTATAAATTCTAGTCTCACGGGCAAATAGTTGAAGTATGTATTTATCTTTCACATATTATAAGATTTATTTATTAGATTTGACCGTGAACTGGATTTAATTTCAATAATGAGAAAGTATTTGGTCTGTCAATGTTTTATAGAAGTTAAAATTGTCTTATGCTTTCAGAATTACAATGGTCAATGTTATCTAATGATAAGATATAATTCCAAATTTACAATAATTGAGTTATCAGGATGAGGGTTTTTAGAGATTGTACCAAGTTAATAGTTGGATTCATGAGTCGAATCCCGAGTGCGAGCTCGTGGATGCGTACTACAGAAAAGTCTCATACTAGAACGAGGCGGCCATCCAATGTTTCCAGGTTTTGTATGATGGTCTAAATTAAGTCGACTCATGAATTCAACTATTAACTTATTGAGTCACATGTATAGAAGTTATAAAATATGAAGGAATAACACACTGAACTACTAATAAATGAATAAATTATATGACATCATAAAGATAATCAATGGAAAAACGTACACAAGCTATAGTTTTTTAAGTAAACTTACGTTTCATTAGCTGTTTTTAAAACACAATGATAATTTAATTCATCGCCAAAAAATTGCACACCCAAGAAACCATAAAGTGACATAAAGAAAAGTAGAAATACTGTCACATTGTATACTTGATGTGTGGATCGTCTAAAATTTAAAATAAAGAATTTAAAGATAAGTAATTTGCAAACAAAAACAATTCATTAAATTTATTTCGTATGTAGGAAAAAAACTGTATTTTGAAACTCAGATTAAGTATAAATCGTTTGTAAAATAAGATGTTGATCACTATATAACATGAGGCTCTAAAGCAATTTCGCTTTTAAATTTTAGTAGCTTGGTTCGATAGAAAGTGATGTTGGGTGGCCTATGCTCATCCACGAGAAGTATATATGTATGAAAATTTTTTGTTAAAGTGTTGGGGTGATCCAGAAAATTGCTTGAAAAGACAAGCAAGGATCAGGAAACACTAAGAAGAGTTTAATCCAATCAGTGCTCACTTGAAGTCTTAGCCAAAAATATCAAAGAGGGAAACGTCACATGCAGAGGCTCTGATTGGTTGGCTGCTACACTGCTACTATGTTTAGTGGCATTCCAGAATCTTCTAGCAACCCAAGGACATTGAAAATATTCTAGAAACCCTGTATTTTCTGTATTAAAATGAATCTTGGAGTAAACTACTTTTCGCATACTTTGAGTCTTCTCTCTCGTGTTTAGGTGGCTTCATAGTTTCAGCCTTGGGGTTACAGAATAGCTTAAGAGACGAATGTAGCTATCAATCCGCAAGACTTATTATTATCAGCTTTATTCAATATTATATTTTTGGTACAATATAGAATTCTCAGCACAAAGTATTTCAACAAGCTTCCGTTTCTTTCTTCTTGGTAGGTCTTGGCGATAAATATTGAGTGATCGCCAGTTAGACGTTGGCAGTTCAGTAAATGAACATCTGAATAATGTGCATTCTTTTCGTTGTATATTGCCAACAACCACATTGTCTCTTATTGAGTTTTTTGTAACTTTGACAACGAAAGGTTGTACACTTTTCAGAAACGCAGCAGAATAGGTTATGCGATTAATAAACATAATGATATATTAAAACAAACAAAAATAGATAACTTTTTGAAATATCTAGATGGCAGGAACAGGTAGCCAAGATGCTCAAGCAGGCCGCTCTTTATCATAAACTACCAATTCGGTGAGATGTGAACATGAATAACCAAGATGACGTAATAGAAAGATTCTAATACTAGATTACATAATACGAATAATAATAATAAATTTGCTATTTTGTATTATTATTGTTTTACTATTTTACACTATTTATCTCATTTATTTATCACTTTCTGGTGTAGAATATTTCATTTGTATAGTCAACATAAGTGAATGTAGTTGAACCAAACTTCATAATTAGAAAATTTAGAATTTACTAATTTTCTAGTAATGGACTAAACAATTTCGTAAATAAAATTCTCATTTTAAAGATATTGCATGTTAATGTTGTACCATTAGAATTATAGTTATTTAACATTTATTAGACTATAGAATACTAGAATTGGATCCATAGAAATCCAGTTAGAAATTGAATGAACTTAATAGAAGGTGATTGTCTTGTCAGATATATATATATATAAGCACATATTCTGGAAGATAGATCTTCAAGGTCTTTCCCTAAATAATTTACAATAGTAATTGTTCCTATTAGCAGAATATAGATTTATTTATGTACATCCTTCACTGGTATTATCCCACACATTCTTTTTTGATTAAGATCATGAACTAAGAGTTCGAATTTCGCAAGCGAAATTGTGCATGCACACTGATGAGGAGTCCTACAATAGAACAAAACAGCCGTCCAGTGCTTCAAGGTTTTCAATGGTGGTCTAACATCAATCGATTCATGATCTCAATCAGAATCTTAATAATCTGCACATCCCTCATACTGATCATATATTATTGTTTTTATTTTTATAATTCAGCATTAAAAATAATAATAATAAAATCAAGAAGAATTGATTCTTGATTGAAATCATGAGTCAGTTAAAGCTAGACCACCATGGAAAACTTGGAAGCACTGGACGGCCGTTTTGTCCTAGTATGGGACTCCTCAACAGTGTATATTTCTAGTCACAATGAAGTTACTTTTATTTTAAAACTTAATATGATCATTATAATTCAATAAAAATAAAATACTTTATATATATAAAGATCTACTTACTGAAATATAGCTTTTACACGTGCTTGAGGTAATTGAAGTCTTAATACTGCACGAAATACACGTATAAGTATCAATGGTCTTGGACAACGTATAACACTTAAAAAACCATAATTTCGTCGAAAATTTTCATTATTTGAACATGTAAAATAATCTTTATTGATATTATTATTATAAAGAATATTTTCTTCATCATTACTATTAACTGAACAATGAAATGTGACATAAAATTCTACACATTGTAATGCTAATGAAGCCCATATACACAATAACATAAATGCATCAAAATAATTCCATGATTTTTGAAAATAAGCACGATTACGTTTTTGATCAATGCCACCAGATGACTTAAATAAATAAAAAAGTGAGAAGTATCCAGGTTAATATATATTAAAGAAATGATGAATGATTACTATAGTTAGATATTATATTGAATAATTGGTGAGACTATAATTTATGAACGATATTTGAGTGACGTTAAAGTAACCTTAAGAGTGTTCATCTAATAACTAGGATCAAACGAGAGTTATAAACCAGCGTAAGGAATTGGAATTATGATTTACAGTTAATGGTCAAGGTTGTGAATTAGATTTAACATTTTCATCATGAACTGACGTCAGCCAAATAGATGAGTGAAATTCTCGCCAAAATTCCAGGGATCTGATATCTTATATGTGAATGGTTCGTCCATAAATTATAATCTTGCCGAATAATGCGAATAGTATATGTTCTATTTTGAAATATGTACTTCTTTCCTCAATTAAAATACAAACAAAAACATGAATATACAATTGTTTACAGTTATGTTTAGATATAATACAATCCTGAAATGCTTTATTATAAATTATACATAGAATTCAATACCTAATTAGGTTAATTCCCATAGTTAATTATTTGAAGGTAATTGACTTTCAAAGCATATCAACCAACAGTACATTTAATTAAAAAGCAAGATAGATAGAGGGGAAAATGATATTAATATGAATATAAATAAGAGTAAGTAATAAATACGTTTTTGTTATTCATAATATCTGATTAATGACAGCTCATCCAACCAGCCTAACGATTTGTCACTAACTAAAGTAGGAAATCGTTAATTGAAGGTTCAGTGTCGTTGGTTGTAGGTCGATCGATGAAAAAAGCAGTAATAAACGTTATTTATTGTGAAGAGATATACAATACAATAAAATATACCGTAGATGTGTAGTCCAGCTGAAGAAGAAATTAGGAAAAGACGATGGAAATGGATAGGACATACATTACGCAAATCGCCAAATTGCATCACTAGGCAAGCCCTAACTTGGAATCCTGAAGGGAAGCGGAAAAGAGGAAGGCCAAAGAACACATTGCGTCGGATAATAGAAGCAGATATGAAAAGGATGAATAACAACTTGAAGGAGCTAGAAAGGATTGCCCAGGACAGGGTTGGATGGAGGATGCTGGTGAGTGGCCTATGCTCCTTCACGAGGAGTAGCAGGCGTAAGTAAGTAAGTAACATGTGAAGCGCTTCGATTCAATAATGACGATAATCGTCGAGATTATTGAAGATGAAATAAATTAAACGCACAGAAAATTTAAATTTTTGCAAACCAATTTACAACTTCTGTTCGAATATTAAAATCGGATAATGAAGAGATACGCTGAAAAGGACAAGTGTTTGATAGACTTTATTAGACGAAATTTTGTAGGATTAATCTAGTGTGACATTCCGAAAAACGAATAGTCATTACCAACTTCTATTCCAAGTTAAATAGTGTAGTCGTATTGTTTATATGATAACCGTATAAATTTGTGTAGCATTTCAAGATCGTGATCAGTGAAAGAAATTTGTGCAGAGTGAGCAAACTAGCATTCCGGTTTAATGTGAATGAAGTTACCTAACTAAGATAACTGTTCTAAAAAACATATCTTCATTAAGAACTGCGTGCTAAATATTTTTAAACTAACCAAATAAATACATCAAATATTGCATGAAATTTCCTATCGTTTGAATTACAACGACAGCTAATAATTGATAGGCTTGGTCTCGCACGGAGCTGTAAATGCATGCTACTTAGGAGCCCCATGTTAGAATGCAACATCTGTCCAGTAAATCCCTGTTTTTATTGGTTCGAAAATCCCAGTGGGTTCATATTGTAATATGTCTATCATCATACTTTTAAAGTTCATACAATTTTCTTTAGAAGAGATTAGTTCTGATTTGTAGAGCACAATCATATAAGGTTTGATAGCAGTATGGTTATTCTGAAGAAAATACAATCCGCTAATCGAATTCTATCGATCAAACCACAATTTGTTCACTAGACTGAGTGACTGGACATTACGTACACTGTTGAAATGTAAAGTGGTGGTTGAAAGTGATCGACAGAAATTTTGGACATAGGTTTCATGCTATTTGGCACTCATCGGCGAGATGTTTTTGCAACCTTGAGGGAACTAGCGCCCTTGAGTGGTCTGACAGAGTCAGAGACGTTATCACAGCTATTCGTTAATCTTTTTATTTATACGTTAATATATAATGTATACCATTTAATCGTTTTGTCAGGACAAAAAGCAAACTTGTTTACTGGATATTTGTTTGGAATTTTTTAAACCAGTTCGTTGAACAGGTATATATCAGGGGTTCAGTTATGTGGGTAATCTTTTAGCAAACTATTTAATTCATAAGTCGACCTGAGTTAAATACTCATCTTAGTATGGAACTCCACAGCAGTGAGCATAAACGGCCTAACAAGTAAGAACCGGACACAGGACCTTTATTTCTCAGTGGTTAGTGCTTAGATCATATTGTATCGTAATATGCATCATTTATTGAATGGGGCTATATTTTATCTTATTAACTGACCTCTATAAAAAATTCACATTAGACTTAAACCATCATAGAAATCAAAATATTAGTATATGTTGTAATGGGACATATAAACCACTGGAAATCGGAAATAAAGTTGACCAAATACTTGATATCTACATCTCTTTGTTGTTATGGTTGCTATGTAGGTAAAAAGTATATGTCAACGTCAAACCGTTTTTAATATGTATATATTTATATATTATATATATATAATAAATATATATAACTGAACATGCCTACTAAATTTCTCTTACGGTAGATGTTTTGCACTTACACTACTCCTAATTAATTTGCTTAATTTAAACAGTTTTTCCTCAAATTAGCGCGTCAGAAAACAACATAACATATGTATAGTAGCGGATCTATCACAGTAAATTTTGTTGTTCCTTGTTAATTATTTTCATTTTCTTTTCTCTAGTTGTATATAATGACTCAAAAATAGCACTAATCATATATCAACAAGATGTGAAAGTCCATCGATTAAGAATTACTGGCAACCAATCACTGCATCATATTACCAACAACTCATGAATTACATCTTTTCCAACAAATTCATGTTATTTCCCACCCTCACTCCCTTTAAATGTAAATTTATTTTTTGTATCAACTTATGCATATCTATAAATTAGCATGCATTCCATAATTATTTCCAGAATATAATTGATTTATTTATATTATACTACTAATAGTAGTACACTAAAGTGATAGCATGCAGGAACAAAAACAAAAAACAAATAGTATATGGTGCTGTGTTAAAATAAACCGAACTGAAAAGAAAATCATCAACGAAAAAAAATATTTTAAACTAATGTCGAATTACACACAGCAACAGAGGTGGAGGGGGGGGCAAGGAAACAAAGAAGTTGGTGATGAAACTCAAATTATATATATATATAGAATATATTTGGTTTTCTCTAAAATTAGGTAAATGAAATAATAACAAAAATGTATTACGAAATAAATGTCGAAAAATAAAAAAAAATTTAAAAAAAAAATGAACGCAAATTAATGAAACTTTTTTAATGAAAAGAAATTAATTTAAAAATTATATGTGATGTATAAATAAATAAAGAGATTTCATGCATTCAATGGTTTATAATGATAATTATACTTTTGATAGTTCTAGTGATTATTACTTTACAAACATAATAATGAATTCATTATTGTACGTGTCATTACCAATGTTTGATTGAATAATTCCTAATAAATTAAGTATTGTGTAGATTGTTATAAATTAGATAGTGGATGAAGGTAGTTAGCAGGAAACTATGGATCCGGATTTCGTGCTGTTTGACAGTCGTCACCAAAGTGTACCTGTAATCTTGAGGGAACTAGTACTCCCTGACGGATTCGATCACGCGTCACCCATCTGCAGAGTCAGAGACGTTACCACTGGGCTATTCGGGTCGCGACCGATCTCCTGTATGACTGAGATGTAATCACAATTGATTGATCACTGGGTGATGGGTGTTCAATGTCATGTGTGTCAAGTTCTTCTTAGTACAGATTGAATGATATAGATCAGGATCCGTCACTGCCCGGATAGACCAGTGGTAACGTCTCTGAATATGAGGCTGGACGACACGGCATTGAATTCGTCAGAAAGCACCAGTTCCCTCAAGATTACAGGTACACCTTACTGACGAGTGCCAAGTAGTACGGAACGTAGGTCAAGGGTTTCCTGTTGACTACCTCCAACCACCATCTAATCTCAACATAGTGCACTCAGTGTTGAGCCACCTAGACTGGTGGCCACATTGCAACATGGTCGATAGCATTCGATCTACACTAAGAAGAACTTGACACACATAACATTAGTCACCATCCAATGATCACCCAATTGAGATTGTTATAAATAAATTAATATATTTGTAATATTCTGATGAGTAGGAAAATTAGATTTTCTGACGTTTTGTGACTCAGTGTAAGCCACTATTACAGAGAATAAATAAAAAGTAATTTACACGTAGTCACGAAACGTCAAAAAATCTAATTTTTCTACTCATTGGGATATTACAAATATATTAACTTATTTAAAAAATTCATTATTATTAGAAATTAGCTAAACGATCATTGTGTTGGTGTTATATAAGCTTTGATTTCTTAAGATGAGTGTAAATTTTTCTATAAGGTTAACCTACATAACTGAGAATTATCCAATTAGAAATTGTACTAATAAAATTCTGGATTATCTGTATCTTTTTCCTAGATATTGTATTTTTCATAAACTGATCGCATACGAGGTACTTCGTAGAATCAGAAAAACTTGAACAGCTATCTGGTCATAGTTCTAAATTTCTCTTTAATGTTGACTAACAATCTATCAGGTATTGAACTCAAAGTATTCAGTTCTTACGGTGAACGCTTAACCTTTAGATCCACTGATCTGATGTTTAGTAGCACAGTTGCAACACTAGTCACTGGCAATATAGTGGAACGTCATATCTGAATCCTTTCGATTAAGATTTCCCATCATAAATTCCAAGGAATCTTGAA